AAAAAAAAAAAAAAAAAAAAAAAAAAGAGAGAGGGAGAGAGATGGAGAGAGAATAACAATATCACACGAACGATTAATCATGATTTAAGGACTGACGTTTATACAGCACATTTTCAATTGTGGAACCGCACGTGATTTATTTCGCTCACGGAAGAAAGCACTCCGGGCTATATAAATATGTAAAAATAGAGCCTTCGGTAGATGGACGGTCGTTGCCTGTAATTTTGAGCTAACACACATAGAAATATTTTTTGTATCTGTCAGTTTATCATTGAATTAATATACCTGGAATTTGGCCAACAATAACAAGAATCGATGCGCTCGAATATGGTGTATTTTATATAAATATGTAAAATCACGAATCATTGGGTAAACGAGGATTTCATGTGTATTAATGCTAATTTTAAGAAAGGCTATAAATTGCTATTTAAATTCCGATAATTATAGTATATGCATAATATAATAATTATTATAATTTTTAATTTATCTCTATGATCATAAATCTCTAAGTAAATGAAGATTCCATGTCCCTGCTAGATATAGAGGCAACGTGTAAATATCATGCGGAAACGACCATATGTCAATGTAAAGCTTCTAAGCCTTTCAGTAATTTTTTTCGTTCTTTTTCTCTTCTGCCGCACTAAAAATGTATTGTATATATGATACGCGTATATCATTGTGTCGAATCAGGGACGATTTATCGTGAAGTTGTGTAATATGGACCTACGGATAGTTATCGCGCTATAGACTTAATTACTATCCGCTACACTGCGCGTTACCATTAATATACGATTGAACAGAACCACTTGAAATTATCGCGATAAAGGCTATCGGAAAAATCTTTTATTAGGAGATTGATTTAAAAATTTTCAAAACAAGCGCATTTTCATTAATCGACTTCACTGAGCTTTTTGAATTACGATACTTATTATCGACGATGAAATCGTTAATTTTTTCAATACATTGCTTCATTGCTGCCCTTTGTTGTCTTATCAGTCGATATCGCCATTATATGAAAGTGGGATAATAACATTTTTTTCTTTCTTTTTTTAGCCAACGTCGCAAAGGCCATTTATTTTTATGGTCCCATGGCTGTTACTGTCGTTGTCAATATTTTTCTCTTCATTTCGACGGCCCTCAAGATCGTACAGCACAAGAAGGAAACTGCGCAGCATCTTAAGGGACTCGACAGTCGACGCCATGATGATAATAAACAGTGGTAATTATTCATTATGTATATTGTTGATGATATTTTTAGTGGTGACTGTTTATCGTGGATATAAACAATTTGAAAACATCGGTTGTAAGTACGTTGTGAAATATCCGAGGGATACAATGGTTGGCTGCATTTTAGAGGATGGAATAATATATTGGGATGGATACCATACGGTGACCGTTATCGTGTTTGGGTATATCTTTGAACCAATAAACCGTTCGGAGGAATTTGGATAAACGTATTCAGGTTATATTAGAATTTAACGAGTAAAAAATTCAGTATTGCCAAATAATTTTTACGATTTGTGCAAGAAAGCAACGGAGTAATTTGTCATTAAAAATCATTTTTATTTCCATGCATTTAATCACAATTTAATTATGACATTTGATTTCAGGTTTAATCTCTATCTGAAGCTGTTCATTGTCATGGGAATCAATTGGTCCATGGAAATTATTTCTTGGCTTTGCAACGACAAGCCTAAGTACATATGGTACATCACTGATCTGGGAAATTCACTTCAGGGTCTGATAATATTTATAATATTCGTATGGAAGAAAAAGATCCTGCGACTTCTCATGAAACGATTTGGCTGCACCGACAATAATTTCTTGTCGCGCGACTCAACGCGAAGTGCCAACCACAGCTCATTGTCAGCTTCGCGCACGTGTACCACTTCTATACCACTTCATGGGAAGACGAATCCTTATGTAAATCCTGCTGGTCGTATAAGACCGATTATGGATGACAGTGACAGCACTTTAACGTAAAAAAATGTTTTTCGGCAAAAAAATCTTTGAAAAGTGGTATGAAATGATTTTTCATCTGTTTTGCATTATCGGTGAAAGAACCGAAGAGGTCATGAAGACATTTGGATGCTGAATATGTTATGATTATAACGGATACAATCGCTTTGCGATGCTGATGCCTTTTATGAAATCATTGTATGGCACTCTATTGACACTTCGTATAGTCATGCGCAAGAAAAATGGATATTGTGCTTTTGAAAAATTCTAAAATATTTGTATGCGAGTGACGTTTCTGTCTGGATTATTCGTTTGACACGACATTTATAGATGATTCTATGTCTATTAACGATAATGAAATTCCTGACACGTTTGGGGTACGTGGTCGTTTACAGATTTCGCTTGTTCAGTACAACTTTTTTTTAGCAAGAGTCGACTGATCCATTTTTAACCTAACCTAACAACTTTTAACGAGATACACGAAGTATCCTGCACATATTTGTTAGTTGGCTGAAACTAAATAATTATAAATTATTTTAAACAGGTCGAAGACGGGAAATTCCAAGTACTGCTCTTTGAGCTATCTCTTTGCCGAATATATGAAAACGTGTTCTTTCTCTTAGTATTAATGAAATACTCTCCTTAAACAATCATTACGTATTAATATTAGATATTAGGTTAAAGTCGACGAATTTTCGAATTTCATGTTTCATGAGAACACGTGAAACCTTGGGATTGACACTTAAGTCACGTTATGATAAAGATGTCACAATAATTAATTTCTATAGAGCGACTGTAGCCCAGTGGGTAGGGTCGCAGAATTCGACCGGAATTCGATTTCTGTTTCTGACAGCATTTACCCCAATGGGTTTTTCGTAAAAACCTAAGTGAGTACTTATATGAATTTAGCTCAACACTGTGTTTGGATTCGGTTTCTAAAGTATGTAAGTCATCACCCTTGTCTTGAAAAGAGGTCTTGTTTCGTGAGATTTATTCGCTAACTTGTGTGAGCTTCTAATTCGAATTAAATTGAAGTATCCATTGGAATATATCCAATTGAGATATAAAGCCATGAGGAAAGGAAAAGAAGAACAATTAACTTTCTAGTCAAATTTGCTTAGCATTAAGACGAGAGTGGCGAGGAATTGGATAATGTTAAATTTTCGAATTGCTTCACGAACAGATATGTAACGTTAGATTTAGAAGTACTCGTGGCATTAGAATAACGGTAGATAATCGTCTATTGTGTAACTCGAAAATTTATTAAACTTCTTCTAGGTGTCTTAAGTACAAAATATATTCTTCTAATTTAACGTACTAGCACGTTTTTATCATTATAAGTATTGTCACTATTCATTATATTCATCTATTGATCATATACGTATTATAGGTATAGTCGATTCATGAGTTCGTGTGTTTTTTTTTTTTGACAGTTCGCAGACAATGCAATCGTTAGCAAACCATACGTGACTTTTTACGAAATCATGGAAATATATGCTGAAATAGAAAAATAAAGCATATTTCATTACAAAACCATGTGCGGGCACACTTTGTAACAAGAATTTTATGGAGAGCTATCTGTGACTTGCTAGAAACTTCATTGTTTACGATCTGTCAATAAAACACATTCCATTCATGCACCGACTATAGTTAATATCGATCGTGTTAGCTTTTTAATCTTTTGTAACGTAATATACCTAAATAAACAGACAAAAGAATAAATAATGTCCTCTTTGATCATGCTATCTTTAATTTATTTATTTAGCCAAAGTACATTCGCACGTCCAGTACAATCTTATCTTGTTGATAATTAATTAAATTCATATGGAGAATAAAATTGTTTTAGATTAGGTAATTAATTAACTGTGAAAAAAATACAAATATATGTGGATTTCACTGGACTCAAACAGCCATTAAAAATTTCGAGCTCCTAATTAAATAAGTGAAATGAAAAGCTCGGAACGTTCTATTACTTCGTACTGTATAAACGCTACACTTTTATGCCGCCATTCGCACAGTATATCTCAAATATGTAAATACTTGAGCGTATCTAAAGAATCGATTAATGAAATGAGAATTATGTACAAGCATATAAAAGAAAAAAAGTATTCATGTGCAGTTGAACATCTCGACTGTCACTTTTTGCACCATAAAGTACAACTCTTATAAAAATGGAACTACATTCTTCACCGTAAGATAGTTACGCGTACATGTCTTCGCGGTCCGCACCGACGCCGTCACCATCTTCAAGACTTGAGAAATTCAAGAAATGGGCAGGTCGATGTACTTCATGATAGAACTCTTTTGGATTTGCCAGTTGTAATTCGTATTTCATGTTGGGATCGTGTCTGACACCTAAAAAAATTCAAATATTCATAAAAAATTAATTTATACCTTAGGAATATTTTAATGTAAATTAAAAATATTTGCATTCGCTTACCCATGAAGTTGTAATTCCATGAACCTTGACTGGGTACCATGAAAAATCCAAGGAACCGATCTGATAGTAACATTTGTACCTTTTCATAGTGACTAGGAAGGTATCCCTTTGGATTGTTTCCTTTGTCAGTATTCTGTTTACCCCATTCGAATCCACTGAAAAATATTTTACGTAGCTTAATATCACCTAACTTAAATTGCACTCCAACAAAATTCTGCATTACAATAATACTAAGTTAACTTCGAACCAGTAAAAGTACTAACCTGGGCGTAAGTTTGTAAGCAGTAAGAGAGCAGGATCCTGGAGTAAAACTGCAAGTAATAACGATAGTCTTTTCTCCGTCCCAAGCTGGATTTTCTGCCATGACTCGTGCATGAGTTGAAATATCTTGTGGTGACAATTGTGGCAATTCATTTGGCTGCGTGTGAATCCAGCCCAATGGTTCCATTTCTTTGAGATACTGATGATTTGGTAATGTATTTGGTAGATGAACTGTCTGATGCGTACCCCATTGAGGAGCCATGACAATACATCGAATTTCCTTCACTTGCGGGTTGTCCGGTGGACTTATACCATAGAGATAACCTGCGATCTGATAAGCCAAGCAATGAACAATTAAAAAAGATTCGTTTACAGCAAAATTTTGTGTTAAAATAAAAACTTGTGATTAGCTTTACCTGAGCTCGAAGATCTGATATGGTAACAAACTTCTTGAGTACATTCTTAGGAAGAATATACGTGTAACCAGTTTCTTTGATGTCGTCAGAAGATACATAAATGTGATTGGTGCGAAGATGAAGATTTGTTGCTGAAATAGCTCTAACTCGCCATTCAGTTTTGGAGCTGAATGTTTGAGTTTCATAATTTGAAGTTGTCGCAGTGATTATTTCATCACCATGTTTATTGACAGTCCTCGTGGTGGTAGCTGTGAGCTGAGATTGTTCCTTGGTTTGTTTTTCAATTTCAGCAATTTGTTGACGCTGAGCAGATGGAGCACTTATCTCCATACCAAGAATGATATCACGGATTTCGGATTGCGTCAAGGATGCGACATTGACGTTGTTTTTCTTGCCGTAGTCTGCCAGGATCAGATCCTTCAGCTGAACTTCAACCTTGATCCATTCATCGTCTGTCAGGGAAGGCCAGATGTGATGTGGTTCAGTTATGGTAGTTTTGTCTGGTTTTAAAACCACCTTGGTTCTTTCTGTGTTCACATGAAGAGCACGAAGTATAAGGATCAATCTGGAGAAGGCTGTGTAAGAGGATATTGTCTTCAACCAATCATCATAGAGATTGAACAAGACCATTTGTGGTTCCGTGGCTTTAAGAATGAGGTCGCCGAATTTTTCAACCTTCAAACAAGCCTGGAATGGTAATTGAAGTTCTGAACCCTTGATCACAATATTGGGAAAGTCCAATAAATGGACTTCCAACGGATCCAACATTCCTTTTCTCGTTACAATAATTTGTTTTGGTTGTTCTTCAACTGGTAAAGAGCGAATCAAGGCTGCAACTTCTTCGGCAGTCTTCCATTTGGCCAGCTGACCTAGACGTTTCTGACCTGCCCATACTGAAGTGTGAATGATCTTCAAGAAGAGCTGCCCAGTTCTTGGATTGAAAATGAAGATGGCTCCATTGATTGGTTTTGTTGTTAAATTTCCTTCAAAGGTTTTATGAATTGTGACACGATATACGTTGGTGTCATCGACGAACCAAATGATCTGATTTGAGAAGAGCTCTCCATAGTTCTGTGAAGATAAATAAGGTTCGGTAGGTTCCGAGGAGTATAATTGAAGAGCTTTTCTAATTCTTTCACGAAGCACATACAAGGCCGGATTAGCTTTCATAATCTTAGCCATCGCCTGTTGTATCAGTGGCTTGCAACCAGGGAACCAATTTCCATATGCACTGTGCAGGTTGTAGGCTAAGTCAATGGCTATCAGTAGTCCAGTAGGTGACGGATAAATTGACATGTTATCGGTGGTGTAATCCAAAAATTTGGCCCTGGCATATCTTTCAATGTCGTGAGAATCGTAATCACCCCAGCGAAGTTGCACGTCGATCCAGTATTTCTGAGTTGTTGTGTTGTCCATCAAATCTTTTGAATCCGCAAGTAAGGACGGTCTTGATACATTCCATTTGTATGCTGAGAATAGTAAAATGTCAGCGCAGGAAGAATTCATCTTATAAGACTTCCTGGGATGGATAGTTTCTTTCTGAACAGTTTCAATTTCCAAAGCATCCAGTTCTTGATCGAAAACTTGACATAAATCCATAACAATGGACTCGTGGACCTTTTGCCACAAATGGGCACGGAAAATTTGAATAAGGGAAATCTTCAAAGTTGGAATTTTACCGTGCATGAAAATTCCAGTCAAATCCAGCTGTACCTGGAAACCTACGTAGACGTTGGCACGGTTGATGGTAGGTGACCACCAAAGTGTAAATCGACGGTTTGGAATCTGGTTCAAACCAGAACGCTGTGCATTAGTCAATTTTTTATATTTCATGGATTCCTCGAAGCCAGATGCCTTCTCCCAGAAAAGACCTTCCCAGGTTGGGAAATATGTTCCTTTAAAAAGCGTGTGCTCGAGGATACCTTCAACTCCTCCAAGAGCTTGAATCATGTCTGTTCTGTAGTTATTCAAGTTCCAGAGCTTTCCGTCATGGCGCTGATGGGTCCACCAGAATGGATTTTGTTTCAATACTTGATACTGTTTGAACTCTGTACGAATCCTCCAGCCTTTATCATAAGCCAAGGTGTGTCTATCCTTTTGGAAGAGGGTATTTATCCTGGGTATACCACGATCCCAACTATCCTCCAAATCCTCAAGAGTCAATCGACGATTTTGTGCGTTAGCTTCCTGCCTCTTGAGTGCGTACTCAGCCCAAACTCTTTGAGAGTCAATGAACTCAGATTCCCATGGTTGAATATATCTATACAAATTCGGAATTAACTGATCTTCGTCGTGGCTCATACCAGACCGAAAGTGAGTTATTCCCACATCAGTTTGCTTGGACCATCTTAAATCAGACTGAGGAATAAGTACGTGTCCCATGGACAGCATACCAAGTCCACCCAATTCCTTTGGAGTATAAAAGACTACAGGAGGAAATCTTGAAGGCATTTTTGAATTCAGTCCAATCTTAATCCTAGTCTGAATTTTATTTTCGCACTTGACCAGCAGATCAAGAAGCTCCTGAGTGTTGACTACAGCTTCCCTGAAGTAAGTCATTAGACCAATTAGAGCAGTATTCCACTTGTTCACAATTTTGGTGAACGTAGTAGAACCGGAAGCCATAAGGATCTGCCGAACCCTATTATGGAATCTTTGAAGACTCTCATCATCCACTCGTAAGAAACACTGTGCTGTCCTTTCTTTAGTTATTTCATTCTGAAGATTCCATACGCCATCACGATGAGTGAATTCCTCATGAGTCGTTCTGCATTTGGGTAAAATGCGACATTCAAAGCCACTCATGTTAAAGAGCAAGTTGGGATTATCCTTGCTGTATACACTCACAAAACTGTTCTCCCACTGAATGGTAGTTGTGGATCTAGGAAGACGATTTTTAATGTCCCAGAAAACAGCACGACCAAGATTCACGTCGTGTTTCATGAGCCGCATCCTAGCATCCCGAGGCCAGCACTTCTTGTTATTGTAGCCGACAATATTCTCGTTATTAGGATCAGGATGTTCCGTGAGATAACGTTGAATTAAATCACGGGCCTCTTCTGCAGAAAATCTCAAGAATAGATGTATCCTATCTACGTATCGACAATACAGCCGAATAGGATGTGCTGTTTCGGATGCGACATCCTGGAACGTTAGGAAATCATTTGGCATCTGAGGTGGTCCAGCCATTTCACTTGCTCTTTGCAATCCCAAAACTAAAAGGTCCAGCACCAGACCGTAATACTGAGCTATGAAGGATGCAAACTGAAGTCCTCTGATTATTCCATAACTATTAGTGTGGTTCATATCCTTGTAATTAATCACCACGTTATTCTTTGCCGAGATATAATCAGCTATGTTATGATCAACAATGAGTCTCATTAACCTATTTAGAAGCGTCAAATCAATCTTCTCGTAGAGCTTTTCGAATTTCGACTCTAGAAGGACGTTGCATTCGCCTTCGCTCACATCCCAGACTTCCTGAAGATTGTTGATACCCTGACACCATTTGTAGACGAGCAACGGCGGCGGTTCGGTATCAGATGGCTTAACCCACGGTGGAAAAAGTTTTCTCTTATCCGCTTCGTACCAGAGATACTGGTCCAGGTAAGCATCCGTAATCTTTTCAAGAGGTTCAACATCATAGACTGGGATCAAATGGCTGTAGAGGTCCATGAATTCTATTCCAACCTGGAAAAAGAAATTATGGAAACTTTAATAATACAAATAATTTCGCACCAAAATTCAAAAAAGTACAAAGAGTCATCAGTGCGCATAGTTTTCGAACCACAACAGAAACAGATCCGTCTCAGACAGAAAATATTTACTGTTGCAGTTTCGGTGTCATTTAAGAACCGTACTCAGACCCCTACACAAATATTCATCATTGTAATATCAAGTGGAAGAATTTTAATAAAATTTAATGATAAGAATCAACTTATTTAAAGACTCACTTCCTTGAATGCTCTCTGGGTGAGCAGGTGACGTTTAATCCTAGACAGAGCTTCGTGCGGATTATCATAAGCTTGCTCGATAAGACCAAGTTCCTCGCGCTGGCTTTGATTAAGCCTGGATTTGACACTATAAGCTTCCTTGAGTCTCTCCAATGCTAGGATAAGAAGTTTCGTATCGTGTTTGTACGACAGAGGCGGGAAAGGAATAGGCGCAAAGCGTCTTGATTCCAGCCAGTGAACAGTGGTTGTATAAATGGCTACAGCCTCTTCTGGGGAGATATAAGGACCATCCTTCAAGTAATTATGCTGACGTTCCTGTTCAGCTTTCAAGTAAAGTCGAGTCAGTCGGCCCAGGTTCTTTTTGCACACAGTCTTATCGACAGTGGCACCACGCCTTATCCTCTCACGATTGTAATGGGCAGTGTTGGTCCACCAGTCTGCCTTCATCTTGACATAACGAAGGATCATATTCTCAATTGGAATTGGTAACCCTGGTACCTTCCAAGGGATATTAGCTTTCCAACATCTCCATGCTTCGCTGAGATGTTGCAGAATTGTTCTGGCTTTGTTCTGCTTTATTCCTTCTGGCATCATATCGACGATGTCGTGCATCACGGATGCGCGAAGTTCCAGATCGAAGTGCGACTCTACGCGCTGTTTTGTCACAGTTTTTGCAACACCCTTGGAATGTCTACCCTCGAATTGTCTTGAGAGGAGGTTACCCAACCACCGTTCCAAGAGAGGAGTGATACCTCGCATGAAGAAGAGCCAAACGCGCCATCCTGGTGCCCAGAATCCACAGCCTGGACCTTTACCCACGGGACCGGTATTAAACCGATAGTATATCAAATGCTTTAGATCTTTGCACATTCTGATTTGTCTCATCAATTTGTATTTATACCGATACATTCCAGTAAGCTGTCCAACGTGAGCAAAAATGTATTGAAGCCCGTCAGCCAATTGAAAAGCATCAACATTGTTCAATCTGTACTGTACGTGAGAGTCAATGATCAATTTAGTTAATCTGAGGATTTCACGGCATAAATGAAAAGCTGTAACAAAAAAAAAAATATTAATTGAAAAATTTATATGACCAAAAGATTAACAATTCTTTACAATGTTCCGAATATATATATAGTTTACTGGGTTATTTACCGTTTCCGAAACGAGATTTTTTTCTTTCCTTGGTAGTCAATGTTTTCACAGGCTTAAGATTGAAGTTGTAATCTAAATGGAGATAGTTAAGATTCTTTCGATGAATGAGAAGATTCAACATGTTGTATCCTTGACGACAAACTTGTAATCCAGCTTCAACCCAGTCTATTGTTGTTGTTTGGAAAAATTTTGTTGACTTGAAGGAACGGAATAAGTACCGCTTCTTCTGTGGTTTTGGCGGTCGATGCTTTAGAGCATTCAGTACAAAGTACTTCAGTAGTTTTTGATAACTGACGCGAACTTTCACAGGTTGACCAGGTGGACAGTGTTCTCGGTACCAGGACTTCACTAACGGAATGTCGATGGCTCGTCGTGTCCTACCAGAACGTGTATTGAAAGGCCTAGGCGCCCAGAGAAGAGCTATACCATTTGCTGTATTGTCTGTATATAAGGGTGTTTCTTGAAGAAATGGTTGAACTTCCTCCGGAAGTACGTAATCTTCGTCGTCCTCAATTTGAGGTTCCACTGTCTGAAAAATAATCCAGGTATTTAACATTAAATGATGCATACAAAGCTTAAAATAATTTTGTAATTTCTTTTGGTTAAACTGTTATCATTTTGGAAACTGCATTAGATAAAGTACCCTAACGCAGGGCAAAGGTGATTTTTTTCTCTACGAGTCATCATAGACCAACATTCTGTAGATTAGATATGTCAGTATCCTGTCACTCGATGTTCAGAAGCACAGACCTTGTACCTCTTTTCATATTTTATATATAATACTGTAATAATTAAAGTATACACTTCAACTCACCTTTAAAGAATTTCTGTGAGAAATTGGATTGATCAAAGGATCGAAGTAGAATGCCGGTAGGTCAGGATCTTCCGTTTTTATGTAAACAACATTCGGCGCATGATACCTATAAACATTTTATAAAAACTCACGATTAATTTTAACTAATTACACACTAAAGCCATTTTTTTATAATAAAATTAATTGTAGGTAGTATCAGCAGTCCCCAACGTAACTTTTCGAGGCGACGAATAACAACCACCTTTTCTTCTACCACACTGCTAGTAGAACTTAACATAAAACTACAATACAAGTCCTAAAACTAGTGTGGTAATCATTTAATTAAACAAGCTAAATTAATTTGATGTATTAAGTATTTACAATCATATAATATTCAATGCACTTACCAGGAGAGGTGTACGAAGTGCGGCATGTTGTTGTACAAGTACGGAAAGGCAATTCGGTATTCAGTACGAATAGGTTGTCGAATAATAATTTTGTTAATGTCATTAAACTCGTTCCAGTCTTCATCAGCCGCGTTTGAGTCTTTAACCAAAGGCTCGAATTTTGGTCCACCAGGAATAGCCATGTTTAAAGCCTTTGCAGTGAAGAATGACTTTGGATCAAAAAGGTAAAAGAAATTCTGATCCACTAGATCAGTTAGAAGTTGATTTGCTAGTCGATAAAGTGTCGCCATTTGCGGTAACGATAAATTCCAACGACGGTAGGTCGACCCATTGACGTGTCTGTAAAATAAAGGTAACGCCCTGTGTTAGATTTTCCAAGTAAGTATATTTCTAAAATTGTAATAAACTATTATTCATGTTGTGTTCAGGATAGCGCTTGATCCAGCCTAGACAATTTACCAGACTCGTCTCAGACAATCCTGATAAAAATACTAGACTGCCAACCCACATTTATAGTTGGTTTCAGGACCCCTACGCATGTCATCATCTACACATGGCCGAATCATTTGTTCTAGTAGTATTAACATAGTGACTACATACTTTGTACCAACAAGTGGCTTGTGCTCGTAAAACCAGGATGCAACAGATTCATCTTCTTCGGAGTCTAGTTCAATTTGAATAGCTTCGAGAGGTTCAACATCCAAGACGTTGTCCGCATAATCCAGTGGTGGTTCTTCGTCATCGAAAGGTGGAAATCTCATTCTTTTGAAGTGACGACGATCTCTTTTTTCTCGTCGCATCATTATCCACATAGTTCTGAAAATAGGGATTAATATTTTCTATAAATTCATTGTAATGAATCAATCATAAGATTTATTTATAAATTTATACTGTTGTCATTTTGGAAACTGCATTAGATATACTACACTAACACAGGGCAAAAAGTAACCTTATTTTACGAGTCGTGATAGGTTAGTATATTTAAATATAATAATACCAATATCCTGTGGCTCGATAAATTTGTTAAAATGTTTAAAGAAAGAAGTATATAAACTTACCCCCATTGAGCAATATAAACTGGTTCAATAACCCAGGGAATTTCGTTCACAAATGTAATGGCTCCTGTAATGTGATACAATACTTTTACATCACGGATTTGTTCCCAAGGCATTGGCATATTTTCCAACAGTTTCATGACAGCATGTGGCATGTACTTCAGAGCTCTGAAATAATTAAATTATATTTTAACTAATGTAACAGTGTTAATCATATTATTTTCTAATAAAATGAATATAGTAATTTCATGTTACCCTAAATAAACACGCTTGTCATGTCTATATTTCCTGCTGCTCATATCGCCATGATCACGAATAATTTTTCTTATATGTTCTGGAGGCATATCCTCCTTCTGTGCATCAACAAAGCCAAACTTGCGTTTCTCAGCAAATCTCTTTGATTGGAGTTGCTGCCATTTCTGAGCCTTTTCCTGCAGTTTGTCCTCAGAAAGTACTTCAGGCTGCTTAGGTATTTGTGGTAATGGAGGTCCAGCCATGGCATGCAAGTGTGCATGATGTGCTGCTTGTGCATGAGCTGCTGCTTGCGCATGAGCTTGCGCAGCAGCAAGCTGTGCATGTGCTTGTTGTTGAGCCATCATCGTGGCCCAAGGGTTGGGCCCCAATAGATATGGTGGTATCGACATTGTTTCACAACAAATTGTCCTCTCCGCCTATAAAAAAAATTAAAAAATATTATTATTCACAATTGAAGTTAATACAAACTCGGTATTAGTATTAACAAGATAAATTCTAATGTTTTTTGAAATATATTTTCCTTTCATCGAATCCAATGATATACGCGCCACGTTACGCTATACATGTCCACACATAACCAGAATATTCTGATGAAAGTTTGAGCACAAAGTTCCGTATGTAATACGTATGAATGTTTAAATATTATGTTTTATCTTAAATGCCGCTATGTCAATTTTTATGAAACGTACCTCGAATGTGGCTTACGCCCACGCTAGAAACACTACGCTTGCAAACAATTATCGTGACTACAAGCTTGTATGTAGAATGAAATTACAACCGCATCCATCGCTTCACCTCGCCTCGTTGCAATTGCCCAGTATATGTAATACACGAGATTGGATTCTATTTGTGCGTTTCTTTCATGGAGCCAGCAGTACCAGTCATACTCATGAGCCAATAGTAAACGTGTCCACAAGAATTCACAGTTTCTTATTGGTCGAGAGTCACGTTCACCCACGTGTCGGTTAATGTACTTCCGCCCATCGGGTGGAAGCGAAATCATACATTTCGCACGGAATATTCGGCTAGGAACAGCCGCAAATAAAAATATGAACCTTTTTTTTTCTCCTTTATGGGGTTAAAATGTGGGAATAACAAAAAAAAGGATACCTCTTCGAGATACATGCAGGCAGATGCGCAGATGATCCAAACTTTTTTTTTACCAATTATGACTGATCAGTAGTAAGAGCAGCTGGTGAGAAATGTATGATTAGCTGCTCACTTGCAATATTATTTAAATAAAACATTAAACTGAAAATTCAATGAGGTTTTCAGTAAATTTGAATTTTAAATATGCAGCATTTCATATTGTATTAAAAAAGATAAACAGATGATCAACATATAGGTTTAATATAAAAAAATAGTACGTTAGCAATGCATTCCGATTTACTATATCTAATATCTTCCAGTTGGAGACGTATTTCAATGGGAACTTTTATGAATGTTTTGTATTCCAGTTAAATATACATCAATTTTCTTCAGGTTCTATATTTACACATTTTTTGGAAGTGAAACTCGTCCTCGTGTTTTCTTAATTGTCGGAAATATCATCGGTTATGTTATTGATATCAGAATCCTCGCTGATGTTACAATCTGTGTATAATTTTTCCGTAATATAAGAATCATTTTCTTCACTTGATCTTCTCTCGTATGAAGAAGTTATAAACGATTTATCATCTTTAATCGAAAATTTAGTCTCGTCTTCATCTGTATCATCATCTGTCTTATTATGCTGTGAGTCACCATTGTTCGTCAACATTGCAATAGGTGTTGATGATCCTGATCTTCTCTCGTATGAAGAAGTTATAAACGATTTATCATCTTTACTCGAAAATTTAGTCTCGTCTTCATCTGTATCATCATCTGTCTTATTATGCTGTGAGTCACCATTGTTCGTCAACATTGCAATAGGTGTTGATGATCCTGATCTTCTCTCGTATGAAGAAGTTATAAACGATTTATCATCTTTACTCGAAAATTTAGTCTCGTCTTCATCTGTATCATCATCTGTCTTATTATGCTGTGAGTTACCATTGTTCGTCAACATTGCAATAGGTGCTGATGATCTTGATCTTCTCTCGTATGAAGAAGTTATAAACGATTTATCATCTTTACTCGAAAATTTAGTCTCGTCTTCATCTGTATCATCATCTGTCTTATTATGCTGTGAGTTACCATTGTTCGTCAACATTGCAATAGGTGCTGATGATCTTGATCTTCTCTCGTATGAAGAAATTATAAACGATTTATCGACTTTAATCGAAAATTTAGTCTCGTCTTCATCTATCTTATTGTGCTGTGAGTCACCATTGTTCGTCAACATTGCACTAGGTGTTGATGATCTTAATCTTCTCTCGTATGAAGAAGTTATAAACGATTTATCGACTTTAATCGAAAATTTAGTCTCGTCTTCATCTATCTTATTGTGCTGTGAGTCACCATTGTTCGTCAACATTGCACTAGGTGTTGATGATCTTAATCTTCTCTCGTATGAAGAAGTTATAAACGATTTATCATCTTTATTCAAAAATTTAGTCTTGTCTTCATCTCTCTTATTATGCTGTGAGTCACCATTGTTTATCAACATTGTACAAGGTGTTGATGTAATAGCACTGTAAGAATAATAAAACCATTGTAGTATTAATTTTAGTAAATTATTTTTAAGACTTGCATAACTTACAGCTTGCATTGTGGAGTGTTAAAAAGAAGCATGGACAATACACAACCTTCATAACCATTCTCTTCAGAAATACTAAACTCAGAAAGAAGAATGTTGTAAAATTACTTTAATAACAATAACATCAATTAAATTAACATATTCGAAAAATAATTATAGTTACTTATAATCCACAAGGTCTAGTATTCTATTTTCCTTTATACATTCCTCAATATAGCGAACATGGAAAACCATTTTATCGTTTGGGAAGCATCCTGGCATGGAAAAATTGATCACAGGATAGTCTCCAGTTACTGATACCTCTCCTCCATTATCCTGTAAACAATTTTAATAATATCTGCAAGTGAAAATAAAGTCAAGCAAATAACTGTAATAATAATACACACAGTAATAAGTTTTTCATATTTATCATATTCTGATTTTGGAAGGCCAAACAAATGGAATTTAAGAGGCCTTATATTATTAAATACAAATAAAGCCATTCTCATGGTGCTGATTAGTGCTGATTAGTGCTGCTACATAACCGTCCATAAAGTACGGGAAACAAAATCGAAAAAAGCAAAATAGTGGGAGGTGAACCAATGGCTTAGTTTCCACAGTGCAGGGTTGATGTAGAGTTAACCAATCAAGTTAGCTCATTCCGCTCAAATCTCGTTTCTAATTGGTTAACTCTATTTCAACCCTGCACGGTGGAAACTAAGGCATTGCTAGAGTAGGCTCTTCCCCTTCCAGGAGTATAAGTTTTATGAAGTAGCACTAGATTTTTCCATCTATATATTTTTTCTGGTCGCCGGTTATCGTCTGCTAGAATTGACTGGAATGATTGTTTGTCATTTTATGATTCTCCGTTTCTCGACGAACAATAGAAAATGTTATTGTACGCGATAATTGGTAGCTATGTTATAACTTCAGTGATTCTTTTTAAATATCCGACATTAATACATAAGAAAAAGCGAATAAAATTCACATGCCATCATATCAGTCATAGAGGAGGTGAATATCAATTATGATTTAAATATCTTGTCATAATTTCTTTCTTTAAATATCAAAGTGTACACAATGTTATATGTGACTCATTACCCTTTGTTTCAGGTGCCGGAGAAAATTATGAAAATACCATGTATGCATTTAAACGGTAAGTTAAATGACTATACACTACAGTAATAAATTATTATGTTTTATATTAACTTATTTTAAATGTTTAGTTACCATTTGTCAAAATTATATTTGTATATATATAAAATATATATCTGTGTTTTGATATTTGTTATAAAATATTAAATCATTACTTGTCATGTAGAAATATTTCTTATAGAATCAATATACATGAATTTATATATACATATAGATCTAATTGTAAGTTTGCTTATATGCGTATATATATATATATATATATATATATATATATTAAATGAAAAATAACTAATTAGAGCAGTAGCTATTGGAACAGAGATGTTGGAACTGGACTGCCACTTGACACGAGATGGAGAAGTTGTTGTGTCTCATGATCAAAATTTACTCCGTAGCACTGGAACTAATAAAAATATTTCAGAATTAAATTACAAGGATTTACCCTTGTTAAAACAACGACTGCCCATTGATTTTGACCCAGGTATTTTCACACCATACTTTACACTTACATTAATCAAAAACAACTATTTAATACTTGACAAACTTGTAGAAAAAGAATTTGTTGGCTCTGATAATGTAGAAGAGCGACGTTTCCCACTCTTGCGTGATGTATTTGAGGCCTTTCCTGGTATGCCAATTAATATTGATATTAAAATAAACGATGATCAACTTATAACTAAAGTTTCGGAGTTAATAAAGCAGTATCATCGTGAAGATTATACAGTATGGGGTAATTTTAGTGATGAAATAACGAAAAAGTGTTATCGTACGGTTAGTAGGTTACATATATTTACGATATACATTTGTAACTAGTATATTATTTAACATCAATCTTTGCTTCAGAATCCTAATGTCAATTTACTCTTCTCTATGCAACGTGTAACTCTGTTAATCATTCTAATGTATACTGGCCTATTACCATTTATATCACTACGAGAAACTCACTTGGAAATATTCCTTCCGTCCATATATCTTCGGTAATGTTTTATATTATTATTATATCTTGCAGTAATATAAAATGAAATTATTTCAAAAATTATCGTCGTAATTGTTTTTAACAGTCGCAAAGGGAGGCCAAGCTCCACATTTTTGCCATTGGAGAAATTAGTAGTCCGGTCGATAAACATTTTATTAATGAGACCATGCCTGTTTAATCATCTACGAGCTCGAGGAATACACGTAAGAGAAAAACACATTAATTTTTCTAAATTTTCATGGTTATTCTTATTTATATATCATACAGGATGTGCCATGTTACTTAGAATTACTGAACTGTTTTGCAGTTACACTCTTTTAATAGACATTAATTGTATGAATCAAGTGGTACATCCTGTACAATTTATTGTTTTACAGTACCAACGAATCAGTTGATTAAATATAATTTATGTTTGCTATCATACTAGGGAAATAATACCACTTACCACTGGGTAAATCTTTCTATGTTTTTCACTACACATTTCTTCAAGTAGTACAATTGTAATACTACTAGTGCAATATGGATATGCATTTTTCAGGTATATTTCTGGGTGTTAAATGAGGAAGAAGAATTCAAACGAGCCTTCGATCTTGGTGCTACTGGAGTGATGACAGATTATCCAACAAGATTGAAATTATTTTTACAAAATAATGTACATGAATAGATATTTTTGAGGAACTATTTATTCAGGCAACAATGAAATATGGTCACAATTTTGTATGAGTATTTTACGTATGCAAAACTCCTAAAGAATAGGTTGCCTTCGCTAAACTGCTGCAAATTCTAGTTATAGCCCACATGATGCTCCTTTGATTAATCAGTATGCACACTATACCACGAGTTATTACGGATTATTTACACATTATTTCAGTATTATCACTAATGAACTATCAAAAGACTTTTGATCTATGAATTTTCTGATGAATAACGCATTTCAGTGATCATTTTATTTATTCAATTCTTTATATACTGATATTAAGAATGAGCAGACAAAGATCTTTGCACGAGGATTCTGTTACGATTTATAAATATGTTTGATAGTGAGCAGCTAGGTCTTTATATAATTGTTCGCTGCAGTTTGAAACTAGTCAGTATAATAATTTTTAGTATACTTTCAAACGCACCTAGTTAAATGGATATATTGCAAGCTTTTCATTATCAGACTCATTGAATAACAATACAATGAATATTATTATTACTCGGCATCGAGACTTTTTGACACGACTAGATTTATATTTGCGATACGAAATTTCTCTCCAGTATAAACTAATATAAGGTACTGTTTGTATAAATTGCCATTAATTATTCGAGCGCTTTTATGCGTACAATATGTTTATTTACGCAATAAATAACTGTTAAGGATATTTGAGTATTATTGAATTTGATTGCCTGATACAGGTGTAATAAATGTATAAGTTATTAATCAGTTGCATCGTTTTATGATATACATATATTACACTTCTGATATTTTACTTAATTTTTTTCAATTAAAACTACAATCAGAGAGTGCAATATTTTTGTCGTAAAGAATTGATATAATTTGAGATTTCATTTATAACATAGAAATTAAAATTTATCTATTAAAAAGGTATTGATCTATATGACCAATGTCATGGTAATTGGTATTAATCCAACAGATCTAATTGTTCATAATCTGAAAATGATCAACATATCGAACTGGCTCAGTCTTCTAATTACATTTTGTAGACTAGCTCAATGATGACATCTATGGTAGACATATTCTCGAGTTTTGCAATTATTATCATCATCAATTGTGTAATATAAATAAACCTTTTTTTTACAGTATTGGCAAAACTTATTGGATGGATGAGATATTCCAAAATGTTTCTGTATTGCCTCATTGTTAGCAGGAAGTTGTACTTGACAGATTTTACAATAAATCAAGGATTGTCGAAACCTCTCATGAACTGAATCCGTGACAGTACGACGTTTGTCGCCTTTCTCTCTACCTGGTGAATGTGCAGAGGAAGACATAGTACTTCTGAAATGGGAATAAGACAAAGAGAACAAGAGTAAACAATTAGACAGATGATTCTTTTATAGGTTAGAAAATGCAAGTATGCTTTATCTCACTTGTCTCCCATTGATTTCTTCCAATTCATCTACACATTATTTAAACGTTGTAGTAGATCACCAAATACTTCTAAATGTTAAAAGAGATTCTCTAACGAACCAATAACGTTTCTTATTACTTGAGCTACGTATTACTCAATTCATTTAAATACTTCCACCATGACAGTCAGACTGTCAATGACACAAAGAGTTATCCAATGAATATAAAAGACTCCTATTTAATTCACTTAAACGGTAAATTCTAGAAAAAAAAAAACTTAACATTAACGGAAGGAAATCGGGTTTCGCAATAAACTTTATTTAAAGTTATGAGGAAGTTTATTTAGAATTATGATGTATTAATAAATAGACTTTCATGGAATAGTATGGAATTGATTTTAATATTTTTGAACGTTACAAACATATTATCGGTGTCGTCGAAATTAAGGTCTTACACATGGAAAGTTTTGTTTCATTCTGATACAGTAAAAGAATTTATCATGACTCGTTAAACATATAAAGTACAAAACTATATTTATATGGGTTTAATCTTGAAATGGAGTCCGATTAGAGAGAAAACAAGACATTTTAAGTCTTGGACAAGGTAATAGAAGCATCGCAGTCCTTCAGGGTCTCGAGATTGATTAACATCTTGCAAGGATCCTGTCTTGGATGTGGTGAAGGAGATATGTTCATCCCCAATAACAATTTCCAGTTCTTGACGACCAACTCGGTCAGGCTGTGGCCATAGGGAGTCATCTTCTTGCATGATTTCTGAGTCTTGTATGATTCGCTTCAACTCTTCCATTACACAGTTATGTACATAAGCTTCCTTACGGATCATTGTATCGTTCTTGTAGTTGGAATTGTTGGCATAACGTAGCTTGCCATCAGGTCGAAATTCGAATTCTAAAAATTCGTGGCCAAATTTTCCCTTGTGGCCCACGTAATAACGTATATAAAAGTCCGTCGACATTCCTCAGAGAGTACAGCTGACTATCGCAGAGTTTTATTCTTTAATAGACTTAGTATAACTCTTCTCAATAATAAAATTTCGTGCTTCAAACAAGGCGTCCACGCACCGCAAATATTTTTGAGGTTACGATTTTTTCGGTTATGATGGCTTCGCTTTGTATTTGGGATAGTTCCCATGAAACGATATGGTAAACGAAAATGAAAATCTGGACCGTTATGTTTTTGTTACCAACCAATTACAAAGTAGTTAGAAATTTAAGCTACTATTGGACTAAACAGAAGTATCAGCTATAACCAACTTCAGAGTGACCAATTGTGCGCCGATTATCGCCAGCTGTCTCAGATTCTTCAAATAGATTGAATTCTTGCATAACTTTTATTCATGGTTAAAAGTAATTGTGACAGTTCGGTAATTCGGAATTCGTCTGGCAGGAGAATGTCGTTGAAAGTCAAATATACAAAAGCCCAGATGAAAATGGAAAATCTTTCAAAGGATAATGTTATGTGTCATGAAAACCGACGACGTTAATGAGTAACTCAAATGAATCAATTATAATATATACATATAATGGAAATAGTGGGTGGAGTCTTCTACTAATAAACATAACCACCAGCCTTAAAACAATGATTTAATGCTAAGTCCTGATAGAAAGAGTAGAAACTTTATATATACATACGTGTACTTCAGAAGAAGATGAATAAAAATCAGGAGAAACGTGTCTCATTGCCCAGATGGCTGTGGCCAAATTCGCCAATGCTTCCACCTCTATATCGCAGAGTCTGGGATCTTGTCAAAGAAGATCATCCTGGACTTGGTGCACAACAGGGTGAATTATTAGTTGACACAAACAAAGTTTTTCCTCTATTACTTACAAGTCAATTACCGATGGAAGTACTTGGATATATATGGAGCCTTGCAAATCAAAAATATGCTGGGCAGCTTACAGAGCATGAATTATACATAGTACTTGCACTAGTTGCTGTTGCTCAGGCATCATGTACATTCACTAATTTGGATGTCTTGCACATGGTGCCCTTTCCCCCAATGCCCAAGCTTAATCTACCGATAGCTACCTCTAAACTACATTCTACAATAGAAAGCAATGTGAACAAATCAGAAGCAAAGGTGGCTACTCAAAAGACAGTTGCTAATTCAAAGTTGCAATCAATGACACCAGACGAGATTACTTTTAATATTACTACTCCTGATACAAAAACTATTATACAACCTAAAACAATAACAGCAGCAAGAATGTATTCATTACTGTCTGCAGAAAGCAATTTCAGTACTTCTGGTCTAGATGGAAAACATGGAGTTTCACAAAAAGCAACTACTTCAACAAAAATGCACTCCTCGGTCTCTGCAGGAAGTAATTTAGGTAACTCCAGTTTGGATTTAAAAACAGTAGTTCAACCACAAGTAGTTACCACGTCGAAAATGCACTCAACACATTCTTTGGAGAGTAACATCAATATTCCTGATTACGATGGAAATGTTGTTGCTCAGCCAAAGGTAATTAATTCAATAAAATTTCACTCCTCATTCTCTGGAGAAAATACTTCAAGTATCGCTAGTATCGATGAAAAATATATAATGCAAACAAAGCCACAATTCAAGCCAGCCACCTCTACGTCATCCACATTAATGGACACTTTTACCTTTGATACTAAAATGGATAAGACCAGTACATCAGTTCCAGTAGATGCTCCACCAATATTTCCATCCTCAGTGCACGTGATGCATACAGTTCCAGTTATATCTGCGACGCAATCAGATCCTAGTGATGAATTCTCAGAATTTCAAAGTGCACCAATTCCTAGTATTCCAAGTATTCCAATCCTGGATACTAGACAAGGTTCTGCGATAGGCAGTAGACTAGCTAATCACAATCTTGGAGTGAAAAAGTCAACTGAGAAAACGAAAAAAGCAGCTTCAATTAAAAGTAATCATAGTCATCAGAATCGTAGCAGTGTTAGTGTAAATTCCGTAAATGGAAGTAAAGATCTGCTGTGTTCCGATCGACTTTCTGAATTATTTCCAAAATGTTCTGTAAAACATCAACCAAAAACAGTCATCTTAAAGGATACTGCTATTCGGAGTATCGACTCTCCTAAGGAGAGTACAACTGTATTCAAGGATTTTAATGTTACTGAGAAAATCCCAGCAGTGAATATTGGAAATTCGATGACTCTCAGCAGTGGTGACAAGCAACCTGGAATGAAGGATTTTTCAGGTATTCAACAAGACCTTATGAATTTACAAACAGTAGAAGATAAGTATAGTGCACTGAGAGTTTTGGTTGAAGAACCAGTAACTCAATCTGCACCAATAATTCAACCAATAGCTGTAACACAACCAGTATCGATTGTCCAATCTGTACTGAAACCAGATTTAGCTGAAAGTCTGTCTGATGACTTTGGAGATTTTGTCTCAGCCCAACAACCAGAACCTGCACAGATGCTAAAGTCATTGAATTCTGGCCAATCTTTAGATTTTCTAAACGATTTTGACTTTCCGCAAAGCACCACTGACAACATTGGTAAAGGAGAAATTTCATTAATGCAAGAAATATCTGAATCCTTCAGTGGATTCAAGATTGAGGCAGATCAGCCAGACGATAAAATCGATACTATTGCTGAAGGAGGTAAACAAATTATTTTGGAGTGCATACAATTGTTAGCATTGACGTTTGAATTACGTATTTTTCTTCTGATGTCCTAGAGAAAATTATGCAGAGAGAAGATACTATATCTGTAAATAGCATTGAATCAGGAAATGGAGCACAGAATACTTTAAATCGATCTGGATCGGTGCCTAGTTTGGATCTGAAATCATTTCTACCTGCGAATCAGGAAGAAGAGCAGCCAGTCGAAAATATGCACCAGGTGAGGCAGATACATAATTAATTACTCATTTTATAATAACACATCTCATACAATTAATCCTGAAAAATTGAACTGCACAGCTTATCTACTGGGAATGGAAACAGTATATGGAAAGCTGCATACTCCTACTTCAAGTAGCAGCAAATATATTCACAAGCATTAGTTCTGACGTTGTACTTCGTGAAGTATTATCTTCAGCGACGGGTTACAATTTTCTTTGCAGTGAGTATCTATATTCACAATACCAAAAATAAACTATAACTTTAATTAATATATTTGATAGTTATATGAAATAATTATCTACTAGATTTAGCGGAAGTAGCAGCTGTATGCAGGCGAGTAAACTTTTCTTATAAGGAAATGGATATGAATATAATGGGGTTTGATGATCTCTTGATGGATATTGATAGAATCTGGGCGGAAATGGAACCGTTTTATGCTAATATTCCAGTAAGTAATGAATATTATTTAAAAAAATTCTGATTAGACAAAATTAACAGAATTATTTTTTAATGCTCAGATCGTAACAGAATTACCAGCCTGGCCTTTACACCAAAGCGAAAGTACGACCTGTGCTCTTTGTCTTACCGTAGTCACCAGTGGAAAAATAACATATAACGATAATAATTATCACATAACTTGTGCAAAACTATGGTTGCATTGTGTCAACAATAATTTACCAGCGTTGTGTTATCCATCGGCATATTCGCACTCAACAATTTCTTTGAGCAGCAGTCACATTTGAAGTAATTTGTTCTTTAAATAACATAAATAATTCGAAGTAACTCATGGTAAAGAAACAACTGTTCTTAACGGTCTTATCGTACCGAAAAAATTCATAAATCTTTATTACAAGATTTACACTATTGAAACGATCGAATTAGTCAGCGTTTCATACATTGGTTATAGTGGTAATGATAAAATATTTAAATAACAGAGTAAGGAATATGGAGTCAATTTTATGTATGAATCATATCTTGTAAACTTATGGTATCTTGTCTACTATCGTTGGCTTGTATCGCGTGGCCTGTATACAATTCCACGGCTTTTCATTTCGCGAATTACACCAGCTGGCAGACGACCTGACACTGATATTGCATAAACGCCCTTGCAAAAACGATCTGAAACATCGGACAGCAATTACAAATAAGTGTAGAAATTGAAGAATAGATGAATCTCTAAATATTCCTATAAAACATTACACTACTAAGAAATGGATAAGATTTAAGCTTGAAGAGAATAAAGAATGTGTTCCATGGAACTTTGTGCTAGCTAAAAATATTTTAGCTCAGGAACCAAATAGATAAATATTATACAAACAGCATTGAGTTATCACTTACTTATCCTTTGCCATTTACAGACCCAACTATCTTCAGGACTCATCACAGCAATCATGCTAGAATAGATGAAATTGTTAAGTTAACAATTATAAAAGAAAAAAAAAAGAAAATTGTCTTACCCATCAAAATTTGAACTTGTGCAATCAAAAACATTGTCTTTGTTATTCTTCATTCGTAGAAATTCATCGCAATTGTCACAACCATCAACTTCAAACTGATCAAACGTCTAAAGCATACAAAAGTGTTTAAATTGTTAGACATAATTTAAGAAAAATGAGTTACTCCATCTAAAGTCAAATTACTTTTATCAACGAGCAAACCAAACATGCTCTCAGGCCACGTAAATCCTTAGGAACAGTCTCCATAAGGATAACTTTGTATAATTACTTTATTAATATACAATTTATCAACAATATGTTGTACATTCAGTATTTGCACTTTAGAACCAGGTTACTCCAAAACACAACTATTCGGTTCTCTGATTCTAATGACAGCTGATGCGAACTTCCTAGAATAACGCTTCCAAAATTGTGAAAACAGCAGCACCAACATGAACAAAATTATCTTCCTAGAAATTTAGGACAAAAGCGAACGGTTATATGAGAGTGGAATTTTTTTTATAGTTAGTTTCCCATCTAGTATACTTATAGGTATACAAATATAAAGCCAGAGATGATAAAGCCGCCAAAGACAACTGAAGGAAAAGGAAGAAGAATCGGTTACAAATTTTTGAGAGGCACCGAACATTATTTGAGTGCGTAGAATAGCGTAAAGTGCAGTACAATATCTTGAGTGGGAGCCACGCTCGAGGCATATTTCTTGTGACTAGCCATAGCGAATCATGAAACCTGGAGGCACGACTAAAGTCTCCGCCGCCAAAAATTCTGTCGTCGAGGTTAGTGTGGATCACGCTATTACTAAAATTTCACTTGAAGTATATTCAATATAAAATTTTTATACAATTTTTAAGAAAGTAGAGAATTGTCTGATCTGTTCGAAAAAGTATTTACTGTATGTTATATTGCATAATATTTGTTAATAATATAACGGCCATTTTTTTTTATTCACTAACGGTCATTGAATATTTGAGTAAGTTTTGTTGCCATTAGAAAAACGACCATTTTTTCAATAGAGCATTTGAACAATTCTTTTTGTTGTTGTCTAAACTCAATTCTAAGGTTGAAGATATATTAACTTGATTACTTTAGAAATTTGGAGTTTTCAATGTATCTATAACTTTTTTGTCTAGTTGGTTGTTTGAATTAATGTTAGTTATTAATTTCAGGACGTTAAAACCAGGAAATCATTGCATGTTCTTCAACAAGCTGCAACGGACAAGGAAAATCTGGTGGGGGCAGGGAGAATTTTAAGATCCACGGCATTGGGCAAAGAAGCATTTAAGGAGTAACTATCATTGTTAGCATAAAAGCTAATGAAATATTTGTTAAATGTCAGTCATGTTTCTAGTGAGATGACAGACAAGATGAAGAACGAAATTACTAAACGTAAAAAGATTACATATAAGGACAGGGCTGTGCAAACTGCCTGGGGTGAAAAAATAAATATTAAAGTAGAAGATTTGACTTCTGAAGGTAAGCAATCCTATGAAATTTATATATCCTTATACAACTGTGTCAAGTATGAACATTTACATCTGGAGTAATTGAATCTACTGTATTTTCTGTGCCTTTGCGCTGCCAAGGATTTTGACAAAAAGTAAAAAATAAATACATTAACATTTGCTTATCTGAGTGAATAATAAAATTAATTTAAAATGTCATATCGCGTGAAGCTGGACCTAGTGAAAATTATTGGAAAGTTCTCGCCGAAAGACGACGAATAGCTCTAGATGATGCCTTAGAAGAAAACAAAGAGCTCACAGAACGAGTACAGAAGCTCGAAGAAGAAAATCGCATTTGCAAGGAAATGCTTGACGAAACCCGAGCGCTTGTTGAAGTTTTACAGGTATATAAATTTCTTATTTATCTTATAATTACCCTTAATTTTCGACAGAAATTAAATATGTTTCTTCTACTTCAGGAAATGATTGGCGAAGATCGTAGTGACATCAACAATTCTCTTGAGGACAGTGCGCTGTAATATGATTATTCGTTTCCCAACTTCTTATTTTGCTCGCCATAAATCCTTCAAATAAGTCCTTGAAATTGTTACTACTGCTATGAAATAATTTAAATCTTATGGAAGTTCGAGGTGGACTTATAATGTAAAGAGCTAGATCTTCAAATAAGATTAACATTATCATTATCGTTAAGGATCTCGAGTGTTAGGGTGGTGAAGTTAGTTATAATTTTTGTTACATTTCATTCCTGCAACCATTTCTTTTGTCATTAAAAAATCTTACTTCTCAAGTGATTAGTTCATATCTGTGTGCGTGCACGTGTTTGTTTTAATTAAGAAAGAAATCTGTAATCCTAGTGTTCGTTATGCATCTGATTAATATAGTAAGAAAATGGGGTCCATCTCGAACGTAATGTGTACCAATGTATATTTGATTAAAAAGTTAGAATCGACGAAAAAGAAGCTAATTAATGTTAATCATTAAGTTCTCCTTCAGTACATTGCTCGTATATAAGTTTATCTTATTTTTACAAAGAATTATTTAGTTCGACAGATTGCAGACTCTGAGAGTAGAAAATACGACTGAGACTAGAAAATAGAAATGTGCAAATTATATATTCATCGGTATGTTTGAGTAACATCCTTCCATCCTTTCCTTATGGCTGTATCCCCAATGGGGGACATGTGCCAGTAACTAGTCTTATATAATCAAGATTGAAGCTGGGCGCGAATTCCGAGAACCTTTCGGTCGTGAATCCGCTACTCTAATGATTGGGCTACGGTCGCTCCCTATGTTTAAATAATATTTATTGAAAAGAAAAATTTCTCTAACATTCATTAAATCATTTTTAATGTAATTCAACGTTAACGAATATTACCACAGCAACTCAAAAGAGTCTGGTTTTCACGAATAGAATAATATAAGAAAATCCTATTGATTTTTGTGTAATAAAAGAATTTCAGTATAGCTTTATTGTTGTCAAGTCCCGCGATTACTTTAGCCGTACATTCAGGTATTCATTATAGATCGATTATCTATACTTACCTACGCTACCCCTGCAATGACTCAGCTGATGTAAAATACTCGTAACAATATAAGTATTCTATAATAGAGGCTATCTTATCTTTAGGACATCGGCTATTGTTAAGACATTACCATTAATCCCTTAGGAAGCATGAATTAGTTGAAGAAAGAGGGAGTAATACATATTTCCTTCTCTTTCTATTTTACAAGGAAGTAATTGGTTCTTGTAAGCATAAAGTACTTGGAGTACTTGGTACGTGGCATACAGTCTGCTTCATTGTAAATATATAAACATATATATTATATCTTTGCAGTACAGTGACGCCCGGAATACAAAACTATACAGAAAAAAGAAGTCCGTAATGGTCGCGGAGAGCAGCCAGTGTTACACGTGAAAAAATTGAAGGATAAGTAAGATTACGCGCAGTAATAGAAAAACATGATAAAGAAACAAAGACAATATGATAACAATAACATAGATAAACAATCTGTTCAACGCAAAAGCGTCAATCTTCGTCCTTAAAGCGGCGATAAATAGATTGGACGTAGGTAAAAACGCATTTCCAATCCGGGCGGCGCATCATCACCATATCCTCGACGTCGAGTAGTGGAGCGATACCTGCTACTTCGCTAAAAATGAAAAAAAAAGAATAAAAACTTAATATAAATATTCAATTATATTAACAAATCGTTGCGGGGTCGAATCTGGACCGTTCAATGAAGTTGGATTCACGCGTTATAGAAGCACTAACCCTAATAATAATAAGTCAACAGGAAAATATTTTCTAACAGTTAATTGTAGCTAATTGCAATTATTTAATTATTTTCTAATTATAATATAATTTATAGAAAACATTCTTGGAAGATTTGATTATATTTAAATATATTTGGACTATTTTGCTCCACAAGGATTTTATTATGTCTTTATGTGGTAAGCGGTTTTTTTCTTGTATCTTTTAATCAATAATACGAATAACTTACTCGGCTTTGGTGAAGGCCAATTCGAAGTTCTTTCTGCGATCTTCAGGACGTAGACTGTGGTAATCGAAGGCATCGGGCCTGAAGTGATGGATCAAAGCGCAGAAGGCCAATCCATTGCTCCAGCTCGTCGAGAAATTATCTAACTGCACATTCTGTTGCGACAAGAGTACACGATTCACTCGTTAGAGTAATATTTCTGAAAATATTCTTAATTATCGTATAAAAAGTAATTTTAATTACCTCGTACTCCTTAGTTTTCGCTCGACACCATGCCAATAATCGTTCTTTGATATGAACCGCATTATTCTGCACCACGGGATCAGTAAACTTAAACTGAAAATCCTTCCCTGGTGATTTCGGAGTGCTGTAGTTTAATTACATACTTCAATATCGTTGCTGCAGGTTTTAATGATGAGTCTGATTGATTACAGTTAAGTAATAATGGCGCAATACCTTGGCGAACGGGGAGCGCTGTTCTGTCGATCGAGTTGGCGAAATTTAGCAAATGGCGACATGGGCTTCTTTGGCGCTGAAAAAATGACTTTGTTGGTTACTTAAGAGCTTGTCAACACTCCGCATTCGTTATGTGTATTAATCATTACGGTTTTATTAATGTAAGGCACGACGCATGCACTGTATGTATGTCGAACACATTAATATACATATATACATTTCACGGTTACTATTTATTACTCGCGCCGTTATCATTGTGCATCTCTGTGGTTCACACCTGTTCTCACTTTGCAACACGTCATCTATATAAAAACTTTTTCATGTGTACGTTGCATTGTGTGATTGTGTTTAATTCATTTTTTTCACTCCGCCATAGAGCATCGTCTCTTGTCAGACCGATCTTTTTGAAATTTATTCTTGTCCGCTTACCCTTGTCTTTCAACTTGTCTCTAGTCATTTATATTTGTTGCGTTTACACGTCCCACTCGAGGAATCCGAGAACCGCCAAGAAAAATTTTGCCTTTCCGATTGGAATTTTAATGTTTTTTGCTGAGAGGAATGTTGTGTTGGTTTAATGGATTTCAACAGCCATTGTTTGTTAACGATCATCGTATTTAATGACTGAATTTTAGTGTTGCGTGAGGTGCGTGTTCCCGAAGTTGGGTAATGAAAAAAATGAAAAAATTTAGACGAAAATATTGAAAAACAAAATTTTATATCCGAGGTGGTTTTCTACCACCGCTATCACTGTGCCAAAAAAAATGAGCAAAGAATGAAGTGGCGTGACGTACAAAAAATAGGTGTTCCTTGGCGGCGGATGACCCAAATTTATGATACTAATTCTGTCGAGTTGCGCCTGGCACGATTTTCTATTTTTATTCAGATAAAAAATAACCGGATCGATCAATCTTCCAGGTTCCCCAAGAAATGATTTTCAAAAATCAAAAGAATTACTGATCTTCGATTTTTTCAATTATAATACTGGCTACCCAGTTCCATCTGATTACTAATGCTTCAGTAGTACATGGGGTACGGTTTTCTTTGATTTGTTTTAATTTGTTTCTCATTAAAGAAAAATGCTCTAAATTAGAATATTAAGGTATAATCTGTGTAGCAAACTCTCTACTGTAAAAATTACACACTAGGTCTCATTTTATATAAGAGAGTAATCAGGAATAGGAGAAAAACAAAGTGTAATATTAAACTAGCCGAGAGTTAATGAAACTCACAATCTAAAATCTACGCAAACCTCGAGCTAGAAACTGCACACAAGAAAAATCCTATTTTTAACGTACCGCGCATAATAATCGTAAATCAAAAAATTCTATATAAAATTGTCGTAATGGTGATTCTTGAGAACAAAGGTTGATATGAAAAAGCAATAAAAAGAAAAACAAAAAGTAATAACGAAAGAAATTGAACCCCTTGAGACGCGATATGTGAGTGAAGAGAAGAATAAAACAAAAGGAACTCACTGCGTTCGGGGCTGCCAAAAGAAAACAAGAAGAAGAGTAGGAAGAAGTAGAAGAAGTAGAAGGTCCGCCTCTCGCAATCCCAGGGCTTCGGAAACACACATCGGACACGACACAGAAGAGTTTCGTCGGAGTCACTGAATTAATTAAGTAATATGATTGTCTTTAACTAGGAACAATTAATATGGAGAATCGGCACCGGTTGCTTCTCTGAAGAGGCTGTCAAAGACCCTGTCAACATCTCCGTCATCAAATTTTCCATCCTCGCCAATGTGAGGCATTGTTCTACTTCTAGCTAATCCCGAGTAGGTCTTCTTCGAGGAGAAGTGCCTCTTAGATTTCGATTCTCTCTTTGGTTCTTGATTCGTTGGACTTTCGAAATATCGTTGAATTCTTTCTTCCATTTTTTTTACAGTATCCGACGAGCTAGAAGCTTCATATTGCTTGTTTAATCTTAAGGATGGCGATCTGGGTTTTGGCGGTTTCGTCGGCGATGTTGACGTCGAATGGACATTCGATCTCGCCACAGCCAACTGGTGCCAGGATTCTGATTTTGATAAAACTATTGATCGAGATGGTTTTGTCGAACAGGACATCAGGTATTCGTCACTGGTATCTATTGGACTTGAATTCCTTGTGATTTTTACTATTTGTGATGGTGTCACTACGTTTACTTTTGGCAGGGATTTTGGTACTGTTACTGGTTTGAAATGCTGTGTTGCTGATGATCTCTCTTCAAAGAGACTGATCTTCTCCTGGGTGTTGTTATTCTCGATCACTGGTTCTGGTTTACTTCTAACTGGACTTGGTGAATGGGAGTTTGGAAATTCTGGTTCGTACTTTATTTTTCCTGAACTCGTTGAACCTTGACTAAATCTTCGAGGACTGTTAGAGTCTTGTCGAATTCTTCCTACATTTTGATAGTCAAATTCTTGTTTAATCTTTCCAGTGTTACTGGAGTCGATCTCTAATCTTATTCTTCCTGAACTGTTTGATTCTTGTCCGTTTCTACCAGAAATTGGTTCAGGTTTAATGCTATAATTTTTTTCACAATAATCTGACTTTGGTAAATCATAAGGATACTCTGGTTTAGATACTTCGTAAGCTCTATTACCAGGATATTCTGGTTTTGGTATTTCAAAGGCTTTACTTGGATATTCTGATTTTGGTAAATCTGTTGGTCTGGTAGGATACACTATTTTTGATGCCATGGAGGGATTTAATTGAATTTGTTCAGATTCTTGAACTTTTTTAATTAATTCTTGCTGTAACAAATTATGTCTTTGGATTTCATCTAGCTTCTTTTCTTTTGGTATCGAATAAGATTGTTCAGGTCCTTCGTCAGGACTTTCTGGCACTGAGGCTACTGTTGCTATGGCACATGTGTATCGAGTTACAACTCCTTCTGAGCTAATATCCTGGTTTTGTATATTTTCATCATCTAAAAATTCTTGGGTAGTTTCTGGCAATATAGGTACAGGCTGATAACTTTGTTCTTGAAGATCATGTGGGACTATGGAAGCTTTGCGTTCATTTTCTACTGGTGTAGTATAATGTGCAGAATCCTGGTCTTGTTTCGTTTTTTCACTGTAATGCAAATTTGGAGTTTGTTGTGGATTATTTGAAATTTGTTTCTCAGGATATTTCAGTGAGGGATAAGTTTGTGGCACATAAGGTTGATTTCCACTTTGTGAAATGGTCGGAGCAGTATAGCTTTGATGTTGCTTTTCAGGAAGGCTTGAATAATTTTGATTTTCTTTTTCAACAATGTTTTGTGTTCCATAAATCTGTTGTTTCTCGAATGCTCTTCTATCAGGTTGACTTTCTTTTCCTGCATAATTTGGATGACCGCAGCACTGATTTGGTTTCTTTGAGTAACTTTGTACACTGTATGTTTGACTTTGTTTTTGTCTGTCAGGGAAACTTTGTATTGCGTTATCGTAAATCTGCTTTTCAGGGTAATTCGCAATTTCATTGTATTTTTGTCGCTCAGGAACACTTTGCTTTCCATTATAATTATGTTTTTCAGAACTATTCTGTCTTGAATAACCCATACTTGTGCTTGTTGGTGCTTGTTGATAATTTTTTGCAAATTGATAGTTGTTGCTCTGATGGTCCTTCGCTGTTGTTGCATCACTGTACAAAAGTCTGTTTCCATTGTAACTTTGTACACCATTCAATATTTTGTTTTCTCCGCCACGAGTCTCTTGGTCATCTTGAGCATTTTGTATTTTCAAAAATATTGGTTGGTGAGTCTTATTCAAATAATTAACCTTTGATTCATTAATAATATTATGAACAGGTCCTATGCGTAAAGAATAATTCTCTCCAGAATCAGAAGGAGGTACATGTTCCGTATCAATGGATTTTCTTCGTAGATCTTTGAATGGATTCTGCTTTGGTGTATCCGGAGTCGTCACAGTAGGACACTTTGGTTTATTTTTATCAATATGCATTATTAGTTTCGTTGTAGCTGCACTAACCACGGATTGCGGGTAGGCGTTATTTCCCAATTTTGATTCATTTTTGTTTGGTACAAATTGCTTGCAGAACGAATTATAATTAAATGTGCCATGATCAGTAATTTTTTCGGATTTTCCGATCTGATAAACATTTTCAGGAATCTTATTGGGTTTAGGTTTGTACTTCGGATAATTTGGTTGATCTTGTTTCTCTTGGTCGAACATTTTCACTTTTGCTTGCAGCAAACTTCCAGATTTTGGCAAGTAATTTGGCTTTGGAAACGAAGGGGGGTCGTTCCTATTAGGTTTCTCAATTTTTTGAAAGGGCGACGTTGGAGCGTGTGTAAATCCAGTTGATATTTGCTTTCCCGGATTAAAAGGAAGTCGTAAAGAACCAACTACTACGCCTTCTTGATCCTCTGTGTCGTTGGGTTCCGAATTTTGAGTTCCCACATGGTCATTGTGGTTCCTCAAATCTTGGTGAAATTTATTTTTGTATACTTGATGGCTCTCTTGATTTTGAGATCCTGCCGTGAATTTATTTTTGATTCCTGAGTACGCTTCAGAATTTACGGATTTCGGTAGATATTGATATTTTGGTTCTTTATGATTTTCTGGCTGTTTGGACATCGGTGGGAATTGAATCCTTGATCCTAGATGGTTTTCTGAATTTCCACTATTTGGTAAAAATTGCCTTTTGACGCCAAATTGATTCTCTACTGTTTTGTTGCCGGATAAAAATTGATTTTTTGGTCCTGCATAAGTTTGAGGCTCCTTAGTTTCATGTACAAATTTATTTTTTGCTACTGTTTGATTCTGAGTTCCAGTAAATCCATTTTGGAATTTATTTTTTAATACGGAATAATCTTCTGGGTCCCTGGATCCGCTTTTCCTAAATCCAAAAGGATTTTCGTTTCTCTTAATGCCCGGACTCTTCACATTCCCATCGTCGTGCTTATCAAAAGCAGTTTTAATATTGGAGAACCTGCTGTTCCAATTTCTATCAGCTGCTGAATTATTGAAGCTACGAAAAGGCAATCCTGTGTTCACTGTGCCCGGATCGTTGTTCTTATTGAAAAGAGCCAAAAACTTTTTATCACTTTCAGTCCTGGCTTGAAAATTAGGCACAATATTTGCTCCACTAGGAGTCTTATCACCGATATTAATTGGTCTCTTCAAAGCCATGCCATTCTCAGCTTGTAACTTCATATAATTTGGAATATCAATAGTGTTGGCACGTTTGATCTTTGTTTTCTTCTCCAGGAACTTGTTATATCTGCTGCTAGGCGCAGGCTGCACATAAAAATTAGGAATAGGAATCTCTTCTTGAGGACTTGAGGGCTTCACAATTGGGTTATTCTTCGAGGGTTCTATCACTGGTGGAATAACTGGCGGTGGCACTGACGTAATCATCACAGGTTCCACATTAACTTTATTATTAACTTTATTAACTTCCTTCTGATGAGTACTGGCATCGTGGACAGGTTCATTATTTTCAACCTTATTAATTATCGGTTCATTAAGATTCTTTTCCTCGAGCCACTTTCTAGCCCTGGCAAGTTCCTCGCTCGTTACGCCTATAGTATGTCTATCCGTTCTTCTTCTTTTGTTAGGCGTAACTTTAGCAGGCGTCACTTGCTTCACTTCCTCAGGAATCTTCAATTTGCTTAGTAGATTGCTGATGAGTCGCAAAAGGTGTAACTTGTTGCCAGGATCCAATGTAGAACTGTATTTTATGAGTGTTGAAGCGTCGACCCTTTTAAGTGTGTCCTGTAGACGACTAAGCGCTGTTTGCAGATCAGAGAGTAGAAGATCTTCAAGAAACTTCAAATCCAATTGACGAGGACTACGTTCCGGACTAAGACCGGACGCCCACATCCTTAGATCCTCCTCAGATTCCAGTCCGGAATCTTCTGGTGGAATTGGCTCCTCGCTGCTTTGACTCGAACACGACAGCTCCAAGGCCGAACGTAGTCTCTCTACTAATACGGGCAACAAATTGCACTCACCAGCCTTCCCTCGTTCAGGGCATGACGACTGTGATGGGTTCGCAGGACTTCCGCTCTCTGCTGCTACGACGCTACTGGGCACAGGATCCTCGTTCTTCGGCGTTGGAGTACTTTCTGTTGGCAGAAGTGAAATGATTTTCTTTTCTTGTTATACAAAGGCTTGGTGCAACTTAGGTTTTACGCGTGAATGACTTGTCAATCTTGTAATTTTCTTTTTTGCTTCTATTTATATAGTGGAGACATGAGGATTTTACTCAGCGATCTTTATTTGCTTCACAAGAAAGACCAGGACAAAGACTCTGAGGACATTTTTGAAGTACTGGAAAATCAAATTTGATCTCATGCCAATTCTTTTCCTGGATCAATCTGGTACGCCAATTTTCCACATCTCTTAAAATAATACTAGACATCTGTCTGTTGGCCAGGATAAGCAACGTCAGTGGTACTAAAAGCTAAATTTACATTTTTTTTTAATTTATTGAAGTAAATTAACCTGCGAACGAACCTGGTTCTGGTGTGGCAACATCTGCTTTCTCTGTATCATCTTCGTCAGGTCGTGAACTCTCAGCGTCACTGGATTCACTATCAGCTGCAGATTGAATTTCTGCAATTGCAAATGAATTCGATTTTTTATATCGGCTTATTTTTATATATCTTTATATCTTTAAAATGATTCTTTTTCTCACCTTCCGTTTCCGACATTAGGGCAGTTCACTGTTGATTCGCCTGAAACGAAGAAGTTAAAATAATAATCGTCAAATTATTCAGTTGTCTTGAGGACGAAGTTTAGACTGCAATGAGTGGCCAAGTGCGAGGGATTTAGCAATCATGTTTTATTTCTCTGAATAAATCAAACGCCAGCAATCCATTCTTTTATTAGTATCTGCGTCGTTTCAATCTGCGTTGTAAGAGTTGAAAATGGTTCGGGAAGTTCTCGTGTGATGGAATTACAATGTGCTTCAAGGTCAGGACGGATTTAAAATAGAATGAATTTTCGCGACTATTTAAAATTCATGGAGACGGTTTTCGGGGTTGGAAAATTTACGGAAGAGAAGCAAAAGTTACGCTCAAAATCACTGTTGCCATTGTCATATTGAATACTCCATCAAATTGCATATATACTATTTTACGTATTTAGTATCATATATTTTTTATAATTAAAGGAAGCGCATTCTATGTTTATTTTAAACGATCATCATTATTTAAGCAAACGTTTGACCAGCACACGTGGAGAAAACTAGTACACCACGTAGCACAGGCATTGCCAGCGAATTATCACGTGCGAAAATAACTTTGACCTGTTTTGAGTAAACAGAGAATTCTTACTAATTTTGTGGGTTGCAGCATGGGCTCATCACTATACTTTACTAGACATGTTATACTTCTGCCTTATTGGTTAATTTTACTATACGGAAGTCACGAGAGACTTACGCATCCTCACGTCATAAAATTTACTCTAGTTATTTGTCGTATAATACAATTTTCTAAATTGCTAAATGGTACCGGTGGACTGTGATTTTGGCAGCATCAACGTTGAACTATTTTACACATGTAAAAGTAGGATGAACTCAGATGACTAATGACTTCGGAACTCAATTAGTACAGAATTAGTGTGAACCTGAAGGTTCTACTTGTTACTCAGACGATACCTGTTTTAAATTATACAGAAGTTTACCCTGCAACAAGTTTTTATCAACTGTTTCCCTTTTGCAGATTATGCAGCTACCCACTCCTTAGTGAATGTATCTCTGAACTTTAATGGAGCTCAAATGACGAATTATTTTGAAGCTTTTACCATGCTACGTGGGAGTCATTGAAAAGTAGATCCGAGGAAAGACAAAACAATGAGATACAACGTGTGGTAAATACAACGAACTTTTTGGGTCTTGGATGTCGCCTTGTTGGATGACATGAGGCATTAGGCATGCGTTGACGGAAGGGACAATAAAAGTAGAAGGAATACAAAGAAACTATGAAAAAGACTAATGAAGAGTATGTTCACAATGAATAGTTAGTTCACAATGAGTTGGTAAAAAGATAAAGAACAAATCGAGACTTCGAGTACAGTGAACTGTGACATTTTAATTTTTTTTTTTTTTTCTAAATGCGTCTAAACAGCTTTTTGACAAAATTCAAAAAAAAAAATCTAGTATCACTGACACGGATTACGTAGTCTCCTAGAATATTTGCACGCATATAGAATACTCTAATAATATTCATTCACAGAATAAGACAGCACGATGTGCCTCGCCAAAGTTGGAACAATGGTGACGAAGTGGGAAGAGAAAGAGAATGAGAAGAGAAGACATTGTAGACATTCTTCGTAGGACACCGTTCGGCTAGTTATACTTTTTGTCGTTCACATTAGTTAACACAAGTAGTTTTCTCATTGGGTATAAATATATAAATAATAATATAGAAAATAAATAATCATTGATCATCACGATATAGTTACAAAGAAACTAATGAAATTGTATTCTTTACCTTACAGGTCCATAATGAGGAACATGGAAAGAGAACAAAAAGTGGAAGAAATGAATCTGTAAGAAATAGGCAGAGAGAGAGAAAGAGAGAGGGCAAATGAAAGAGAGGAAAGAAGATGGTGGTCAGTGCACGCGGGACTACGGTAAACGGTAGTGAGTGTAGAACTTGGGGCCACGAGGCCGTCTTCTATAAATAATTTCATACATTATATGTATACCAACCGGGCAAACTAACGTCAGCCTTCGACAGTTTTACCTAAATATTTTACGATCATCCACGTATTTTTAGGTAAAACGATCGATGATGATGCAGGTGAAGAGATCCATGTTAGCCATGGCAGTTCACCCTGTTTCACATAATCTCATTATCATTCTCAATACTCATATTAATAATTACTCGCTTAAAATTCAACGCTAGTGAAAATTTCACGTATGGAACACGTGACGACTTTGATCGTGAAAAGTTCCACAGTTCCTTTTTTCTGGAGTTGCCTAGAATTTTTATTTAACTTTTTCATTGAGAGACAATTTTATTTTGAATTATTGTATGTAGGTGAGAGCAAAATAATTTGAAGTATTGATACCGACTGGTATTTTTAGATCTATGAGTTTTACTCTGATTTTGTAGTAATTGATAGGTTTTTTGTTCGTGTCTGACTAAATGGTTTTATATGATATTATCCAACTAAATTATTCTTAGTGTGACGCACTGTTCAGAGTACGTTCGAAACTCATGTCGATTGCAAAACTGCACTCTACGGAATGCACTGTTAGTCATCAGATTTATGTTCCTTTGTCATCAGGCAAATGAGACTTCCTAGGTTTTTGTTTTGTGTGGAATTATCCCCAATTCTGTTCTCATGGGTTTTATCCTCTAGTGAAAACACATACGTGATCAAAGTATAATTATTAGCATCGTTCTTAGAATTGATATGTAATTAAAGAATTATTTTTTTAGCAAAGTTATAAGCTTATAAGGTTACTTGCCCTTGAAAATGAGGATAACATCCTTTAGATCTAAAAGGAAGAAAGCGCGTCGTTAGCTCTTGCGTGTCAAAGAATTCTGCTTACCTCTAGATTCTCGCTAATTGTGCGTGCAAACTTAAACGCAAATATGTTACTGTAAATATTAGTGCCTCTGTGAAAGGAATACTATTTAGTGGCAGTATTAGAAAATTGGCATATCGAAATTTGAAATTTGTCCTAGGAGTGACTCCAAATTATTTCTCTGAAAGGAGAACAATAATTCTAAATACTTAAAATCGTGCGTAAAGTCAAGACTTTTTAAAAACAAATTGACAGCTGTAAATATTAGCAATTAAATGAATGAAGTTGAATGTCTGAAAAGTCTGGCAAGAAAAACATTTCAAAACTTTTCTCAATCTTCGGTCTCTCACTGTCTGGTAATTTGAGAAGTCAATTAATCATACTGAATTATAGTAAAAAGAGAATGTAAGAAACGAGGAACGAAACTAAAACCATTAATCATCAATCTAGATCATAGTTAGCTTCACAAAAATTAGCCATAAGAAAAATGTCAATCGAGCCTTTTATGGCTGGGAATGTCACGCATCTAAATTTCTCTCGTCTCAACCGCACGCACTAGATTTTTCCTAAATGTAATTTTAATGAACTCTCTCTTGAATTTTACAGGCCAAGAAATTTCGGAAAGAATCACCAGAAAGTAATCGCCGCCTTTTATGGTAAGGAGACCAGCATACCGCACGGTTAAATCTCGAGTAAGAAAAAATATAATGAGCGAATAAATCCATACCCCAATGAAAAAACCAAATCTCACAACACCGCACCCATCACAAGAAAAATCAAGAACATCCCCACAGTTAATAAAATCAAAAAGGAATCAAATAAACTCGACACACCACCACCAAAGAACAAAAAAATCTCAAGGAAAAAAAAGTACTTTTGGTACTCTAAGAATAATTGCAGTGCGAGGGTCTCCGATGTTCGGCCAAGCAGCTCGAGGTACAGAAACGTTATAACGAAATAGAATTTTCGTCGGATTCGAAGTGGAAAGAGAAAGAAGAATTTACCTTGGAGGGTTGGTAGGCAGCGGCGTCGACGATGGATTCTATTCTTTAGTAGTATAAAGGTGTTTATGGTCTTCGTATGGATGTTTGTGATGTTGAGCGATTATGGTGTTTTTGTGACGTTGATGGCGTAGTCGATGGTGGTGGTTGTTGTTGTGATGATGATGATGATTATGGTGGTGGTAGTGGTGGTGGTGGTGGTGGTGGTGGTGGTGGCGGTGACGGCGGTGGTTGTAGGTTTTTGGCCAGCGTGCTGCGTGGCGACTGCGCGGCAGACTAGAACTTCTTCTCTCTTCTTGCCGGCGCTGAAGTATGGCATCACTCGGACCAAATTAGATCTCTCGAAATAGCGGAGTTATTGCTGTTACCTCAACCTCCTGGCTATACCTTAATTTCCCGTAAATGAACTCCCTCCCCAGTACTCATAATTCATCCATCTTTCATATCCATAGATAGCCCGGTGTTCTTCGTGCATTTTTCAATCTATTCTCCTTCTTTAACTTTTATTTCTGTACCACTTTTCTTGCGCACATCTTTATCTGTGTGGCTCTATGCATCTTTTTTTTTTATTCTCATTATACTTTTACACGCAAGAACATCTCGGCTTCGCGGATGCTTTACTAGGCTATGACCATTTCCTTTGTATGTACCGTTTACCTAATTCGGATCTATTAGGATAATTTCCTTGTGGTGATTACGAGTGAAGCTAGTGGTTATTACATAGTGACAGGCTTGGTAGTTTCTCGGTGATAGATTTTACTGTGTTAAATATTCAATGACTGTAGCTAATATATTATTATTGTTTAATATACATGGGATAGCTAATAATTTTCAATTACAATTAACTAGAGCGGGTGATTCGTGAATTGTATTTACGATATATATATATATTAATTCTCTTTCTTCTTGCAGAAAATAATACGCTTCAGGGACTTCTAATTGCTACTGTTGTAATTGTTCAAGTTTAATTTCTGCTGATCAACTAATGTTTATTTAATTAATTTTAGTTCAGATCTCTGAATCAGCTACCTAATAATATTATATTATTACCGATAGAAAGACTATCTAAAGACTTTTGATTTAAATAAGATCAATGTCGTTTGTAAATCTATCTTTGATCCGAAGGATTTTCTTTATTCTTACTGCCAACTCGGTTGTTATCTGAATCAATGAGTAACACCAGTCTTGCTATACATATGTATGCATATCAGTGCAGAGAGAAATTATAATTTATACAATAGGTCGAGCGTGATAAAAACTACTGTATCCTGTATCTTGATATACATATTCATATTTAGAAATTCGTAGCATAGGACATTATCCAGAGAACAATATATACAGAAGTATTCATTCTTTTACCGGTAGGCACATTGAGAGAAATGAAAAGTGGATTAAACAAATTAATATTATACAAGGTGTTCGTTATGAAACGCACTGTAGTAACAGCGTTACATTCCTTTTCAAATTCTAATGAATACGTGTATTTTCATTTTTTATTTCATATATGAAAATTTCGAGATAATCAAGGTTGAAGTTGCAGTAATGCGACCAATCAGAACGCGTTTAAACGGAGCGTAGTTGACGTCGCGAGCCAGCCCGCAAGGCCTGCTTACAGGAGGCCAATAACACTAAGATTATCGTCGTAGTGTCCCTGTTTATCTGCATGCAATTGAGTAAGATACAAGAGACGATAATCTTAGTGTTATTGGCCTACTGTAAGCAGGCCTTGCGGGCTGGCTCGCGTCGTCATCTACGCTCTGTTTAAACACGTTCTGATTGGTCGCATTACTGCAACTTTAACCTTGATTATCTCGAAATTTTCATATATGAAATAAAAAATGAAAATACACGTATTCATTAGAATTTGAAAAGGAATGTAACGCTGTTACTACAGTGCGTTTCATAACGAACACCTTGTATAATATTAATTTGTTTAATCCAAGAGCGTTGAGGAAGTAATAATTCAATGTGGTGCCGGGCTACGTGCGTGAAAATAATTTTAGAATGAAAGTGAGTCTTGACATTACTGTCACGGAGTTCACTTGCATACTTTTTAACAGTGACACGACAATAAATAATCCGTTAATTCCGCATTGAGCATGCTGTACTATTTTATACATTATCTCTTAAGCCTCTTTACTGTAAATAATCTAATAACGCATTGCGGTTCTTTGACATTAGTTCCTCTTATATTCATTCTTACTTGTACTTTCAATATCACAATGCCATGACGATCACAATTGCGGTATATCAAAACCGTTCTATTGTCCCATTATCCTCTTGCCTATTGCAATACCGTGGGCGATGTTCTGAGGAAACTTAGGATTGATTCTTAATGTCAAAATAGATTAACTGTATCAGAGTAACAATCATGGGTGATTCATAAGATAATTTCAAGCTAATATTACTATAGAGTGATAGTGAATAGTCTTATAGATTTTTTTTCATGGATTAAATGAGGAGTGACTAGCGGACCCTGAAAAGTAGTAATAAAGTAGACAATTGTTCTAAATAGTTGGATGTATATAGTAAATAGCTATAAAAGAAAGAAATACTCATAAAGTACTAGTGACAATGGCTTTGAGAAGAATAGAGCTGCAACTATTGGCCAGTATGGTTATAATTCCTGGCATTCACCAGCTTAGAAGGAGAAGGAGATGGAACGTGAGTGAAAAATTGTATCCATTTGAGAGAGACGTAAGTCTCTCCCACCGGTATACCAACTTCGTTCTCCCACCAACCTTCGTTTAACTTCCACCTTCCAGGATCGCTCCACGACGGCGGAGGCCACTTTCAACTGGAAACCTGTTAACCTACTTGAGCCAGTCTTTGAGCTACTTCTCGAGGAGACTCATTGCGTCCGTTCCAACGTTGCAGGTGCATTCGTGCATGTGCGAGGATACAGCTAAAAGAACACGGACGATTTACCATCGTGAAGACAAAAAATCGACATGCACCTGCATCCGGATTCCTGGGACGTGGTTATAGCGAAGTACTGTTCGCTCTCTTTGTAATTACATCAATGGACTCTGCTCCAATTTTATCACGTGGATTAATTGCTTTCGATCGTTATTTATTCGTGTGATTGATGAGAAGATTAACGTATTTTTGCAATTCTTATTTCCCTTTTTCTAAAAAAAGTGCAGTGAAGGACAATGCAAACTGTTGAACTTGAGCTTTAAACTTTTATATTTAAGTTTTACGGGAACGATCATTTATTATGTTCAAGTAACACTAGACTTATTGTGTATTTTTTGCACTCACGTGTCTCCAGACGATTAATTGTCTGCAATGTGATTTTTTGTAAGATTGTATAATCGAGAGTGACTCTTTGTTGGTACTTGTTTTCGTGGGAATATATTCCAGGAACTGTTTTCACTCTCGTTATTCAAATAGAACGTCTCATCGTGTTTAGTATTGTTGTACGATAACAGCCGTAATTTCTGTACCGTAACGCTCGTTCACAAAGAAGTTCACTGCAGTGAATTCTACCTGGATATTGTATACCTTTACTAATATATAAAAAAATAATACCGGATACGAAGGCACCAGTGATATCGATCTAGAGAATATATTAAATAAGGCGGATGTATCAAGCATCCGGAACTTTATACTATATATGTTGTATAATTAACAAAATATTTTACTCTTTGATTTCAATTGTTTTTCAATTTCATTGTTTCATAAATATAAAGCTGTTCAAGCAAGTAATACTGAACTTATTTAAAAAGATATTTACGTACGCATTAATCAGCTGTGCGTCATAGACTAATTATTATATTTTTGATTATTTCAGATAAAAAATGAGGGGATGGTTCGATGCTTTTCGCAATGATGGCGGTCCGACCTTGTACAGCTACAGCAACAGAACACCAGTTACTGGGGATGTGCAGCTTATCACGATATTCGTGATATTCTGCACAATATATACAGCCTTTATAATAATATTCCCAGGGATACGCAAGCAGGTATATTTAAAAGTTCCACAATAAATTATTAGCCAAAAAAAGAAGTGGAAATTGGTCCATGCAAAATATACCATTCGCACTAGGTTCTTTCGATGATAATCAATTATACAAAACTCTAATATGTATTCGTTGTTTTAATGACAATATTTTTGCAGAAATTAACGACGTTCTTGACTGTTACACTTAGTATGTTCGTGGGTACGACGATTCAAGGTTCGTAAACCGCTGTCTCTTACAGCAATGTAAATTACTGGATACATTGCATAATATCTACGATATGCCTCTGTAGTTGCTCAATATGGCTCGACATGGCATACGGCCTCCACAACAGTCGTAAGTTCCTACAGTGCCTTTTCTAAGCAACGAATGACGGCCGAAATTGGCGGATTTATCGGTCTGATGCACATCAATATCACCTATAGAGGTAAAATCAAACAGCAAAGCTGACTTATGCATCAGTGAGATCAAATCAGAATCTGTCTCGTATTGAGCAATCGTTTTTTTCAGTATTGCCAGGATACGACGAGTTGAACGATGTTGAATTCAACGAGAGATTCTGGTGGAGAAGTCCTAACGAGATGTCGACTTCCTTCAAGGAAGCATTGTATCGCGGAGCACCTTTTCCAATACTTTCCGTGGCGGAGTACTTCAGCCTTCATCAGGAAGGATTCTCTTGGGGTAGCAAATATCGCGAAGCTGGTTATTACGCTTCTATAATGCTTTGGTAAATCAATGGCTATATTATATCATAGGATTTGATACGCTTTTTCTATTTAACATTCAATACTAATTTTACTTTTATATTTAGGACCTCTCTGGCTTCTTGGTTCATGATGAATCTTCTGCTTATGGTTGTACCTAGATATGGAGCATATAGTATGGTTTTTACTGGACTTTGTATGCTCCTTACTGATCTTACGTACTGGTCACTTCTACCATGCGATCCACTAGTTGCCCATGTCGATGGTTCCATTCTTATATTTAATTTTGGATGGAATTATTGGCTGGTGCTTGCTGCTGGTAAGTTTCTTTATTGTGGTACGAACGTAGATCAATAATTTCTGTTTATTTAAAAGTTTTAATTAAAAACAAATTTACAAAATTAGTCACTACGGGGCTAATGGCTTTAATTTAAATTTCATAACTTATTTTGAATAATTCAGAGAACTGTGTGCTCGTCAATAATGGGATCATGCGATTCCTTAATTTTAAAGAGCATTCTCCTTGTTAAGAACTGGATGATGGCAATATGTAAATACGGTTACATAATGGAAACCGCTCAGCTAAAACTACCGGTTTGCTCAAAGAGTAGGCGGCGCGAGAATTCTTACCGTTACATTACACAGTCTGGGTATTTACGGTTTCGTTATTGATTTTCTTATATGCCATTTATTATTCAATTTCTAATCAGTAGGATTCATGTACCATATCTTTTTATTGTCGTTGCTATTGAACTTTCTTTATTGCAGGCATCGGCTGCTTATTCACTGGAATGATCATCACGGCCATAGACCTAATCTTCCCACATCAGTTCTCAACCATCCTGGAGGTCGATTACGACACACCATATGATAGACACGTCATCATCGAGGAAAGTTTTGATACGAGAAATACAAGGCGCAGGTTACCTAAGATCGAGGATGCTTTTGGTGACCGGATTATAAGGTAGGTCATAGTTTTGAAAGATTGATTTAATATATATATCTATGGATTCCAATAGTTCTTATTTATTTTTATTGACAAATAATTGAACTTTTCTGTGAACAGGCAATTGTCGTCGAAATTGGTTGCTGAGAAGGAGGATCGTCAAGGCGTCATCAATCAAGGATACGTCTCGCAGGAACCTTCAGAATTTCAACACGAGATTACCAATGAGTCAAACAAGAGTAATTGGTCTTATCCTTTCCCACCAACTCCACGAAGAACTATTAATTGAAATTATGATAGTCTCCATTATTGATTTAAGGTCGTATTGAACACTTAATGTCGTACGTAGAGTTGAAATACTTTGACTACTCGTAATTAAATGTAAAGTTCATGTATTTAATGCATTCCATCGATATCATGTGCATTGCACTTTGGCAATACATTCCTAATTATTCGGCACGATTTATTTTGACGAATTTAATATTAATATCACGAAACATTTTTTTAAGCAGCATTATTCCATGTATTTTAGATAAATATTTAATAAATTGTCTTTTAGTAGCATATCAATTCTATGATATTCCTTAGGCTACCAACTGGCGGTAAAAATTAGTAATTTATGTTATTTGTACCGAGTGGATAAACAAGTAACATTTTAAAAGATTTATCTGATAAATATCGTTCGTGTCGTGGTACAGGATCACTTCAGAAATTCTAACCGGAAGAATCAAATAAATAATCTTTTGATTCGACCCTGAGCCTGTTTACTCCGTTCACATCATTGACGAATAAACCGTGAATAATTTGTTAGTGAGACACCAGATTTATTCCCGGTCATCGAACTCGTCAAGGTCAATAAGTATTGATGGCGGTGGAACCTTCGCTCTCCTCTCTCGCAGCAATTGTAACAGGACACGATTTTTTATGTGGTAATTCCTCTGTGACGTATATGCGAAGAATTTAAGAGCGCTAAAATCTGCTTGCGGTTAAAATTAGGGGTCATTATGAATTATTCAACGGATGCCTATATACGAATTTTGTCTATGCTACCAAATTCGTTTCTGATTGCGCTCCATGGTACAGGAAATGAAACGTTGTATCGATAAATAAGAATTTATTTTTTAAATCTAATAAGTTACTAGTCTCTGATACGTATTACGATCGTAATAGTCATCTCGCATTAAATAAGAATATACTCATAAATTATAAAATATACATCACATACGCACGCTCGCATTCTTACAATATATGTACATTTATTGAATTTTTAAGAGAACCTAGAATTACTAGTATTCCCAAACTGAGGTTAACCGAAATTCTCGAAATGATGAATGAAGTACGGAAGTCGTCGACCTTTGTTAACCTCGTCGCATGCCGACATTACGCTCTTGGTTAGAGGCCTCGGGCCACAGCTGAATACTCCTATTTTGCTAACCTGTTATAAATAATGAAAACAATTTAAAAGAGTTTCATTGAGCAATAAACCAGTTGAGAAATATCGAAATCCTATTTATACTAACATAGCTGTGCTTCTTCTGAACAAACTTGAGAAATGAGGTCATGTCAGGTCGACCAAAGTGATTTATAGCTCTGAGTCCTGTGAAGATACTCTTCTTGGATAACCGTTGGAAGTGATTCTCACAGATATACTGGAAGGAAAAGTGATCAAGAATGCAACAATCATGAAATATATATAAATATTTGTATATTGCAAAATAATGATGATACTCACGAGCATAGTAGTGCGGAGATCAAATTTATGAAAGAATTGCGTAATGAAGATATGTATTTCTAAAACATCAGTAACATCTTTTCTCTCCACATCTCTCAGTACATCAATAAACCATTCGAAGTGTTTGTGAGATGGACATATCCATAAGAAGTATACCTATATATCAGGAATTGAAGAAATACATAACTGATACAGAAACAAGATATTCAAAATTTCATTCCGAGCTTGAGGCAACAAGTGGTGAGAAAGCTAGTTTTGAAATTTTAATTTTACCTTTTTACAAGCAACTCCAGAATATCTGTTGGTCGATGTACCAAATACTAAATCATTGAGCATGGAAGCGTAGGGTGTAACGCCGATACCACCGCCAACCATAACGGCCACCTCGAATTTGTACCAGTCCTGATTTCCACCACCAAATGGACCCTCTATCTGAATTTTTGGATGTTCGTCCTCGGGGTTAAAGTTACATGGGTCAAAGTAGTTCCTCAGCTTCCACGTCCAGGGTCCTTGAGCTTTTATATGACACGAGAGGAAATTCTCATGCGGTGCAGATGTTAAGGTAAACGAATGGAATTCATTTGAACGAAAAGCTGTGCACGATAATCGCACCCATTGGCCAGATAAATATTTTAAATTTGGCGGACGGTAAAACTTTATCTTTATCACATCCGATGGCAGAAGTTCTGTTTCTATAATGTCAAGGGCCATGTATTTCGTTCTGAGACTTACGACCTGTACAAAAAATGTTCATTGAGACAAAATTCTTATAACGAATACAAGTAACTGCATATGATTGCTTCTATTACCTTATCAAGGGCATAAATGATAGCTGGACCAATAAAGAACATCCAAAATCTTGGTGCTCCGGTTAGTCGTGCCAATCCGTGAATCAGAGACAACGCATACAAAAGTACGTATAAACTGTGTGTTTTCCAGAAGAATTTGTATGCTTTCTGTCTTATTGTTGGATGAGCAAAGACAAATATTATTGTCATTACAATAAACAATAGAATTCCAGTAAGTCCTAAAATAATAGTATATCAAATGTGATGAGAGCTGATTGAATTGGTTTTTTTTTATCATGAGCAAAGGATTAGTTACCCGTAACGGTTCTGAACAGCCAAAAAGAGATGGTTGGACGAGCATCGCTGGGAAAACTGACTTCGCTGGTCAAACATCTTAGATGAGTAATAGGCTGGGTCGAGACGTGATAAAAATTTACAATGTGTCCGACAGTATGTAAAACGCTGAAGAACAAGGCGGTACATGCAGCAATTTTGTGAAATTGAATGTGAGAGTCGAGAGGAATGTATTGCTGAATAGAAAACTCTTTGAGCTTAGTCAATAAGTTTCTAGACATTGTGAGTAGTAACAGACTATAGCAAAATGAGAGAGCTGCTGCTGATCCTCTTGTTATTGCTATACCAACGCCCATTATATGCCTCAAATCTGTATGCTCAGCCATGAAGGAATAATCTGAAATAGAATCAGATTCATTTACCGTCCATTGATTTAGAATACAACGTTGGAAAGATATTAGCTTGATTATGAAGTAATTTTTAAAGTGATCCTTCTTACGTATAAATCTTTCAACGAAGAGAGCAATGGTGATGACGTAGAAAATAAATAAGTAAAAGATGTTCTGACGATTTTCTTCCAAAAACGTAGACATCCCATCCCATTGCTTCTGTGCCCAGCTTTTTGATGTTTCCGGCGGAAGTTGATCGATGTGGAAACTTGTCATTCTTGCGACATTCGTAGAAGTGTCTAAGAAATTTTGTTTGGCTCCTTTACAATCTAAGCCTATAGCCACAAAGTCTCCCTTGTACTCTTTCATCATTAATTTAAAATCATTATACGTCAGATAGTCCTTTCTCTCGAGTCCAGCATCCTGAAGAAATATGGTTCAATGTGTCATTCTATAAACTTGATTGTAACTTCAATACAATTATTGGTAGCTTATACATATAATATGATTTTCAAAGATTCTTAGAAGCAATCATTACAAACCTGGAACATGCCGTCGATCAATTCTGTAACATGATCATCGGAGAGACTAGTAGTTCTGGCAATTTCTACCAGAGATCTTAGCATCTCGGATAATTCCTCTTTGTCTATGACGCCATTACTGTCCTTGTCACACATGTCAAATATAATGCGAAGTTTATCTTCAGTCTTGCCTCTGGAGAATAGCAGGACAGTATCCAGAAATTCCTAAAAGAAAATATTCACTATTTGAGGAACAGATAATAATCAAATAGAAAAGACATTAGAAAGTGAACCTCCACGATTAATGGGAATTTTTTGAAACTGTCGACAGTACATAATTTTTTTTCTATGATCTCAAGAGCGCATTATTATACACAGCAAAGCATAACACTTTCAAATTCATCGCACACTGAAGGCATTTATTAAATGTGCTTACAAAGCATATTTTTTTATAGATTTACTAAAAAGCTTCTTTGTTCAGAATCGATATAACGTGCCTCGTTAGACTCGATTACTCAGCACTGCTCATTGACGTAGATTTACGAGCAGAGAATTGCATGTAACGAATCAAATGAAATAATTTACCTGAAAGGATATACGGCCATCCCCATCCTTGTCCACGATATTAAACATCTTTTTCACGAACACAGCATCAGGTCTCATACCCAAAGCACTAGCAAATTCACTTTTTGAAAGTGAAGTTCTCATCACAGTGACAACTTCGCCGCTATCACTATCGTCTGATCTTCTTCTACGTTCTCCAGGTCTTAGGCCAAAAGTCAAAGCATATGCTTCCCGGAAGAACTTAAATGAAAAAAAAAAGAAAACAAAGCTTATTTAAAACTATCTCCAAAGTTCTTCAATCTCCATTCTTCCCGAGAAACGGCTTGAAGAAAACAATGAACCGTGAAAAATTCCAGGTGAATAGGTCGTGCCGATATATATGTATAAGTGCATCAGCTGTACATTGAAAGTTAAGAAAGTCGTATGGTTAATTGTACGATTCCCATTCCACGTGAGTAACTGGCCTTGAATCGTCTTCAAGTAACGAGAGGGACAGCGACTCGTAAATTCTAACAATTAGAAAGTCGTTGAAACTTGCGAGCGACCCACATACGTAGGAATTACCATCTTCCATTCCACACAGTCTTATCACGTGGTGGTTAATTCACTATCATCGACAATGTGCATAGAAGCTATTTTTTTATCTAGGTAAATACCAGAGGATACGTTTGATTCTTGAAAAAACACTAAGGCAAAATTCTTCATATAAACTTCTCTTGAAAATACTTGCTTATGTCAAGTACTATAATTTTTACCATATACATATCATGCGTTGAAATTAAAAAATGGTTTCACCTGTTCGAGCTTTTTCTGCCGACGCTCCTTTGTTTCCGCCTTGGCAAGCATAATGTCACGGTTGGTCTGTATGAGCGTGAAGTGCTTCTTATGCGAGGTTAAAAATGCCTCCAATTTCGTAATGAACTTTCTACGCGAGCCCAATGAATCCAGTTCAAGGACGAGATCGTAATCCCGTGGAATTCGCAGGAGGACGAGCGGCTTACGATGACCGCTCTCGCTTTCCTGAAATCACATTTGCGTCTTCGAGTCCTTGATCCTTGATCAAACATCCAAAACAAGCAACCTAAGTTACTTTCAATAAGCTTTTGATATTGATACAACCAGAGAGATAACCGAACACCCTATCGAGGAGTTCCTTCTAGTGATTCTGATCTCAGTTTGATTCAAACATTGAATCTTGACAAGAGACTTTTGCACAAGCCGAATAATATTAATCCTTGGAATATTAATGAGATATTAAAACTTGAAGCATTAAAAAAACTGCTTTCACGTGAGTGATATACAACGGAAATTTACCATGAGTCCATCTATTGCTCAAATGTCAAAATCACCTGATTGAAATTTTCATGCGAAATAAAAAAAAAGTTACCTGAGATTCTTCCATGGTGATGGAATTTACATTATTGAAATCAAAACTACGAAGTTTTTCTCCTTTACGATTAACTATGTGTAATGCCGTCTCAGGTCCGAACTTGACCTTAACGAGCCTCCTATAATTAGCATGGAGCCATTCTCTCACAATCATTTTATCAACACAGATACGACCGTCGTTCCGCTTCTGTATTGCTTCCTGGAGAATTTTCAAGCGACGCCTACGTCGGTTTTGTAATTTTACCAAACCATATCCGACGCCAGCACAGAGTATTGGAATAAAGCCCAGGAAAATGCAAGCATAAATGTACACGAGTTCGCTACCCTGAAAAATATAAAGACTTATTATTCCGAAACTTATGCATCCTATTTTTACATAAATTTTTTAACACTAATTAGACGTGTGAATGAGTTGATGAGATTCCAATTAACGTAACCTGTTAAGCAAGTACAGAGCATTGCCAGAAAGTGGTTAAACGGGAGTGGGCCAAGTTGAGAAATTTTCCTGTGTTGCACACATGATAGGTGGTGCAATTATGTGTAACTTAGTCAAGGGGAATTAAAGTAAAAAAAAAATAAGTTTTCATGGTAGAAAATTACTTCGAAACGGTCTGGTTACTTGACGGTTTCTGTTGGAATACTAATTAATTGGGTTGGCCTTTCATAAGAGGATTTAATTATACTAGGGATATGACTCATGACTTTTACGAGTGATGTAAATTTTACTTATAGAGCCGAAAGCACTGCTAATTGAGTAACGTTAACTCACCTCGAAGTAATCGTAACGATGTAATGGCATACACGATTCCAACATTGATGAATTTAATTGAAACGGTTGAGGACAAGGATCATCCTCCGACCATACAAATACATGTTTCTGTATCGTGTAAGAAGGAATATTTGTTGTGTTCGTTATAATATCCCATAGAGAAACCTTCCGAATTTCTTCAATTTCATTCTTTGTGAATATTCTAGACGGCAAACAAAGATAGTTTCAATACAAGAAATTCATGGGAATAATTTTTTTCTGTATAACATAAAAAATGTTCCCTTACCCGTTTCCTTCGTTCTCAAACCAAAATCTGTCAGAATCGCGTAATCTCAAAAATTGATCTTCTATCACAGCCGTAAAAAGTTCACCAGGACCATCAGTGGATTCCAACATGCCTCCGACATAAATGTCAATGTTGTTGAGATTGTTCGAATAAATTTCCATAAATGTTCTCAAAAGTTCAGGATTCTTATTGAATAGTGCAGGATTTATTTCATTCCAGGTTTTACGACGTGGTAATTTAAAGTGTGCTCTAGCTGTATTGTAATCGGGTAATCCATTGTCTCGACCTCTCATGATGTTCAATGCTCCAAGATCACGTCGTGAAAATTCCATAGGACCAAATAAATTATTTCTGATATCAGAACACAGAAGATTGTCTTCCTTCTCAGCAAGCTGGGACGTCATACCCATTAGCAGTTCCTCGATAGTACTGTTAGCAAGTATTTCCTATAAGAAGAGAGCAGAGAGAAAAACACTGTAATTACTCGAAATACCAAGAAAATAGTAAAATATATATTCGAGCTACTTACGCTAGAATCCCACCAGGTAGCACAAAGTCGAATGGCCGGTTCGCCCATATTGGTTTTTCGAAATATACAATTTTCATCGCGTCGATAAATTCCTGGAGGTATTAAGGTGTGACCGAATCGAAATGCAGCGCTTTGAAATATATGACTAATTCCTGGGTGCAGATCAGGTTTGTATCCTGAATATCCCGGAAGTTCTTTACCAAGAAGCGTAGGCAGGTATTCGTACATAATGATATTCTAAAAAAAAAGGAATAATCTTTCTTAAAATTCAATAACTTTTTTCTACCTTAAAATTAATTATCCAAGGATTTTTTGTTTATCCACCTGAAGCGTTCCAACGACAATTCGACGAGCTCTCTGAAAGATTTCTTCATCTGACATGTCAGGATGTTGTCGCTGAACTCTAGTAGCAATAACATTGTGCCACTTGTAAAAGAGAATTCCAAAAGCCAACAACGGCGGATGCTGATTAGATCTTGGATCACCGAGCACTACCAACAATTACAGTGGATATTAGTACTCAATAAAATTCTTATTGCCAGAATTCTCTTTAGACTTAAATTTTAACAAACGATCAATTTCGCAATCAGAAGCTTTTAACACGACTATTGTTAACAAGTTACCAGTAAATCGATACAACATTATAGCATAACAGTGTTAACTTTGCAGTGGTTAATAAGCATAATAGACTGAAGACAGAACAATGAGAAATCCAGAATGACATTGAATATCTTGAAGGACTTTAAAGTAGGTACATCAGATATTGCACCTGGCCCCGAAGCGTTATACAGCAGCCGCCTGACAGATGCCAAGCGACAGCACAATGGGGTCCTGTCAGGTGTCCATTGTTAAAAAAATGGCCCGTTCCACTTTTTTTCATTTATTATTCTCCTTATTATATAACCGCCACCCTCTTACTTTTCCTATATCACAAATTTCATTGTAATCTATACTGCTTACGATAAAGTCGCTCCGGATTCAGCATCCGCATAACATTTGGTACAGCATGATTGAAGAGAGGTGCGCGCATGGTATTCCTCACCGGAAACTTTTTACTTGGTTCCGTCAGGAAGCTGCCATTCTTGAATGATCTCATCGTATTGGTCCAGGCTTCACTACTCGAATAGATGAAACTTCCGTCTATCCAGCTTGTCACTTTGTTTATCTGCAACCTCACGTGCTCACAGCTATTTTCCATATGTTTCCCAAGGTATTGGATATGTCAATGAATAAATAAATCTCCTACTGAGATATCCTTTGTGCATAGCTAATCAAATTCCAGATAGTCTCATATTCAAGTAACAAGATAATTGAGACATGAAAAATTAATTGAATTTCTTATCAATAAACAGCGAACCATTGAGTTACCTGTTCGCGTGGACTGTTAGGACTGCGTCCTGTTCGCCTATCGTAATCGGCTCTCAAAAATGGAATGTATTTATTCCCCTGGCAATGCTTGTCGAAAACAGGATCACATTTCTCAACTTCGATCCGATGGAATTCAATTGGACAGCCGCTCTCACTTGCCATTATTATTTCTGAAGTGACCATTTGACCTGATGAAATGAAATTCGATTGTAATGACTACTGACCAAGTAGCTGTATTTCTTTCTTACGCAATAATGAGACCTACCAAAGAATGCGAATAGTGCTGTATGATTTTTTGTCGAGGGCATTCCATCATCTCCTTGCATAAAAAGATCACTGAGTTTTCTAGGAGATGGTCTGTCTTGACCAGCCATCATGTATACTCCATCGGAATAAGCAGCAGGAACTTTTCGTATCAGCCTGCTGTCTACAGATATAAAAGTTATTAATTATATATTTTAATAAACAATGAATTCATTAAACGAACCGCAACATCATGTCATTGTCAGTAAAAGAAAAATAAGCTGTCCTGTTATTGAAATATTAATTAAAAGTTCTATTCAAGAATTACTCGACACAATGAATTGCCCTACAGTTAACAAATATATCACAGATAATTATCTCTCAGAATTTGTATTGCTAAGAAATCAAGGTTGACAGATTCGTCCATATTTAAAAGTACCAAACTCCTCTCTCTCTCCCTACCTTGATCCACTTAATGAAAATTGATGAAATTTTTTTCCAACAAGACTTTTAATAAGCAATTACTAACATTTTGAATCAGATCCTTATTTAAAAAAAAATAATAACTCTACGTGACAATAAAAAGTAAAATACTTGCCAACCGAACCCCAATCCGGATGCGCCAAATTGTTATACCATCCATCGTATCTCTGTTTCTCCGTAAAATGGAATTGCTCTAGAAATCACAGAAAAAAGTTGATTAATTAAAAAAATAATAATAGAAACAATAAATTAAGTATGCTATTTAATACATATGCGATATACCAGGATATCATCCAGTAGTGATACAAGATTAATTATCTCAAGTGTTAATTAATTATGATCTCAGTCAAGATCGTATGTCCGCAGATGACTTATCTCGTTCTCCTATCCTATCAGTACGTAATTGAGTAGCCATACGTTTCTTCATTTATTTATCCAGCTAATCTAATTCCCGGTAATGTCTCTACCTTCGATCGAATCCTGTCTATTATAATCTTCGTCTATACCGCGGTTATACGTCACCATATATAACACCATACTATTTAACATGTACTTGTTCATGTACTATATATCTTCTATATGCCAATGATTCCACACGCGTGACCATACACGAAATAGAATCATGTTTGGTAACGTGGGTATGCCAAAACAATTAATCACGACATACATTACGACAGGTGCGAATCAACTGCTGTTACTTATTTTTGTTTCTTTCTTTGCTCTCCTTACACGCACTAGTAGTTATCGCAATACAAAATGACATGCCAAACTTTCACCAATTAAAACATCACGTTTACCCAGGATCGCCTAAATTTCGTATAGTCCTGATACATGTAACAGACAATAAACACGTAACCAAACGTAATAATGACTATGACTATACAGTTAGTGCATGTCGTTAAGAAGGAATGGAAGATTCCAGTTACGTTAAAGAAATTATTCAGTGACTTAAGTGTTCTTGGAAAATTATAACTGAATAGGATTTTGAAAATTAATAGCTACGTTCAGCATTCATTAAAGTAATTTGATTAAACAGTCGTTATCGGCTTATAATTTAGTGACCATAATGATACAGAATTCATTTTTGTAAATTACATAAATATTTGTATCATTCCGCTTGCTTGGTAGTCCATTGTATTTACAGCACGCGGATACAATAAATTATGTGCTTGTATGCAACGGACTGTATTCACACCGGAGATCTATTACTGTAACTACATTAACGAAGTCGCTTTTAAAGCCGTTAACAGCCATAAAAACAGATTAAGTGAGACTCTGTTTAAAACATTCTTAAGCTCGCCTCTGTACGTGATGTTTGCGTTGAAAATATGACAGTGTTATATATGCAGCAGCATTGATTACATTGTTGTTAATTGTTTAAAATGACATTGCACTATGTTTCGTAACCGGGCTCAATTCTTTTTTTTTAATACGGCTTTACAATCATTATACAGTTCCTGTTACGCATCCTTATAGATATAATATGCGGGCGACCATACATATGTGCCACTTTTAAATTCTTACTTGAATAAATGTCAACTTTTCGAATATTATCATTGTTGCTAATTGACAGACGATTTTATTCGGCTAGACATTAATTAGCCTTGATATTTAACTACGCTCACATTGAAACAAAAATTCTCGAGGTCAATCAGCACCGGATGCATGGAGCACCAGAAGAAGTCCAAAGCGATCGAATTATTCCTGAAGAAATTTCTGTTACTCATTTTTTAATTACATCTTTTCCTCGCTACGCTACTGAGATAGTGGTAAGTATCCCTGTCCTGTACGTTGCACACTCTACTTTGGTATTATGCAAAGATGACAAAACGTCTGCTGCTTGTAATGGTTTGTGCAATCCGGAGTAATTTCAAACTTGTAATCAATTAACTAACAACTGCGCTTTTAAGCGCGATTTCTTGTCGAGTAAAAAGAAATTTGACACCAGAATTAACATGGCTAAAGTACTAATGGAGAAGTTTAAAGAAATCTTTAACACTTTTATTTTCGTGTATTGAATATTAAGAAACTAGGAAGCCCACTGGTCCTTCTTGTTCCAGACAGTAAACTCTTTGTGTCTCTGCAGAATCAAGTACATTTTTTCTTCTTGCATCTAGCGTTACGTATAACAAGGTCATATGCTATTACCAAAGTACTGAAAACTTCATAGTGATTATAAGAAATGAAATAGTAATTGAATATCGGTTTTTATGTAAATAGAAAGATACTACAGACATACAGAACCATGCTCTAAAATAAAGCTGAGATGATACCTCAATACGTTTTTACTGTATATCTTGACAAAATATTTATCCTTTTTAAGAAAAAGAGTTTTTTCCTGACATCAAGTGGCTGTATTTTTTCATGAGAAGCTCCCTCGAGGAATACAAGTGCCATGAGATTATGAGAGAATGGAGCAACGACCTTATTCCGCGTCTATTACTTGGAGTACACGAACGTTGCTCGTTGTAGTTATCGCAAAAAAATTCGCTATTAAGCAGCAACACCAGAGAATCTTCAGGGATGAGTGAATGTAGCTAATGGTATAAGTATCTGATTAGATGTCTTGGATTTAAATGAAAAGCTATGACTTACTTATGTGGCTCTTTGAACTATTCGTATCCTGTTCGTGTGCAGACTTTGGTACCATTTATCTAATGAAAGATTTATGTACCTTTCGACCTGATGATTTTTAACTGCGGGGGGTTGACAGCTTGTTTGAAACTTTTATGAATGATTCGAATACGTATATTTGTATTTCATTGCTCGTTGCGACATACTGACTATTAACGTCAGTGGAGTGTTAGATTGATTGGTGTAATATGACAATAATCCACTTAACATTTTCAGTCCTTTCACGACAGGCACTTTTATAGTAAACGAACATTTTTCGAAAATGAATAGCTTGAAGAATGTCAAGAATTCGAATGCTGATATCACTATTATTCCATGCGTTTAATGTTTGTCTATAACCGTTTCAAAATGGTACTGGTTCCTTTTTTAATATTCTTTTGCTCTCCAAGGACCTTGAAAGAGTGCGTAACGTAGTACGAGTGTGTGTGATTTCAATGTAATTAAACTCTAGTAACTGTTCAGTTTTTTTTCTCTTAATTAGAATTCAGGAGTTTCGAAATGCTGGCTAACCGAAAACACGAGCTTAATGAATATCTTCTCTTCGCTGTCAGGCAACAAAATTTCTTGTAGTAAACTGTAGTGTTAATGTTTTGTCAGTGGGTTAGAGGATACACCAAGAACTGAAAAGTGACGTATGCTGACAAAAAATAAAGTCATGTCCCGAATGCAGTTATCAAAACTCACACCTGAATTTAATAATAAAATATGACAATACCTTAATAATATTTTATTCAGTTAAAATAATAAACATACCGGCTGTGACATCTCGAATAATCCAACCATGACAAAGTATTATAAAAGTGATAAAAATGGTGCAATGTCGCACAGAGGAACACGTTGGCACTAACATTGTCAGCACGACATATCTCAGTCAAATAATCATCACGACCGACAGTCCTTAGAAGAAGTACCCGTATCCTTGATAATTGAGACTAGAAGTGTTCCACACGGGTCACGTAGTTTCCGGTACACAATCTTCCACGGGAAGTTCTTGTGACCCCCCAAGAAGACGAAGGTCTGAAGAAAAGTTGCACGAACAATAAACTCTCTTATTTCACACAGAGATCCAAGAAACAAAATGATGATCTTTTCGTCGGGAAACTTTATGAAATTAAATAGAAATTAGTTTGTCTTTTGGTATGATAAAAAAAGCACGTAGCACGAGACTGTCTAACAAGTCCGGTGGAAGTAAGTCTGGCAGGTCTGCTGCTCGAAGTAAAGAGGCAGGAATCGCACCTCTCGTTCCTCTCGGCATTCACGGCACTCTCCTCTCTCCATACTAGTAGTGGATTTTCAATCTCCATCTTGCTTCCACTACTTCGAGGATATCTACCCTGTTGTCCCCAACTCACTCCCACTCCTGGTAACACAGAGAACACGCTGTGGTCTCCCACTCTGGGGACTCGTTGGGCCAAGAGCGTAGCAACGGTGAAAGTCGCCGGCCTATTTGTTTCATTCCTGCAAACGCGCTTCATAATCGGTCGACGTCACCTAGCCGGCAGGACTAGTTTCCCTGGCCTATCCTAATTCATTCAACCCCATATCACAATTTCCTGTAATAATTTTTATAATAAAATCCCTAATCGTATTACATTGACTGATTGACTGAATCCATTACGTTGAAGACTTACCCGTCATCGATGAAGATGATCTTTAGACAAGATTAAAGAACCCTGATGATATTAGACTTCTTCACGAAATTGTTGAATGTTACTACGTCGTATATTTTCTAAAATGTCTTAGATAATTTCCAATCGTTTTTCTAGCTATGGCCCCCTTGGTGGTCCATACAGAAAGTTATGTTCGTCTTCCTTTTTACATCTCCTGCAATTTAATGGCTTGTTAAATAAGAATTAGCAGAATAGATGAGCAAAAATCTTGATCATCGTGGGTTCGATTATGTTTTGGAAGAGATCAATGAAGTCGGAATGCGAAGTCATTTCTATTGAGTTTCTATGGATGCCCTACTTGTTTCAGGTCAAGGAAAGTGTTCTCACTATGGTAAGTTTCAAGAGCAACTTGTTCGAAGCGCTGGACTTCATTCATGTCCGCACGACACTCAGCGCTTACAGACCTAGTTTCTCACCGCACTCATAAATCGGCCAAGGAAATTGCAATTTGCGAATGAAGTCTCAAGGGAAACTTCTTCAGTTAATTTGATAATGGAAGTACATTATCTAATGCATTAGTGGTCAAAGTAGATTTTGCATATTCCCCCCATTACAAAAAATAAGAGGAATTTACATAAAGATCCGATTTAAATACGTTCACGGAAGGTCCATACTGTATTCATTGTTAGAATAAAGTTCCTGAACGATTTAAAAGATCATAAATTACTCTATAAAATTGATATTTAATTATACGACTTGACCTTGCTGCGTCGTACTTGGCGGATCTTTCACTAGTGAATTAATCCTTAGAGTGAAGGCTTCTAGAGTTTAAGAAAGGATTAGTCAGTGAGTTCGATCTGTGAGACAAAGAAGTTGCTACTCATCGTTGCTCGCCAGTGTCAAGATCAATGAACGAGTTAGAGCGCAGAAGAATCATTGCCTAAACAATATAAAGAATCTTAAAGACGCCCACTGCTTGTATTCAATTTTATAGTATATACGCAAATGAATATAAAATATTTCACTGTCACCATGTAGGGAGATTGATATTAAGAAAAAGTTTGAGAAGAAATTTTAAAAACTGCATTGAGTCACCTCAGCGTGTGTAGGTTGATAGTAAGATGTTTGATGCTTTTGACAATATATCCATTCAGTTGCCTCAAATTAATACATATAACTCAGGCACACGACCAGCTAATACTTTTTATCACGGATATCTTTTAGTTTAACAATTGGCACTGATTCAGATGTGAGTCAATTGATTTGTACGGCCTTCGTAAATTTCATTAGTATCCTACTACTTGGCTGAAGTTCACTTTCAATGGATTTCATCATTAAATCGACTTGAATGGAACACCATTGAAGTGGACTCTGTCGCCATGGAAATACCCTGTGAAGTCATAGAATCAGGACGAGTATTACAACTTGGCGTCCATCTTACATAACTTGAGATTAGGTCAATACCGCTTACTAGTATACACAGAACTGGACTGTATGGTTGCACAACAAGATGGATCAGCAAGGGAAGAGGTGTCTCTTGAAATACCAGGAAGAAATAGGAGAAGAACTGCTACATTTCTTTTCTTTAGATTTGGCTCATCAAGGTTCCCTATGAACAATTAATAAAAAACCGGCTGTACTTTATTAGACTGAGAAAGAGACGAAAGAAACATATTTTCATAATACGGAAATTTATAATTATACAATCACTTTAAACGTAACGAAATTAATTTATAGATAAATCAAATGCGTTTATGAATCATTATAAAATGCTGACGAATAATAGTCGGATAAGGACTGCAAGTACTGAATAGTAAGTACATTATTATTGTCCTTTGCTCTGTGAATTTACAGCAACCCGGTAGTTTTCTTGCTAATATATATATCATTTTTTCTCAAAAACATATTGTCAAATTCTGAGCGATATTAAATGTTCGCGATTATTTTTATCTAAATACATTTGCGAGTTTACTCTGCATATTATTAGCCGTTAACGTGGCTCATTTATTCACAGATCAGCTAACAGCTTGGATCTTTTTCCACGTTGTGTTCTACGCATATGTATACTATGCATTATATATAATACCATGAGTTCCTTTCTTTTTTGGTAAGAACGTTGGACGCGGATGCTGGATCTTGCCGGTCTCGTCAACGGAACGCAGTCCAGACTTCCACGAGGCTAATGTGTCCGCCTTCAAGGGCGATAAAATGCGAGTGAACCATTGACGTGCGAAATTCCACTTCTCCAAGCCGGATCCACATATATATACATATATTGTCTAACACGGAGCTGAGAACACATTGGAGGTCAAGACAATGCACCAATTCCTGATGGATGAGATTACAAGCAGTCTGTGAATATTGAAAGATCATCAATGACATCAGTGCCATGAATACACTGAATGATATGAGAGAATCTAAATAGAAATAGATTCTGAAAATCCGCTTACGGTACCGCTCTCCACGAATATTCCTGTTCGATTTCCGTCTGGTACAGATTGTGTGCGATGTTGTTTAAAAGATAAAGTCAAAAAATAAACAGGATATTGTAGCGAGCAGCATAGAAAAGATGAAGGGAAAAAATGGAGAAACGCGTGGATGGAAAAACAGAAAAGGAAGAGGGACTCTGGGATTTTCCTTGAAGGTAGCATAATGAGCATCACGGTTTCTTGTCGGTTGGCCTTGTGATATTTCCCGAGTAATTAGCCTTCTTTCGATTATTTAATTAATCTTATTTCGAACAGACATGACCCCACGAGTCCATCGATCTTTTCCGAAAGATTTAATCGATGAATTCAAATGAGCTATTAAATGGAACTGTTTTAACCAGGAAAAAATTATAAGACGTCCTTCAACATTTTTATTAATTGAGTATTCATAAAGTTCATTTTTTAATACCTTACCTTATTTTCACACTGTATAATATTAACATAAATCGACTGGTATATATTTTCAGTTTTAAAATGTAATATCCGGTTCCGGGTTTTACCGACAGTAATTTCAAGTTGACACTGCGCGCGCATAATGTTTCGCGAATCACTGACTCCGCCAAAACCTGCTTCGACCATGCAGCTTTCGAATGTTGCACAATTATTGCGACAACATTACATCGTTTTATCGATTATCCTTCACTATATTAAATAATTTTACGTTACCCCCTACTTGTTTATCTTCCGTAATCTGAATCCGATCCGAACAATCATCATATATCAAGGAAAATAATTTCACCATATAACAGTGTACGTTACTTTAAGTCTGCGTTAATAATATCACAACAATTATTGTTATAACAATTCGATTAAGTTACATGTTATAATTATTTAATTCTTAATTCTTATCATCAAAGAATCAATCTAAAATAGACACATGTGTAACACTTATCATATGTCCCGACAAGGAATTCCAGGGTTATACTCGTGGTCCGGAATAACATTAACACAATACAAAAAACCTCTTACAAATACCTTAGACGTGAGTGAAGGTTTTGGTCATCGCCCGCGGTCAAATAAACGTTTAATAGAAATATTAGGTTGTGTAAGATATACAACTGTTATTGTATCCACGATATTGCTCGAGATTTCATATATAGCGTACCGACGCTATAACTAGAAACAGAATAACCCGCGTGGCGTCATCTCACGTCAATCTTAATAACTGGCAATCATTTATTAATCGAGCTAAATATTAATTATCGACAAGTCCCCAGCAATCTATGAGATTATTCAAACGCCAAATAGAATTCGTTGATGAGTAACAATACTTAATCTATACCTTTTCATCAAATAAATTAAGAAAAAATTATTCTATAGATCAGCCGCGATAACGATTTTCCTAAAAGTTATAAAGAACATATCATCTTGTACGACTTATAGAAATTATGACTTCCACTATTAAAATGATTGACATTTAGTAGGAGTAATCATAGAATATTTATTGCCAGATAACGAATCCGATAAAATACGATTCGAATATACGTGTATATATACATATGTATACCCAGTATTACTTGCTTTTACTATCGCTTTGATTACACTTGCTACTTTTACCGTGATTCATCGATTGCTTTCAATTTACTTTCCAAAGATACCTGAACCAGCCACACCTCCAGCTGACCTACGTTTCTGCTACCACTGACAGTCCTGGAAACTACAGAATGCAATACGCACAATGTGCAACTGACCTTATAGTTGCAACTGCTGCTGACCTTATACCTTCTGCCAGATATATATTACTTATATCAAACATCCTGTACGCCTCCTATTACGTACATACAGATATAGTGAAGGTCGACGAGGGTAACGATCCGGTCATTTTTTCTCAAGAGTCATTAGAAATTAATTGGCTGTGCATTAGTCAGCTTTTGCGCTTATTAAGAAAATGTTCAGGCATCTAATCCTCATAGACTTTTACACGTTCAGACGTGTTCATCTGCCACGCAATTTAGTAATATAAGATGTGAGATTATTCATATGTCGTAACTTACATTGTCTCTGATAAGTAATTTTGTAGTAAAATGATTCTATGTAATCATTAAAACAGGTAACGATTACATTCTAACAATTATTAATTTTGCTTATTACCGTAACTGCTGAACTAATTTATTTTCATAATTAGGACAACCAAAACTTCTATGGTCTTAACATCTTTGCTTGTGGGGGAATAAAAAAAACTAGATCTTTTTCTTATTGTATTTGGATTTTTATTAGTTAAATAAATTTTTTTTTTTCTTTATTATCTTTATCTTTTATTTTTCCTTCATTGTCTGTTTTTCTCTCCAAGCTCTGTTCTGGTCAGTCTTGGATGCAGTACAGCTGCGTAGCTCCTCTGTGCGTTGAGATCGTTACTGTCTGATTGAGCAACGACATAATCATTTGCCAGGCCAAAGAAATAAGAAAACGGCCTGACACTTTGACTAGTGTCTTATAAAAAAACATTATGCTGTCATTCTTCCTCATTCTCACTCTCTCTCTCTTTCACAGCCTTACTCTAAAACACGTCGAAGATTATAAAAGAACAATCGGCCACCCGATTTAACAATAAGCCTCGCCGCTATTGTGTCATGCGAGTAATTAAGAGTATCTATTATGTATTTATTTCTTGCTACTGTATTATTCCTGGTGGTTAAGTTTCTAGTGTTTTCTTTGTCGGGACAATCAAGCACGTTATATCCGTACTTTGATAAACAACAACCATTCGAGATGAATCTTGGTGTATTTGTTGGTTCGTGTTGTCGCACACGCACAGTATGGTTCATTACATACAAAAAATTTGATACATCCGTCATTTTTTTGTCACTCCCAAATTCATGCCACCCCCCCAACGTAATTTTATGCATGTTCTCACTCTGAACTTTCAAAATGGTTGGGGGAATTGTTAAATGTTACATGGTAACGCGCATTTGTTAATGGCGTATGCATAATTACAAAAAAAAAACAAATAAAGACGTAACTAAGTTATTTCTAGGAAATGTATTATTAGTTCACTGTTTTTACTCGTGTTGCCCTTTCATCCTCTCATGCAGAATTCTCTTTCTCTCTCTCGCTCTCTCTCTTCATAGCACTAACATTCCTGTACGCTACACACTTCAAAGTATTTTCTGTTTATGTACTTTTTTTCCTCTTTTTTTTTTATTAGATTGTATTACACGCTAGTCGTGTCCCTAAGCAACTAATTCGTAACTTTATTTCTTTTGCAACGCTTCACTTTTATGAGTTCTTCTATTACTTAGCGGGTAAACGTCCATTAATAAAAACAAATTTTCTTTGTCAAGGATTTATCCGTGCGGAAACACGGAGATTCGCGAAATTGATTATTCCATTCTGATTTTCTTTGTCCTCTTGATATCGTATCACACGATTTACTATATTGTAGGTGATTTTTAAGTAAGAATTCGCGGCTATTCGTATTTTCTTTTTTTATTACGTATATATATATTTTTTTTGGTTTTTCTTCAAAAGTAAGGGAGTAAACGCGTCGCTTCTTTTCGTTTAAGTCGCTCTGAGGTCGTTACTTCACTTCTTTCACGTAAGCTTCCAATTCGGCGTCCAATTCCTCTGCCGTGGGCGTCTTCGTCTGGGTGCGATTACCGCTCCCACGACCTCCGCCACGTCGAGCCGTTCCACGACCTTTCATTAATTTCAATAATAATTAGTTAACCATAATCTTTGTATAAAGTGCATAGTCAAACTCCTCGATTAAAATTTCTATAAAAATAACAATTGCGTTTAGTACAATTACGACTTCAATAAAAAGGATTTAAAGCCTTAATTATACGTATTATACGCAATAAAAGGTCAATCAAAAGTTCACCTATTGGAATTACGCCAATCATTCTTGCAGGTAGTATCGTAAAAAACGCATGGAAAATAAAGCTAAAAGGTCAGTTATTCATTCCCGTTAATCTACGTATTGTAGTTTTCTTTTTCTGTATGGTGATACCATAAAGACGTTGAGAAACTCGAACAAATTTCGTGAATAGGATTCTAGCGGATTGTTCAATGTTAAGAGATTAACACCATTAAAGTGTGTGATAAGAAAATTTAGTAGCGATAATTACCTCTGGCAGAACCGGTACCACGAGTGCCCCGGAAACGTGTCTGCGGTCGCTGTGTGTAGGTGTTACCGCCGATCCTCGAACCACCTCGGATTGATGTTGGAACAGGAATTTCCGACGTTGCCACCTGGATATTCATTTCACGGCCTATGCAAAATACAAACATAAGTTATAACGGTTGTTACACTTGGATTACATGCACCTTTAATGCATAATACTTTAACTATTTATGTTGGTCAACATTTTCAACTCACCATCGAGAGGTACTCCATTGTATTGTTTCATTGCCTTAATTGCATCGGCTCTTCTTTCAAAAATTACATCTGCAGAGCCCAAAGAACGGCCCGATCTGTCGTAATGCACTGCGGCTGATTTTAGGGGACCAAACTCGCTAAACAGTTCCTGCAAATTAGAAAATGCAAAATAAAATTTCATGCCTTGCGATATATCACAAATTTCTCTTACCTGAATGTCAGAGTCTGAGACACCAAAGTCTAGGTTCGAAACCAGAAGTTTGGTAACTCCAGTGCCACCAATGGCACCACGGCCAACTTTTTTGACTCCATCAAACATGTCATGTTTCCACGCACTGTTTACATCTCCCTGAAAACAAATAAGAAAAAATATTAAATAAATTGTTTACACAAAGTACAGTAATAAAAAGAACTCAATTAATCATAACACAGGAAATAAGTTAACCATTCTTTAAGTCATATTCCAATAATACATTTTTTAAAACAATTTTTAGACACATTATTGTGAGAAAACAGATTACTGGCGGGGCAAGGTATAATGCATTACCAAGTGTGTATATTAAAATAACTAACGACAATACGTGGAGCCCATTTTGAAATTTTTGTAAAGCGTGCTAAATATTTCACCAAGCATTTAGAACCTTGTGTTAATCCCAAAGAGACTAAAGATAGTAAATTTGTCCTTAAATATTAATAATATATGAAAAATCACTCACTCTGGTGTAAGCAGCGGAACTTCGAGTGATGCCGCCTCGATTTCGTCCTCGCATGACGCCGCCTCCTGCTCGCGTAGCGCCGCGAATTCCACGACGAGGAGAAGTCCCGGCTCCGCGTCCTCGCCTCGGTCCGCCACGAGTTCTATTACCTTTATTCTGCTTGATTATGTCGTCGAGACTCATTTCAATTTTATCAACCATTTTCATTTACAACGATTGCTTTTCTTTCTCTCAATGTACCACAAAATGCAACGCGATGTTCGTCGAACCAACCTCACTCTGCCTTAATACCGTTGACAAAAAGCCGAAGACGACCAACGCACGCGCACAACAACTTGAGAACTGAAAGACAGTCGAAGGCGGGATGCGTTCATTTTCGTAATGACAAAACTAATATATCCCTAGACAAAAATGTGTGATTGGTTAACTGACCTGCTGGTGGGGGTAAATAAATGGCGCTCTAGCGCAACCATAAACTAAGTACCTGCAAGGAGGGACAGTAATTGGAATAGGGATTAAATCATAAACTTCATTTTCTGAAAGTTTCATTTTAATAATGAAAAGCTGAGTCTACCTGTTTGTATTCTCTCATATTTTATTCTATTTCTAATTAATTTTAATATGCTCAATATAAATTTTGTGCGTTGAATGTTGATAATAGTCGCAATGACTACGTTTACACGACAGTCGTAAACCGGTTTAGTTAACCCTGATCTAACGGAATAGACAAATCATAGACATTTCTACTTATAAAGAATATTTGAGATTGGTTAATTCCTTTGGTCAATGTTGCTATCCTTTGCTCTCGAATTCATATATTATTTTTCTATCTATATTCAAGTTTATGAACATGATGGGTTTAGGGATTTTTCTACGGGACGTTTGTTGGGAATATTGTATCCTACTCGTTTTATTGCATTTGGCACCAATAAGTGGTCTGTGTTTGGCAGGGCGATATGCGGTTTTCAACAACTTCTGAACAATGGCGGGAGTCCTAAAAAGCTTTAGTTTCCGCGGTGATGATTCTCTAATTACATTTTTGGTGCGTCAACAGCCATACAGACTTGAGAGTTTCATTCCGTCTTGATAAATGAAAAGATTTTGTAGATTGTGTCTACTGGAGAATTGTGCGAGCAAATCGCCGAGGCCCTTCATCGTACCGCCAGAAGTAGGAAATGTCGTATTGCTGTACATAAATGTGAGGCAGTTTCTGAAGTTGCAAAAGCCTGGCCCGGTTTAAGAGTTGATTTTCTTATTTTCGCCTTTGACTCGAGACTTCTGCAATTACTGACTGAAGTAAGAATTGGTTTTAACGATAACCTTACTTGATTAATAACCTTAATTTTTTTAAATAATTATTTTGTATGAGTTATTGAATTACTATAGAAAATTTTTTAGTATCGTTTTACATCATACCGAATATTAATTTTTACATTTCATTATTTATAATTTCAAATATTGAACTTCTGTCAGTGGTTAATTTTTTCATTTCACTTTTCCCTCCATTTTTTTCTTCCATCTATGATTGCTAGGTAACTCTTATTTTAGATCGAAGCCAATGTGAAGCAAATAGATGAGCACTTTTTCATATCGGGATCTGCATGCTTGGTATGCTGCGACGGCATTCCTAGTCATACTAAATCAGCATTTTATAGAACACAAGAGTTATCAACAAAGTATAACTTGCGGTTACTATCTGCTCATATCTTGGTATGTATATTATCATTAATTCATATGAATTTTCAATAATAAGTTTGCAATGTTTTATACCCCAGGATCCTGGAAGTCGAATGCTGTTATCTGAAAGAATCCTAAACGTAGCAGAAGCAGTGCTTGGCGTGCGTTCGGGAGCACCAGTACTGCACTTTTCTCGTTGTTACAATCATACTCAGAATTAATACACCGGTGTAATAAATGCTAATTTCTCGTTAAGATCATGAAAAAGCTAACAGGCAAGTCACAGGCATATGCTTCAAGTCAGGAGGACAGTGAGAATGAGAGTGATGAAACAGAGTGCAGCATTGGCAGTAATTCAACTGCTGGAACACATCGCAGTGATACTCCAACGCGAAGCGCACGGTACAGGAGGAAAGGCAGACGGCGCAGCAAAACAGCAAAAAATAAAACTTGTACTGACAAGCCACTATATAAATACTGCTGCAGTGTAAAGGAAGATCATGGTCAACCGTTGTTCGGTGTACAGTTCAATCATCATTTAAAGGAAGGGGAGCCAATGATCTTCGCATCAGTCGGCAGCAATCGGGTCAGCATTTACGAATGTCCTGAAGGTGGAAACATAAGACTTCGTCAATGCTACGCAGATCCTGACACAGAAGAAAACTTCTACACCTGCGTTTGGACTTATGAAGACTCCGGCAAACCCTTACTCGCAGTAGCAGGTTCACGAGGTGTTGTCAGAGTGATCAGTCCAGTGACGATGACCTGTATAAAACACTACATTGGTCATGGTCATGCAATAAACGAGCTCAAGGTTCATCCTAAAGATCCCAACATTCTTCTCTCAGCCTCCAAGGATCATGCCCTGAGACTCTGGAACATAAAATCTGACGTATGCATCGCCATCTTTGGCGGCGTTGAAGGACATAGGGATGAGGTACTTAGTGCTGACTTTGATATGACCGGAGAGCGAATAATATCTTGCGGTATGGATCACGCTCTGAAGTTATGGTCTCTGGATAAACCTGACATGCAGGATGCCATAAAGCAATCATATTTTTGTAACCCAACAAGAAACGGTCGGCCATTTGATTCGGTTTTACAACACTTCCCTGACTTCACCACCCGGGATGTTCACAGAAACTATGTGGACTGTGTCAAATGGTATGGCGACTTCATTCTTAGTAAATCTTGTGAGAACTGCATCGTTTGCTGGAAACCAGGACGCCTAGAAGATACTCAATTACGCAATGGCGAAACTAGTGCTACTGTTTTACATCGTTTCGAGTTCAAGGAATGCGACATCTGGTTCATACGATTCTCCATGGATTTTTGGCAGCGTACCATAGCCCTGGGTAATCAAGTAGGAAGAACTTATGTATGGGACTTAGAGGTCGATGAACCTGGACAAGCTCGTTGTTGCTCCTTACAGCATCCACGATGTACAGCACCAATTAGACAGACTAGTTTAAGTCGCGACGGTTCGGTACTGTTGTGCGTTTGTGACGATGCTACTGTTTGGCGATGGAATCGTGATCAATGACTTCTGTTTAATTGTTGTTTTCATTGAGTAATTTACTAACTTGTATCCAGGACTGCATTTTTTAAATTTTGTTTAACGACACTTCATTGTCGTGATAGATTTTATATTTGTCCAATTGTACGATACTTCCGTGATTTAATGATCGTTAAAATATCTGTTATCTTATTTCTTGTTTGCGTATTTCACATGAACGTGCGAGTGAAAATAGCACGAACGAATTTTCAATATTCGTTCATACGTACGATTTTTATTGGCTTATTCTATCAGAAGGCATACCTAGTATGATAAATGATAACTGTACTAATTCACTCGCGGAAGATTTTTCGGATTCTTCAGAATTCATGTACAAATATTTGTAATCTTTATATTTTTAAACACTTTTGGAATAATAAATGACAAGAAAATTTCACATATATTTCATAACATTTAATGACTGTTATTGAAGTAGTTATTTACTGGCAATATCGATAAAATAGGTTTAACCTATTTCATTCTTAAGCCTTATTCATTACAGGACACGAATAATTCTACGGCCACTTATGACTGAATTATATCTAAAGCAACAGGTTTATAAATTACATATAAATTAGTTACCCTACTAGGTTCGTTGCTATTATAATAGACTATTCATTTATAGTCAATCGAGGAACGTGTAACTCTACCCTGTGTGAATTTAATATATAAACCGTAAATATATATGCGCTATATAATTTCATTATAAAGGCATTGCTCAACTACTTTAGTTAATGGTCATAAAATGTTAATGTATTAAACATTACTAATTCTTTCCGATAAAAAAAAACAGCTGGTAGGCTAGCCGAATATTAGTCGCTGTTATTACTGGGAAATGGAATGATTACTTTTAGTAAATAATTTAATTAGTACTAGATACCCTGAGAACTTTGATTACAGAGAAAGCGATTCGTATTTTCAAATAATTTAAATTTGAATCATGTATAGATGGTTCATAAAATTTTTAATTGACATAAGGCTGTGCTCTCATAAAAAATATAAGAACTGCTTCGTTAATGTTTTACTGCAAGTGCTGCTCCAAGCGCAGCGTCGCCAGATTGACCTATTTCCAAAGGCAATTTATACCAGCGTGAAACTTCCTTTTGCAAAACAGGATTTCGTACCAATCCTGAGCCGTTGCCGACTATTCGCGTTATTCCAGCTTCCTTCAGGGTATCCTGTGACATCATACTGCAAAAAAAGATATATTCATTAACACGTGTCTTGTGTTCATAAAAATAATTTTAATTCATCACAATGTTTTACTTGTGAAGATTCTGAATGACTCCAGAACATAAGGCACGAAAGATTTTTCCCAAATCCAAAGTGTCCAGGGTGATTCTTGTAACGCTGGCAGTTTTTTCAGGATCATATCGTTCACCCAATAACGTAGGCTCAATCTCCATATCGCTTATTGCTGAATCTTCACCGCCACGTGCTATAAGCCTTTCCCACACCTTTGCTATAAAGTATAGAAGCAACAATTTTGCTTTCTCATCTGTGATGCACAAATATCCTATATGTAAAGTATGAATTACATTGTGGTACTGAGAAACCCAACTCCATTGTCCATTGCTGAAGAGACTTCACAAATGTGGCTAACGAATTTCCACCATTTATGGAAGCAGCGACTGCTAAATATTTGCCATCAAAGTACGGAAAGTATTCGATCTTTGCTGCAATAAATAATTGAATGTTTAATTAATTCATATGAAATACTGCGTTTATTTATGTTTGATCCGAATGGTTATGCTCACGAGATTCACTGGCTAATTTAACTTCAAAAGAAGACTGAACGTAAGCAAGTTGTGCTGATGTGGATATATTGAGAACGGCATCGGTGGGATTCTTTAGTAAGGCACATACGGAACATTGTAAATCTCCAAGCGCTGCTCCTATATAGGAAGACAGTATAAACGGAAATGTATATACAATAAGTAGAAACTTTTCAGTGTTATATTTACCTACTGGAATTCCAGCTGGAATCCCAAACCAAGTGTAAGCGAGATTTCCAGCAGATTCACCAGGGGCTAAAATTTCGGCTGGTAACAAATCAACAGGGAAACCATCCTCGAGCAAGGTTTCCGTTTCCCAGCTACCCTCCTCCGTGAGAAAGTATCCCCAGCTTGCAGCGTTCTGTGTGCTCATAGCTACAGTCTTCCTATTGCATAGCAAACTCACCAGGAGGTCTTGAACGGTTCCGCACCGATCGTACTTACTGAGTTTTTCAGGTCTGTCGAATTAAAGGAAATTATAACATTGTTTTGTGATTTAAACCATTTTGTACTATGAAAATCACAGCATACTTGTTTTTGGCGAACCAAAAAAGTGTAGCGCAACCGTAACCTGTATGAACGGGTAAATGGCTTTTTGATTTTGGTAATGATTTTAAAAATACAGGATCGCAACGAGCATCCTGCCAAGTATATAAATTTGAAACCCGTTCTCTTTCTATTTCTAATTTAAAAACACTGTCCTTTTGCTGAGCTTCTGGCGTGCTTTTCCACAACGCAACTCCGTGCATTTGACCGCAGACGCCAATACGGACGACCTGTGATAGATTAAAAATATTGCATTGATATTAATCATACTAGCTAAATTAATTGGGTGTAATTAGTACAATGAACAGCGTACGTGGCGTAGTAGATCCTTCGGAAGTCGCGAAATGCAACTGTGCAGTGCGGACAGAATTTTTGGAACATCCTGCTTGTTTCCTTCTATACCCAAATCGCTAGGTACGTTTGATTGCGTATCTTTGGATTGTTTACCAACAATCTGATTATTTTCTTGCGAAAAAATCACTACTTTCACCGAAGTTGTACCCAAATCTATCCCCAGAAGTAGTTTTTGTGGCGGAGTCATAATTGTATCTTTTGTTATCTGTAACAAAACTATGGTAAATGATACAGCATAATCGCATATCTAATTCTATTTACTTATAAAAGTTATTTTTAAGTAAAGCATGAAGTCGAAATAAAACTGTGATGCACTCTTTAATTTTATTCAATTATTCTTTTTCACAAAGAATCAGTAGCGCTATAAATACCAATGATAGTGAGTCTTGTTACAAGTTGTTAGTTTCAATTTACTTGACTGATATATAGTGTTTTATCTGAAGTGGTACGTGAGAGTGGATTATCCGGAAGTTCATACGCATTGCAGGTTATCAGTTTTATCAAAGTAATAATATTCAAAAAGCGTCATCGTCTTTATCAAAGTTTTTTTTATTAATGGCTCACCACTTGAAAATTCAATATTACCAGCTACATATATTCATTCAAGGATTAAACAGAATGGCTATAAAAGGTTTGATAACATTGAAGTACTTTTTTAAATTATAAAATCCATAGATTCCATTAGGGAGCATTCACGAAATTGAATATTTAAAAAAAACCGCGTAACAAAAATATTTGGAAATCGAAATAGTAAATTAAATATTCTCTCCATTTCCACTACACTTATTCGCTACGGATTTTATTGATTATCATACAACGTATTGTCAATTTCTTTGCTAGTTAAATATATGTACATGTTACTTTTAAAATATATTAATTCTAAGGAATTTAAAGATTTAATCTCTGCAAAAAATTACGCAATCCAATATTCATCTCTCCACTTTGCAGATGAGACTTGCACGTTTAGTGACGATCAAATAGAATTTGCAAGTATAATATATTAAACTGTTTTAATATTTACGAACTATTATTCACGCTGCGAAAACGGCGTCGCGTCGTTTTTACCAATTTTCAGATTCATTAAACTGTTTGATTATTTAAGAGATGTTTGTACCGGATACGTCAAACTTTCAAGTGGGGATAGACTGTACTTACCTCTCTGATCTGTGATCTCTACACTGCTCTACACAGACTGGTAGTTGCTGGTATATCATTTCCGCATTCCCACCTTTCATGAACTAAGATTAGTCTAGGTTGGAAACTTCGGATAAATTTGAGAACAAATGGCTAGAGGAAAATCTGGCGCCAATTCGAATGAATGGATGATCATTTGTTTTGATGATTTTATTTGTATTTTTAGCATTTAGGAATAGGAGCCTCTGCATATTTTGTTACGATTCAATAACAAAAGGCTGTTGATGACGGCATTAATTGCGCGTTGACAAACTGGATTTTCACTCATATCTATTGGATTTCTTTCTAAGTTTGTTAATTTGCATTGAAATATTACGTTGCCATGTATGCAGATCTGCAGCCGATCCCAGAAAATTGTAGGAATTAATTTTATCGTGTGACCCATTTCTTCTAGAGCCTCTAAGAAAGATGAAGGAACTCAAAGATGTATAGAACGACATAAATGTTATTTCATTGTTAATAATAAATATACTTTGAAGCTCGCGTATTCTTTGGGTCCTGTGCCTTATTATTCCCCAGGATAAATAACGTCCGTAAAGAATCGTAATAAAAGTTCTACTTCCAGGACAATCGTCTCCGCAAATACAGTTAGCATCATGTTCCTTTTTAATGACGCTATACATCATTCGAATTGGTAATAATTTTTTCTTATAAATTGTTGATAACCCGAACGATTTTGCGAACTTTCAATTTGTTTATTAAACGGCATACTTTCCGTTTTGATAAAATGTGATAAAATGATACTCGCGGCCGCGTGCGTAACAAAAAATCTAACATGGCCGCGATCGTGTGACATTTCTTTTCTGTTAATGAAAAAAATCTTGTTCATTGTCTCAAAAATAATGGGCGAACTTGAACTGATATTGGTCTAGTCTAATTGTCTGAAGTTTTTCCAGTTTATTTTAGTCTTGTAACTTGAGTTTCTTATGGTGTTTGTAGTATTATAACCTGCGGAACTGACATTGGTTTATTTTTTCCCGTGTGTCTTATTTCAGCTGAAGAAATATGGCAAAGTCAGAATCTTCTCCAGAATGGATATTGGAGCGAATTCTTGGTTCCGGTGGCTTTGGCGAAGTTCAACTTTGGAGAAATGTTTCAACAGATAAAAAGATTGGTATGTTCTTCTATTTTTGTGTTATTTTTTTTTTCATTACATTTTCAGGGATATTTTGTCTCTTTCCTATTCGTATCTCACTACTAGGCGTTGCTCAGGATCACCATGCTTTTTGTCTCATTTTGTTTTAATGTACAATATATAAAATTGCGTAAAATACTTTATCACAGCGCTTAAAAAATGCAAATGGGATATTACTCGGATGGGTGAAAGACAAAAGGAAAGATGGGTTCACGAGGTTGAAATAATGAATCGCTTGAAACATCCAAATATTGTGGGTACAGAATCTGTACCAATCGACCTTTTCAAAGACACAGAGAATTCTTTACCTGTCCTTTGTATGGAATATTGCAGCCAAGGAGATCTACGAAATGTAATACATACTTCGTTTCATCAAAAACCCATTTGTTCTAAATTAATCTGTCTATCATGCTATATAATTTAATAGATGCTTAATCAAAGTGAAAATTGTTGTGGAATAACTGAACCAGAGGCTATGAGGATAATGGGAAGCATTGCTGCTGCTGTCGAGTATTTGCATAATCAACATATTACTCACCGTGATCTCAAACCAGAGAACGTAGTTCTTCAAGAACATTTTGGCAAAGTAAACAGATTTTTTTCAATAAATCTAATTATATTTAACTATGTCAAAAGGTTATTATATATTTGCAATTAATTTATCTATATTACATAGATTATTTATAAATTAATTGACCTTGGCTATGCAAAAGACCTTGGAGAAGCAAGCCTCCAAGCATCAAAAGTGGGAACGATGAATTATGTTGCTCCAGAGTTATTGTGGCAAAACAAGTATAGTTGCTCTGTTGATTATTGGAGTCTTGGGATATTATTTTATGAGATTTTAACAGGCAACAGACCGTTCCTACCACATATGAATCACACTCCGGAATGGTCAGTGTTGAATCAGCAAGTATCTACTTCTAAACAATGCATACATTGTATTATCGAAAAGTTTTATTCTTTCAGGGTGAAACATATCAGACATAAAACCTATGATCAAATTCGTGCACGCAGAGTCAACGGAGATGTTATTTTTGATACAGATATTGAGAATCCTACTGATTTATCGAAGTATACCGATTATAATTAATCATAAAATTCTGAATGACAAAAGAAATAGAATTCTAAGATAAAAAAAGGAATTTCCTATGTTTCTGAAAGGTACGTCAAAGCACAAATGGTTGATTGGTTAAGATTGGTTCTGCAGTGGGATCCAAAACGACGCGGAAAGATGCCAAATGATCAGCAACAGATTGCTGTGTTCAAGATGCTGCGATTGATTCTTTCAAAACCGGTACATCTTAAACACAAAAAATCAAATTGACCTAAAATTGATCAAAACATATCAATTGGATGATTTTTTTGTTTGATGTACAGGTATTATATGTATTCATTGTATCCATGTATCGAATGGAACCATATGCCGTGGATGTTAAAACAAGTACTCAGGATCTATTGGGGATTATTGAAAGAAATACTAAAATTCCACATAACAAACAAATCCTCACAGATTTCATGGGAAATATTTTAAAAAGTAATAGCGATCCAATTTTACAAAAATTAAAGGTATTCAAATAGTGCTGTCATCAATTAATATCACTGGAGATTACCCAATACGAGATAATAAACCACTTAATTTTATAGGATCCCTACTTGATAATGTTTGAAATCGATAGAATATTGTTGGAAAAATTTCCGAATCCGGATATTCCAGAAGAAATACAGAAAATTATTGAACAACCAAAAATACAAATAAGTCATCAATCCTTGCGACACGCTTACGCCTCTACGGTGTTCTTCGTGAAGCAAGAATTCAAGTTGTTTCGTTCTTACATTATTGCATTTAGCATAAAAATGTACGTACATAAATTATTCTTAATTCTTTTTTTTGTTATAATTGCACAACTTATTCGTTAAATTTTTCTAGTGATTTAATAAATGAAAAATTGAATAAGTTATTTGAAGTTGTGAAAAAGACAATGTCAGACTCCAACGTGCTGATGACTGAAGTAACTCAGGTCTTGGAGTCTCTAAATGTAAGTGGTACATCAACAAATAAAACCACAGAACTTGAAGGAAATGTTAAAAAAATCAAGAGGGTTTCTGAAGCTGTGCGTTCTATGAAATCCTGGGTGGAGAAGCTTATGCAAATGAATAAAAGTATAAGAGAATTTTCAAATATTGATTGGACGGATGAATTTTCAAAAATGTAAGTAATCTGCACAACTAAGAGTGGTCCTATTGTAAAAGCAATTCCTGACTAATTATTTTATTACAGGTATGATAAGGTGGTCGACATTTATGAAACCTTAAAGAAATCCGCACGACCAGGTTTCTATGACGACTACGAGGATCCTACAAATTCTTCAATCGTTAACAAGCGTGGTTGGGCCGCACCCACAGAAATGGCTAAACTTGTACTGAAATTTATCCGAATTCGTCACACACAGTTACATCATCCATCAATTTCAACAATAGCCAAGTACGTTATATTGACACAACATTGAATAAAATACATAAAGAATATTCATCATTTTAATTGTATCACAGACAGATTTTACAATTGGATGGGGATCTAATTAAACTTGAGAAAGCTTTAAATTCTGCTTCCACTTTAACGAATGTCTACAGAGGAGAATTTCAACATTTGCTAGAAAAGCAAGATGAAAATTTAATTCCTATTACACAAGTTGTTAACCAAGATCATTCGACTTGTGTATTCCCTGTAAATTCTATGAAAAATTCATCTATGAATGATTCATCGTCGATGATGGCTAATTCGACAGAGGCCATTGATAATGTGATATATGATAACATTGTGATAAGTTATATGTAAGTAATAGTTTATTATCAATAATATAACTCTGTTGATTATGTATCCATACAATAATCGAAATTGTCTTTCTGTAGGCTACGTGATTTCATGATGGAGATGCAACAGAAGTATTTCGAGATAATTAATCTAAATCCGTAGGACATTAAAGTTCTGCGTATAGGTTATCTTTTTCGTATGCATCTCACGTTGGTTCTCCCGTCCAAAGTTTATACGAGCCAGCGCAATGCGTTGGATATTCCGTAACCCTTACCATTACGATTAGATGACGAGTGAAAACATTATTTTATTTGTCAAATATATTTCTTTTATCGTGCGAGTCAAATACGTTAAAGGAAAATATATCAATGCAGTTCAGTTTTTAATCTCATAGTTGAAAATTGGATCTAAATGTTTTTATTCTTACTGTGTTTATACTGCTATAAATTTTATCTTGCAAATTAATATTTTCTAAGCCAAATAAGTCCTCACATACATACGTGTATTTTATGAGCGTTTTAATACTGTTTTGTAGACGTTATCAGTAAAAAAGTTATATAATCAATGTCTTCGTGGAACATAATGTCGAACTCCCCATTTAATATTAGCATTTTCGTCGGTTTTAACAAAAGTATAAACTGGTCCATCCAAAAAAGATTCATCCTTCGATTTCTGGACTTTATCTGTGGATGCACCTAATAAAAGTAATAAATCTATTATAGCTGTATTTCATAATTGTTTAAGAAATAAACAAGAAAATAGACTTACTTGTAACATTCATGAGAAGCATCAGACCTAATAATAGTCTTAGGAATCCACGTATGTCCTAGAGTGTATTTTTTTTAAACCAAATATATTTAAAAAATGTATTCAGAAATCTATGAGTTTACTTACCATGTTTTATTGTCGTTATGACTAAATACAAAATTGAAAAGTGCACTGCTCAAAATGATTCTCTACACAGTTCTCAAGTCTCGTAACGACTGAACCTCAAATTATTCATTCAAGTTAGTAAAGAAAACGATCAAAAAATGACACGCTTGAATAGCTCAGAGCGCATCGTTTTTCCTTCGGGCTTTCACAATTCATGATACTTTCTCAAACCGTTAGAAAGTAGTAAAAAAAAAAAATCCTACTATTCAAGTAAAGACTTTTTTTTGTATATAACCCATTTTTTTGTATATAAGCAGGATAATACTGTGCGAATTTTGTTACATGTTATACTACTAGTAATATTAAAACTTATATTATAAATCGCCGTAAAGATATAAAAACATGCGTGAGATTTCGGTCAGCCCGACTTTTTATTACAGAAACAATATTGGAAAATGTAAAGAAAAAAGATGTTAAAATTCCAAATTATTAGGAAACGAATAACTAATAAATTCATACTGCCTACCTTTGTCTAAATTACTTACACTACAGGGTTTTTGTTCTTTATGAAATTAAAGAATTGAACGTATTTACCTCGTATTAATCCCAAAAATTAAATCAAAAACATTTTGGCCTTGACAAAATATTACAATGAATGCAGACGTGATCACGCACTCCTTAAACATATAGACAATTTTATTTTTATTAAAAAGTTGTGCACACACGTACCTCCTACGATTCGACAATTCGAGCAACAATGATAGAATAAATATAGTGTCGTAAATTCTTTCGGCTAGAGAGCATTAGGAATTCCCATCCAGTATGCTCTCTGAGTCCTCGATAACCGCTAAAGACCATCCGCGAAGAGTCCACTTGGGTCTGTCACGTCACAACCAAAAAAAATCATGTTCAAATGAAGAACGATTTTTAATTACCTCTCTTTTTCTTTTTACCTACTTAAGTACTTTCCAGGAGTAGGTCCTTGCTCTATAATTATCCATTTCACTCCACTCTTTATTAATTCTTTTATTCATTGTCGCTGATGTCCTCATCTGTAGTAAACTCGGAATGATCATCGGCTGCGTCAACATCCTCTGCAGTTTCCTCGTCGGAAATGTCCCACTGAGGATGCTCCGTAGGAATTTCAGGAGCTTCCTTAACGTCCAGCTGCAGCAAGAAAGTGTATCAACCAATAATGTCAATTACGTGTCTAAGATTTTACAGATTAATTTTTCTGTATATAAGCAGGATAATTGTTTACTAACCTTAATATCCTGAGCTTGATCGAAACCAATATACGAGTCGCTGCGTAAGCAGACAGTAAACGTATAAAGACCTGGCCATCTTGGCGCAGTAAAGCGCAATTGCACCTCCTCGAATCTCGCCAAGGAAGTGACGTGTGCAGGTGTAGTGAGGAGAGTGTGACTTTTACGATCACAAATATACACCCACCAGTACTCCTGTTTAACGTCAGGGAAGAGAGGGCTATGAACCTCGTGGGAGAGGTTGCTGCGACCCTCCAGTACCTTCTCTCTCTTGGAAATTCTTTGTTGGAACCTGTGATTTCAAAGAGGTAAGTGACAAGGAAAATATATTATTATCTTTGATTGATTATTATATTTATAAAACTGTACTAAAAATATTTTAATGACTAACTTCTCCCATTCAGTGTCATCGTCATCGACAGCAGAATCCTTTTTGATGTGTGAGCTGTCTTCGTCATCGCTTCTATCACTGTCAACTTCACTGTCACTGACATCGGATAACCTTTCCTTGACAGAATCTCTAGCAGGATCCTTGTTAGAGGATTCCTTGCCATCTTCCTTTTTTCTTGAGTTTGGAGTGTTGGTTTGTTGCTGTTGCTGGTGTTGTAATACGTTTCCAGGTTGTGACTGTTGTCCACTCTTAGCTGGTGCTGATTTTTTATTTGTGTTTTTCTTGTTAGATTTTTTAGGTCCTTTACGTTGTCGTAGCCATGCTGGTTTCTTCACCGTTTGGCTTTCCTCCTCTGCAGCTTCTTCGCTGGGATCACCAGCAGCTGCCTTCGAATCATCCAGGATGGTCTGCTCCTTAACGGTATTGTCGCCGAAGAGAGTACGCATGTCCTTCCTGGTTAATGAGACTGTGACTGTCACTATAGCACCAGCCGTGTATACGGTAGGATTTTCGTCATCGATTACTGAAACACAAATTGATATTGTGACTAAAGTTCTCTTTTCTTTATATAGCATTTTTAGTAATTAGTAATTTAATTACCCTCTGAACGAACTTTGAACTCTATATAAGGCATATTGCCAAGAACTTTCATAACATCGTTGTATTGACTATCCGACAAATTTCGAAGTATTTGTCGACGCTCGTCGCCTTTTAATTGGGCGAATTGCTGGAGACTCTTGATCTGACGCTATTAAAAGAAAATATATTAGCATTTGAAATAACTTTGTTTGTCAATAAAATTATAAGTACGATCTATATATATTAACCTTCTTAGCTAGGAAGTACTTGAGATTATCTTCTGTAATATGTGGCAACTGAAGAAGTGGATTCTTAAATTCCCACAATCCTTGAACTATCATTGGACTCAGTTTCATGCAGTTTTCAATGGTTTCGATACTTGGCAATCGCTGAACTGTATTGAGATAATTCCAGAAATTACATAAATGCTATTTTACGGTAATATTAAAAATACGTACTTCTTCTGGCATAGGCTAGCATGATCAGTTGATTTACGCAAGTGACCATTTCTTGAATAAAATATGGACATTTTTTAACAATGTATTGACGATCCTTTTCCAAGGTTTCCGGATTTAACGGGATCCGTAAAAGATGAGCATGTAAGAGGGCTCTTGCCTTTATTGAATATAAATGACACAGTGGCCGTTCTTTGTTCTTTTCACCAAGATTACTTAATTGCTTTATTAACTGGAATAGGGGAAATGAACAAATTATTGTTACTTACAGTTAAGCTATACTTTAAAATCTCAAAGTGAAAATATAATGATTTACCGAAGGAACTTCTTCATTATCGGAATGCCTTTCAATTATTTCTGGATTATGCTTCTTGTAGAACTCAAATGAAGCCGCGAGGATCATTATGACTCTTCTGAGAGCCATGGAGGGTGTTTTGTGGAAGAAGTAGTAATACATTTGAGTTGTGTCGAGTAAAACCTATTCAACAACGATTAGCTAGTGATGGTTGATAGGATCACCAAGCGAATTTCGAATATTCATGGAAAAAATATTTACTTGATCTCCGGAATAACGGATGCTCTTGTACCACCACATGCCAACGACTGTAGGAAGGGCGACCATGAAAACTAAAGCATACAAGCCAAGAACCCATACGGAATTTTCTTTTTCGACTATCCAAGATGGTAGAGCTATACCAAAACTCATTGCACCCGGTCCATCAGGGTTTCCATATTTCTCCCAATTTTTCTTAGCTTCATCGTCAGTCAATGCTTGGTAGGCTATAATGATAAATGTCGATTTTATAAAAATTCATATACATTTCACACAATTCAGAATAAACTGTCAAATATTTGATAAAGGTAATTCACCTTTGGTCAGTTTCATAAACGCTTTCTCATTTCCAGTTTCCTTATCTGGATGGAGAATCAAAGATAGCTTGCGATAAGCTTTTTTTACCTCACTTTGTGGAGAACCCTTAAGTCAAAAAACAATTTTTGTTATACTGATCAATCTATGAGTTATATTCGTATGATCATTGTTACTATACTATACTTACAGGTGGAACACCCAGAATCTCAAATGGATCAAAATTAGCCATTTCATAGTCAAATTGAGAAACTTTATATGCAAGTAACAAAAGTATCACCCAGCCAAGGATAATGAGAAATTTCCTAGAATTAATGATTAAAACATACAATAGAATTTTATATTAAATATATACAACATAAGGTACATTTATCAAGAAGCTGAATAAATATTTGTATAAAAACAAGGTAATAATTAAAAATCTCACGTGAACAAAGCCTTTGTTTCTTTCCATGGCTCGTTCATCTGCAATATAATTTTCTTCTTCTTGCATCCTTCACACCCACATTCTTTAGACAGTTGTCCTGGATCTAAAAACAAAATATTAACTTAAGATCCAATAATAAGTAAAAAATTAGAATAAATACTCCAGAAATATATATGGAAAATTTATAGAATAACGTAAATAAAATAGATAAATACAATACAAATACAATTGTTATTAATCCATGAGATAAACTAACACAATTTCGATTACATTTTTGTAAAAATTTAAAAATGGCGCAATTGGGCACCCGTGGCGATAAAAAAATAGTAGATTGCTACTGACATTACAAAAACATATAATAAACTAGAAAACAGTTCAAGTGAGTTAACGGAACACCCACGTGCTTACCCGTCCATAATGGACAGGTCATCGGCCTCATGTAATTCATTACTATTACATACCATCACAATTCCAACAATACAATACAGTAACGATGACAAGTAACAAATTGTAGAATTAAATAAAATGTAATAAAAATGTGGAAACAAAAATAAGAGACAAGGTTACTGAATGAATCGAACGCAAGATTGTTGTTAAACTGTAATTGACTAAATGGATTACTTGTCTAACTAACCTTGCTTGGGGCGACGTGGCCAAAGGTAATATGTTCCAGGTATAAGTAGCAGGACGAGGAAGGAAAGTAAAAAGTAGAAAAACGTCCCGCCACTCTCATCGTACTGAAATTTTTGTCCGCTCATTTTTCATTAAGTATAATACACTATTTCGGTACACTTTATCTTCATTGATAGTTATCACAACTTAAATAAGTTCTATTCGACCTAGGTTAGCCCTGGTTAGCTTGCGGAGACTGCCGACTTGTCACCTTCAGGATTGCCAACGCGACTTTAAAGTGATAGCATCGTGTCCACCAATCAGAACTTTCAAAAGCGCTAGCATCTTCTTACATTATTACCGGCTCTTGATATAATCGCAAATTATTTACTGGCAGAGTTGAGTACGTAGATATACACAACGCTACGGCTTTTGGTGACACCAAAAACATGGCGCTAAATCGTAGCAGCGAGTCAGGAAGTAGGATTTTGTGATCATTGCCTCTGTCGATAATGCATGCGCCCTCTTTCCGTGCTGAACGTGATCATGAACGTGTAGTTTGGCGGGCAGAGATTTTCCGCAACTTACCGCTGGTTCCCACAACAACCCTTAGAACGAGGCCGCTCATCAGAGATTGCCTAAACATTTTTTTGTAATCTTAAATTCGAGTGCACATTGAGAGCTCGATAAGATTTACTACAAGAGCCAGTACCTCATGCTTGTCTGTGTTGAGGAGTGCAGCGATGCAGTGCTAGCTTTCAGCATTATTTAAACAATATGTAGTTCCAAGCGGAACTATGATCCCAACATAAAGTACTAGAAGGGGGAACTAACCCGGAAATGTTTGAAACACATTTAAAAACAACACTGAAAGCCAGCTCCTTATGCATACCTGCCTAAAGCGTATGACGCGAATAGTATACTTAACAGGTATTTTATCGATGTTATGTAGCAGAACTATTGTTAAAACCTATCAGGAACTATAGAACTCTTCAAAACTATTGAAAAAGCCTATTGTTGAAACAGTTTTAAGAAAGTGCGGTGAAAACTTCATACCCGCGTAGCACCTCAATATTTGGAAAATGATTCATAAATAGGCTTTTGCAATAGTTCTCGAGGAGTTATATCGTTCCTGATAGGTTTTAACAATAATTCTGTTGCGCAATATCGGTAAAATATTTATTCAATATACTGGTGGCATTATACGCTTCAATGCAGGCAGGCATGAGTTGCTGACTTTTGTCACATTGAACTTACCGAGCTTACACTGTGTGCTCGAACTTAGGATTACAAAGAGAATAGTACATGTGTGGCCGTGTGGCGTGTAAAGCGCTCAACTAACCTAACTACTGAACACTATATGAGAAATGTCATTTAACATATTGCTTTTATTAAAGTGATATCAGTATTTTTGTGTTTCGTGGGATTGAATATATAATCCGTGTATATTTTTAATTGTATTGTAATTTAATATTTTCAAGTTTAAAAAGTGAATTTAATACTATACTAACTAAAATGTGTTTTAACATTTACTTATACATTAGAAATTTTATATAAAAGTAAAATATTGAATGTTAATATCATTTCTTGATATTGCAACAACATGACTGAACACAGTTTCACATTACCAAGAGCACCAAAGGAGCTTATGTTCAATGAACATGATTTTAATGAGGTTATAATACCATATAATTAGATTTTTTCTTATTTTCTCAATAGTTTACTCATAATAACTTTATTTATCTATCATAAGATTGTCACAGTACATTTAATATTGATTTATAACATGTATTGTTTTGTTTCTTTAGAAAGATTTTGATGTTGATAAATTTCTTCAAGAACACAGAAAAAATGCTAGTCTTGAAACTATGCGAGATGATTTGGGAATTTACTTAAAAGTCCTCCGATCTGCAATGATTGAGTTAATCAATAAAGATTATGTGGATTTTGTTAGTCTTTCCAGTAATTTAATTGGCTTGGACAAAGCTATTAATAATCTACAAGTTCCTCTTGGTCAACTCAGAGAAGAGCTAATGGTATGATGTCATTTAACAAATTATTATTACTTTTAATTTTATTATTTATTTCAATAAAAGTACTGTATAGTTGGTTTACAAGTTCGATGTGTTTTTCTGACATATTGAAAATAATAAAGTATCTAGCAAGGCACACATGTCACTGTATAAGATGTTATAAAATATTTGTATGTATGGTCTTGTAATAAATATATTTCATTTTTCTAATTTAACATATATTTACGTTATTTTATGGAAAACCATATATGATTTGCTAATTATTGTATTACTTGTGAACTGTCAAAAAAAAACACATTGAATTCGTGTATCAATATGGATATATATATGTATATACATCTCAACAATTACAAAATAGCAATTTTACAATGTCCTACTTGGGAATATAATAGTTATGTACATCAACTATTTTATAATTATAATATCCTTGAGTAGGAAATTCAAACATTGCCAGTAGATTATAATTACTTTATGTTACCTACGATCTGAAATAAGGGCATTTCAATAATTTATCTATGCTAAAATTTAAGATAAAATATATACTAATTTATTATTGCAAGAGCATATTTAACAGTTTTTATGAACTTAAATAATTTTAAACAAACTTAAAAATGTTATTTGTATGTTATTAAATTATTACTATTAGTGTTGTTAATGTTGTAGCAAGTACGACAAACCTTGGATGATGCAATTACTGAACTGACAATTGCTCTAATCAATCATCAACGAATCAGAGAACGTAAAAAAAGTTTACAGAGCTTAGCACGGGTTTACAAGTCAATAGCAAAATTGTCTCAAATTTTGGCAACAAGTACTACTACAGCAGGATCTTTAAAACCTGACCTTTTAGAACGTGCTGCTACAGAGTTTAATCAACTAAAATTTCACACGTCCAGATGCAAATCTGATATAGCGCCTATTCAAAGCCAGGTAAATGTTTTCACGGTTCTATAAGTATGTGTCATCCAATATTTTTAAATGCATCTACTTTTATATGTCGACATTACAATTAACTAACAATTGAAGTAATAATTATTATCATATTGTCAATATTAAATGATAAAAATAATATTAAACATATCAGTACTGAAAACTAGTTTAAAAATATAACGATATGTCAGATTATTTAAAAGAAGATACAATTCTTCTGTCAAAATTTGAATATTTCATTTATACAATTATTATTCGTACGAAGGTAGGCGAAGGAATACGTTTTTTAGCTTTTGTGATCAAGCATGTATAATGTTCAAAATGAACAAATATTTATGCAAATTGAAAAACGTCGTTTCGATATTATAGTAGACCAATATATATTTTCTTTTAAACATAATTTAATGCTACTGTTCAGTCAGATCCAATACATAGAAATGATATATTTGATCAAATATTGGTACCTCCGTATTCCTAACTCGATAAAGAAAGGGTGTGAGCTTAATTTTAGAATAATACGTTTCGTTGCTTCGCAAATAAGATTCGAAAACCATTAATTAATTTCTGACTTGCCAAATATTTCAACACAAAATCATATGTTAATGATTATGAATCATACACGTCCTTGCAAACTATGACTATCTCCACTTTTAGAAAATATTATCATATTTAATTAAAATATAATCACGTTAGTCTTCTTAAAGCATTGAAATAACCAGTTTCATATTGAGGTACAATAACATGAACTTTGCAATGAGATCTTATGCATTTGTAGTTTTAAAAATAATTAATTTTTTGCATGTGTTAATTTGAAGCTGGAAGTTGAATATTTGTAAATCTTGCTGTTCCTTGTATATTCGAAACTTAATTCTTCCCAAATACGATAATGATTCGTTAGCTGGTTCTTTTTCAATTTTGTATACGACGATCTCCCGTTTGGTCTCTATGCTTCTATCTAAAAACTAACAACAAACAATTGCCAACACTAAAGTAGTCGTAGCCTCAACCCTACCACTACACTACATTTTAAACGATTAACGGACTTTGTCTACTTATGCATTCATCAAAGAACCTTCTGGAATTATTATAGTACTGCGAGATACGACATCAAATAATGGATGAAATATAGATAAGAGCGTTTCAAGCTTAGTTCAAAAAAATAAGACAAAGTTAATTATTTAATTTCAGAAGAGCTTTGAACTTGAACAACATCTTACAGCGATTCTGGATGACTCATTTATACTGAGTATAAAAAACAAGCAGACAAATTTGTTAGTTCGCCACCTCAGGATTTACATTACATTAGACAAAATAGCAGATGCAGAAAATTTAGTAAGGAAAAAAATCGTGGGCCCTGCAGTTGACAATATAATCCATAAAACGAACTTGCAAAGTGAACCATTGGGTTTGCAAGGTATATTTCAACGTTTATTAAACGTGCTTAACGAGGAATTAGATGAACTTCTAATCGTGACGTCACATCCAGACAGGTATGTTGAAGAATATACTATAAAAAAATTCGTGCTTCTCTTATCGTACCTCTTAATTAAACATTTTTTATCTAAAAAAATTATATGAAAAATCACATTCTCTAAAAAGTGTACATGAAATCCATTAAATGGTCAACGATACTTATTATAATATTTCAGAAAAACAAAAGATACCAATACACGTTTATAAAGACTTTATTCATTGAAGGGGATCGGGGCGTGATTTTTGAGACTAAAAAACTTGCTTTTCTATCAGCGTGATTACTAATTCAGGACATTACTGATAATGATTAAAAGTTTATTGACGGTATCGCCAACATGAAATTAATACTAGGTGACAACAGATATTGTTATTTGAGAATTAAAATTGTGAAACAAATCTGTTAACAGATTATTTATTTATATTGATATGATTATAGTATAGGTAAAAAAGTTTTGCCGAAATAAATGGTAAAAATCACAAACTATAAAGATAGTGTCAATAATTAAGTACTCCCTTCAGACACGGAATACTTCAATAGTACAAGATGAAAAAACGCCCGTAAAGTGATTAGTTGTTCTTATAATATCGTAATTTTGAAAAAACGAAAAGGATAACCTCGAGTTGTATAAACAATCCACGAATTTGATGAATGAAATCACTTTTGCATTTGAAAAATAATTAATTAATGATTTGTTGGTAATTCCGTTCTGATTTTCTAATTGTAAGACACACTGTTTAAAAAAAGTCATCTCGTATAGTATCGCTTAAAATTGTACTTACTTTTCAATTTAGGAGTTATCACGAGAACATTAATATTTTTTTTCATGTTAATATAGGATGATCGTAAAAGGATTCAATTTCTTAATAAATAGTTATTGGTCGGAAGTAGAAGAAAAAATCGAATTGGACATGAGCTCTATTTTTGCACCTGGACATCCAGAACAGTTTTACCGGGTAATTATAATATTTATTTATGATGTACTGTTATAAATATTGAACTGTTTATGATTTGAAGAGCATTCAAATATAAGAGCAACAAAATCTTGTTTCTTTGAGCTACAACTGTTGAATTCTATTCACGTTTTATACATTGGCCTTTGCAGAAGAGTAGAATGATCTTGTACGTACACACGCAAATTAAGTTAGGATTTGCTGGATATCTGAAAATTGTATCACTTCATTTTCATTTTTTTCATTTGAAATTGATGTTTTTGTCGTGTTTCAATCAATTTACAATAGTTTAGTGGTTTTTATAGAATTCTACAAGCATGTATTCATCTTATTTCTATACAGTTGTATTATCCATTTACAAGCTGCACAATACACTATCAACATTCAATTACCGGTGAAGATTAAAGGAGTAGTATGGATTATAGTAGTAATCTGATGAATAATTTGTTTACACTTATTAATATTACCAACTATGTTAGGAATAATGTAATGAAATTAACCTAACTTACGTGAGGTTCGGCGTAGCAAACCCAAATCCGGTCTGACGCTCGATGTTAAATTTTTAAACCTGACGCATGCCTGTGTAATATACATATAATACTGGACACAACGATATCATATCCATTAACATTCATTAACAATATTTTTACATAAGATGAAACTTAATTAAATTTTTTTTACAAATATTTTAAATATACTATTTCAGAGATATATGGAAACACTTGAGTTTCTTTCCAAATTAGAGGAACGTTGCAGCAATTTTGAAACTTTGGCTGTACTGAAGAATCATACGCAATATAAGCAATTTTTAAAGAAATGGAATTTGCCAGTTTACTTCCAAATAAGGTTCCAAGAAGTTGCTACCGCCGTTGAGTCGGTACTCTGCGAACCGATTTCACCTACATCCATTATAGAAAATGCGAATAACATTCATTCAATGGAATATTCTCTTTATGCAACACACATTACTTTTGATTCTCTCCTTCGAGGATGGGCCGAAGGTGTATTTTTGCCTCAACTACTACATCGGTAATATACAATTTTATTAAAAAATAATATCTACGAAAGTTTATATTGTACTGGGTATTCATGTCCATCCGCATGTGGGAAGTAGGGTTGAACTCTTCATCAGAAATAAAAAGACGTCTGTTTAAGCGTTATCAATTTGTTAGGTTTAAATTGCGGAATATTTCACATTAAAGTTTGTAATCTTTAGCCTGGCAATGTTGAGTTGGACGGTCTCGGATAGAATGCCACGACCCATTTCCTATTGCTTGCCACGCTAGATAATCTAATTTTTATATTCACAATGCTCGCTCGTCCGTGCTGCTTCTCAGAATGTATTTTTAATCATTTATCTATTATTTCAGTAAAATAGGTGGGCTATTTGGATGTTAACAATATTTAAAAAATTGTAAATACGAGTAAAAAGAGCAATGGCTAGAGCGGTAAGCAGTAGTAATTAAGTCACCGCATTCTATCTTCAGCTCAACGGTGATAGGCGAACCACTTGTGGTTAGACGTGAACACACTGTAGATGAAACGTAAACTCAATACATATAGTAACTACGAAATATCGTTGAACAGTCCAAAAATGACAGCCGATCAGTGAAGGATCAAATTCTTTAACTACTCTTTGTTTTAGGTTCTGGAAATTGAGTCTACAAATATGTTCTAGATATAAAACTTGGTGTCGAAGCACCTTAACTCAAGTAATCTAATATATATTATTTTAAATAAAAATTATAGATTCAATCAGTTATTTAAAAAATTCTGTTTTAATCAATTAGAATTGGCCGATCGTGACTGGAATGGGAAAAATTGATGGAAATGAAGCTGAATGTCCAACAAGATTACAATTTCTTGTATGCTTGTACACCGATATTGAAAAATTCATTAAACAGTTACCAACCCTGTTGGAAATAGTACGAATAAAACTTCCAAATGATAAACCAAGCATAATGAGAATATTAGAAGGTAAATATGTGTGTATATATATATAGCATAACAACGTTTATCTTCATTATCACTAATCCTAATATATTACATTGCCCATTATCTAATTAAAAAATAGCCGATATGTACTTCTAATGGCATCAGAAAAATACGTTTTTATTTTAAATTATTATATTTTAAATGGAGTATATTTTTTAATAAATTTTTAAGGAAAGCAAATAAATTTTTTTCATATGGTTCGGGAAATAAAAAAATTCTGTTAGTGTGATAAAGCAATCTTTTAGCCATTTTAGACAATACTGTAGAAATATATAAGAATGTTACTCCTTTTAACCTTATAGATCCAGAATTTCTTGTCAATCTGATTTATATTTGTCTCTAGTATTCGCAAATAAAGAATTGAATCTTCTCCAAAAATACAAAATACATTTCATTTAAAAATATGAGAAAAGTCGATTATTAATTTTAGAATTAATCTGTGTAGCATGCATTATGTGTTATTTTACCTTTTTTTTTAAATTTTCGTCAGTATGAATCATTATTGTTATTATAAGTTTACGTATACAAATTTCAGATTGTCTGAAAGAAACTTGCAGAAATTTAGAAGACTGCTTGCCAGCAGTTACTGACGAAGTTGTTAAAGAACTCTTGTCACAAAGTGCAGTACATTTAAAACAAGTCAGTGATATTCCACGACTATTTCGACGTACGAAGCGTGATATTCCAACTAAACCGTGTGCATATGTAAATAATGCATTGAATCCTCTTAGTACATTTCATACTGATTATAAAACCGTCATACCAAAAGCTGTTTCTCATTGGATTCACTTAACTCTATCTTCATTAACTGTTCAGTAAGTTATCAAATATTATTTACTTACTACCCAAAATATAAAATTATATTCCAAATTATGTAATGAGCTCCCCTGACAATACATTTGTTACAGTTAACTGTTAGATGCGTATTTCGTATATTTAGGTTTACTTAGCTCGCCTTGATTGAACTTTTGTTATAAATAGTGAGTGAGCTGTGATTAGTTACAAGAAAATATACAGGAAATCAGCTAATTTTTGGCAAATGGTTTTCAAACTTATGTTTAAATATTTGTGAAATATGCTCGGGGTAAACATTTAAGGTCGAGGAAATATAGTTGAAACGCATTAAATGTATTGTGGTGCAGTTCATGTACATAGAAATCAGATATTTGCCTGAGAAATCGTTTTATCTCGATCAATTGTGCTTATACATTAACAATACTCTGTGACTCACACTAACAGCCATCTAATAACGGAAATGAGAATTGTATTAAACAATTATAAAGAGCAATAACTTGTATACCAGTCAACATACACAGATCATCTTTACATAAATAAAAATGATATAATTTTTACTTTCAACCGCGATTTTGTGGATAATAATGCGATAAATAAACCATGAAAAGTCTGAAGTCGTATTTTCCAAAGCTTTCAGAGATAACTTTTTCAGTTTTCTAATTGAGTCTTAAAAATATGTACCTGCTATGTATTCATTACAATGAATTTATATGCTAAGTATCATTTAAAATATATAAACCGTGAAAACTCAATAATTAACCGCGATTCTTTTGTTTAAACAGGTATTTGTCATCTGTTACTGATGTTTTAACTTCAGTACAAAAAACTGAGGAAAGTTTAAAAAGATTAAAAAAAATTCGCGACAAGTCCGCAGGAATGTCGCCTTCAGAAGGAAAGGGAATTAGTGACGATGCAAAAATACGAATTCAACTGGAAATCGATGTATATGGATACAAAAATATGGTAAGGGGATGAATGTCTCAAATGAAATTAAAATATAGTAGACATTATGTTACATTAAAAATCCTATATAAAGATTCGTATTAATTAACTCATAATTAACAAATAATGCTGAAGACACGATAGTTATAATTGTTCTAATATTCCGTATAACAAAAACAATCATTTTACATGACTCTTTATCAAGTCAGTTAAATATTTATCTTTCTTATTTTTATTATAAATTTATAAATAAATAATACGATTTAATTATTATTGTGATATAATCGAATATTCTGAAATATTAAATTTGCAATAAAGTCTTCTTCAATTATTTTTATTACTTCAATTTATGATAATTTATTTTAAATTCACGCGAAACGGCAAATTAGACATACAAAATATAGATTAATATCCAATCCATCTAAATTTTCCCAAAGATCAACTATCAAAGCCTTGGAACTTGATTATCGATGAATCGCTCTCAATTTCATGTCATTTATTTCATTTTCATATGAAGAAGTCAATGCTGCATAATATGTTTATCTGCTTACAAAATATGAAACTATTATTATTATTCATAACGATTTGATTTTACAGATTGAAACTCTTGATGCCGATATTTCAAATGTGCCTCATTTACAAGATTTAATACATGTTGTAGAAGCTGCTGTGAAAAATAAAGATGAACAATGATGAAAGAATGTTCACACTATTTTTACATAGCGTTAATAAAACAACGTTGTCTTTTATGCATCAGTGTAGTAAAGTGAGTAACAGAATCGGTTATGTAATCAAGGAAAATGCAAAGTTGTGTAATAAATGTTCGACATGATTCTGTAAAGGAATGTAGATACTTTATAAAAAAAGTACAATATATATGGGTGTCATGTAAATAGGTCATACATTTGTATATTCTAATAAAAATAAATAAAATATTCGATTCAAACATTACAACGCATTAATGATGAAATATATACACTAGATCAGGATGCTTAAAATATAAATAATTGGCCCAGTGCTCAACTACTTACACATATTTATTAATCACCTTTATTACGAAGCCTGTTTTACAGGATTAAATATCTTTACATTGTCGTGAGATCAACAGTTTCCAGTATTCACAAATAAATTATATAAATCAAGCGAAAGAACGAATTTAAACGCAATTTATTAACTTAAATTTTACGGTCTTATAACATTGTATATTTCTCATAAATATACTAGACTTTGATCCTGTAAACATTTTCTTTAATATATACATAACTCTAACAAATAAATGTATAAGTGTATTTATAATGTTGCCAATAATCAGTAGATATAAATAGATATCCTGAATTCTAAGTTATATGCGATTAATCGAATTCGCTATCGTAAAACAATTTGGGTTTACAATTTCTTCCATAAATACCCATCCAATTAAAGTTTGAAGTAATCATAAAATTAATTCAATTATCTTTCTTGACGTTAGATACCTTTTCTAAATTCATGTATACGTTAAAACAAGAATATTATTAAAATCAAATAGAGCTCATATTAAAATGAATAGAGCTTCTAATACATAGTACTATTTTTAACAAGTTGTTAAAATTAGAACCTGCATGATATTCGAAATTCACTTCTTGTCTTATGAAAAATGAGAGATTCTATATAATGCGAATCTATGCATTAAGTTTAAGATATACTTTACATATATGCTAAAGTTTTTGTGTTTCATGCCTTGGCATTTGCGTGCACTTCTAATTCTTTTTTCGCAACTCTTTCATGTCTATATCATTTCATACTCATAAAAATCTTTTTTTGAATAATCAATTAAAGTACACTACTTTATTAACATGACAGTACTTATATTATAGATGAACAAGCTGACTTATAGGTGCATAAGAGATAGGATGGAATCGAGGGGAAAAAATAAAATATCCTATGTCAAATATAATAACTTACTTTTATATCAATAATTTAATGTTTATTAATTTTCTCATTAGTTCACCATTTACTTTTCTGTACTACTGAGATTAAATAATTACTGAATCATCTTCACTTTTAATAACAATACATAACAGGAAAGTAACTGCTGTATAAGTCATATTTCATAATCAAATTTATAGTCAAAAAATCGTAAACAATATTTTATAGAAAATGATACCTGCATTATTGTCAAAAACAAATAATCATTGTATTGCAGTTGTTAACCCATTTACATCCGTAAGAGGAATATTCCGCGTATGACGATCGCCTTAAGCAGAGTCATAATGCCAATGGGTTAATAACTGAACGTTGAGCTTACAAAATAAAAATAAATTTCAAGTAGGGCGTTACTAATGAAAAACACAGAAAAATGTTTTCGCATAAAGATGATTGAAATCATATAATACACCGCGATTAGAGGCTATAAGAATTATAATAAAACAAATTAAATATTGTTACTTCAGTTCCGAATTATCTTCTTCCTGCAATAACTTCTCGTGAAAGTGATAGTAGACCGTACGATTTAACTGACCTATAACCATATAAAGCTAATGACGGCCATTATTAATAGAATACTAGTTAACCATAACGAATATTACCATTGAAAAAAAATAAATGAGTTAACTGCTTTGTAAATAACCTACACATTTCTCACGTAATAAAGTTACTTTTACATAATGAACAATGGAAGGTCGATTATGTACCTTCTCTACAAAATTATAAACAACAGTTAATGGTGACGTACATATATGTACGTCGTTAAAATTTACAACGGAACAAATCTCTCTTTCCGCTCCTCTCAATTATTTCTAATAACTGCAAGGATCTTTAGCATAAGATTAATTGGCTTGAAAAATTTGGAAAGGCAACAATGAAACTTACGGGCAAGAGCCAGAAGACAATGTTGCCGATACACAAAAATGTGAAACTATTTAATGAGTTTATTTGATAACTGGATGTGGAGCAACGAAGAGTATACAGAGCAGGGCAAATGGAGAGAAATCAGTGGCAGTATTATGGCCAATCAGCGCAGATCTGGATTATCATTGACTTGCTTTTTTATGCGCAACAACACTGTTGTGTACCATTGGTCCAATCGTGAAATGGAGTCATACTCCTTCACGGCTTCCGTAAATCCTTCCAGGTTTTGTTCCTCCACATGTTCAATTAGTGTCTGAAAAAGAAAAAGTTTCCAACTCGTAAAAATTGTAATAAGCTGATAGTTATTCTTTCACCCCTCTTATTTTCATATTACTGAATTTTCAAAAAATATTTAACATTTGTAGTAAACCATATCAGTACTTTATGCTATGCACTAAACTGTTGGTTAATACAAACTTATTTTTTAAAATTAGCATATGTGTAACATTCAATGCATACGTTAAAAGAAAAATCTTTTAACCATTTGCAGTCCAAGTCGGAGTTAGACTGGACATCATATTTCATTCCAGCCCATCTTATGTTAACCGCGTCTCTCAGAATAGAACTTTGTGACAATTTTTAAATGCGCCATCAATTCCAAGTATATTTCCTATATATAGTAAATTTGAATGATGATCAAATACATGATACCAATTAAACTGGCCAAATTAATGCAGACCAGTTAAAATGAAATAATAAAAATAATTGGGATCGCAAAAAGTTAAATAGTGTATTGAAATACGAAAACATAGAAAAGTATTAATTGAATGAAAACAGTAATAAGCCTATTGAAATAAAATAATATTGTTCGATATAGGAAACTTTTGTTCTACAATTATTGTTTTGTTTTGTACAATACAATAATTGTAGTTACCACAAAATTATATATTAATATACAAATAAGTAAAAAGAAATATCACAGAAATAAGAATTAAGTATCACAGTAATATGGTATGACAAATAGTACACCAAAATGACGGAGCACGTGTAACATGGTGTGACATACAATTTTATGATGTATTATTTTTAGTACACAGAGTATTAAATGTCAAACTACGTTTTGATTCATACATATAATATAGTATGTCAAAATATTACGTTCTGTTTATAGATACGAGTATACCATCGAGACACCCACAGGCATGCTATTCCAGATGTACATACAATCACTGCCTTCGTTTTGGAAAACCACAATGACTAATAAATTTGACAATTTCTTTGCGATAATATAAAGCGTGTTAAAACAGTAAAATACTTATTCTTACATTATATAAAATATGTTTTACAAATCACTTCATTAACAATAAATTTTCATCTTTATATTTTATCAAAAGAAAGGAACTTCAAAGTTGTACATAATCAAAACCGTGAATCATATTGCAGTGCTAATTACATGACTATCAGTATCAGATACTAGTAACAATGAGAATTACCTTTAAAAGCTTGTATTCTCTAGAGTCTTGGAAAGCAGGGTATTGCTCGGAGTATCGTTCAATTGCATGTTGCGCATTGAGAACGTCAACACACAACTGACAGAGGCCTGCACGGAAAAAATATTCCTTTGCGCTATATTTCAATAAAGAACTCTCCAAAGACGAAGATGCAACCTGGAAAAGAACAAATTTTCCGTTAGTACTGAATTATCTAGTTTCATAATTACTACAATTATGAAACTATAAAGATTGGAACCAACGTTTTAGAAAATATTTTATTCCTGTGCACACACACACACAGACACACAATATTTCAACTTATTATTTATTTTTATCACAATAATTTTTGTTTCAAATTATGTTCTTCAAAGAGAATTTTAACAATTATGTCGAGTTTAATTTGAATAAAATATTAATATATTTTAAGCAGGGTCGAGCGTTTCGCCAAGCTCAGAGAAAAGATGCTGATTCCTTTTTTAGACATTAATATGAAGAGTATATATTTTACCGTGAAGTTTCAATAAATTTATCTTCATAGTGTTCGAGATTTTTTTTTGAAAATGACATCATTTGGCACTATTTTTTGAGAACAAGGTATTCTGACAGTTGCAAGCATGGTTCATGTGAAGACGCTGCAAACTTATTATTGCAGATTTTAAATAACATTTTTAGGATGCCTTATGCGAAGGTTGATATACTTGACCTTCATCCTCATTTAGTAATACATAATTATTTGGATCGAGAACCAGATCACTGCGAATAGCAGCCATGAGAAAAAAATTTGGTTCTCAATCCACATAATTGTTTACTATTAAATAATGGGGAAAGTCGAGTATCTCAACTTTTGCATAAGACATCCCGAAGCTGTTATTTAGAATTTGCAATAATTAGTTTGTGCGTCTTCACACGAACCGTGCTTGCAGCTGTCAAAATACCTTACTCATAAGAAATAGTGCTAAATAGTGCAATTTAAAAAAAAATTCTCGAAAACGGTGAGGATAAAGAACCACACACCAAATGTATGAGAAAATAGATTCCAATTGAAATTACTTAAAAAGATGATAATATATAGTTCGTGTCGTCCCCATTAAAATCGTCAATGGGGATAAAGTCAGAAAATGGACAGTTTCCGAGTTACAGAGTGTCAGATATCGGAAGAATGAGTGAACCCTTCTAAACAATCCAAGCTAATATCTCGAAACAAAGAAAAATATCTCTTGGGGTATGTTAGCCATAAAGAAGATATTCGTTATCCTTCTATGAGATTGATTCAGTCCATACATGGTGCAGCTAATTGTCCTCAACAAAGAAATGTTAGTTTATATCAAGTCATTCAAGTTTAAGTATAGTATAGATGAAGCATATAGTATATGGATAGGCATCATCTCTACGCAATCCTAAAATATCACTCATGTTTAAACACTGATGTCACGTGAAGCATTGTAGTTGTACGAAATAAGAATTTATCTAACATGCAAATATTAGACCGTAATGTGACCTTTTGGGGACAATCTGAACCCATATGTTACCACATAAAACGACATAGAATTCAACTCTCTATCCATTCCAAATGTTATGAGTGTCTATATCACAGAAAACTAATAGACCTTTAGATAACCTTGAAAAATGACCTTTGTCGGATGACATGTATTACATTTTACCACATTTTCAGACAATTCGACTGGGATTCAATTTCCCATACATTTGGTGCGTGGTTCTCTATTGAAAATTCGCGGTTAAACACTCTCCATATCAATATGTAAAAAAAAAATCAACATCTTTTCTCTACGCTTGGCGTAACGCTCAACCGTCCTTAACAAACTTAATACATTTTTGTAACGTTTGATGTAAAATCAATATAGTAATAATGATAATTGCTAGATTACATCATTTCAATATATGGTTTATTACTTACAAATCTTCTACTAAAAGCAAATCGATCACTAATCGATATTTCGCTATTTGTAGGATGCTAATCTTCGATTGATTGTTAGTTACATTTTGTGTAACGGACCTTTGAGATTATATAGGCAACCAAAATAAATATCCTGAACTAAGAAACAACTAAATAAAACGTATCATCTTTATAAATTTTGGCAATCTAAGAAGCAAAAATTAGAAAAAATTGGTTTATCATATGTATATAAACTACGAGAGCACCAATATTATGACAACATAATAAACAATAAAGAAGAGTAAAGGTAAAAAGAAACTTTTCGCGCTTTTAACGCAATCACGATATACACATGTCCCGTATTTGTTTCAAATTAATTAAACAATAGATTTAATAGTCTAATATATCGGATATTATGAACATGGTATAATATGATTTGAACAATACTCACGTCTTCGTAGATCTGAATAGCTCTGTCATAATTTTCAAGTTGAGCTGCATATTGTGCAACTTTTAAAAGACATTTATTTGCCGATGAATTGCTCTCTTCCCCACGAAAATAATCGGCTGCTTGCTCGTAATGATGTACAGCGCGTTCTAAATCGACTGATTCGCTCTCATACATTTCTGCTATAGTTTGATGATGCTTTGCTGCCATTGTAAATCTACCCATGTCCGTATAAATCTCAATGGCTTTAAGTAAACAATTAACGGCCTCTGCAAATGAGAAAACAGTATAAGTGTAACATTTTACTTTGTATCTTAATAGTGATAGCAAAAAGTGATCTAAGTAATCTCTAAATAAACTAATTAATTACTAACAATCATCTGAATACAACTTTCAGTTCGATCAGTTAAAATAATTAATCCTCGTGAAGCCTTGATATGGTTTTTCATTCTATATTAAGACCTTCATACATGGATTTGTACATGCTCACATAGATTGGCATCATCATTATGTAGAATGGTCAATATATCACCACCATCTCCACTTATGCTCATGCACAAGCAAACCCATGTTTGAAGCTTTCAAAGATAACTATATCTATTGATTATTAATAAAATAATATTTATACAATTATATAATTGCTATACGTAAACACATTTATGCAATATAGAAATATTATCAGTCGCAATATTAATATCATATTCAAGACTTCTGTACGCTGCAAGTTAGTGAAATTGGTTTTTCATTACCATGGTTTGTGTTATTTACAACATAGATCGAGGAGAACAATATTAAAAAACGGATTAAATAACTATATTCAGAGTCTTTTTGTATCAATAGGGTAATGAAAATAAAAATAAAAGATCTTTGACCTTGGTTAAGGATTTAAAAAAAAAATGGATTTTGATAGTACCATTAGGGTCTGATTTCTTATAACAATTTGCAGCATCAACATAATTGGTAGCTGCATCGTGGCGACTTCCTGCTTTACTATGTAAGTTTGCTGCTTCACAAAAAGCATTTCCCGCTGCACCCCACTTCTTTGCTACTTTAAACGAAATTCCAGCACGCTGGTAACAATCCACAGCTTCTTCTACCTTGGATGAACCTCTGTAATAAAATTTTCAATTAAATATAGATATAATAGTTGGAAGCGTTGTGTATTTGCAAATATATTGCATATAGTTATTATATGTGAAAAATTGTAATGTAATAACCAAAATGAACTACTGAAATATAAGCGACTAAAGATGATAAATAGCACATCTTATTTGTTGCTACTTGTCATGATGCATTTACGTATACAACTTGGCATTACGGATAATCAAATTTAGATTATTTTATATTTATATCATTCATAAAACCATGTATAACAATGTAGTAGAGTAAATAAGTAGTTAGTACAAATTATACATTTTTTAATTTAATTGTTCCATTACTACAAGATTTTTGATAAATAAGCATTTGAGTTTTAACAAATCGGAATAATCTTATGAAACTGATCAATAAAATAATAATTTTCTAAAAAATTTAAATGTGTGTTGATTTAGTTTTAATGGTAGTATGAATCATATTTTAATTATAAATAGTAATTATCATTGTTCGTAGTTAAGTTATAAAAAGATATGAAGATAGGAATATAGAAGAAATCAATTATAAAGAAAGAAAGTCCCAACTATCCCAATGTTTATAAGCAAAACTACAATGTATTTAATGTATGTTTATGAACAGATTAAAAGAAAACTATAATATACTTCCACAGAGCAAAGTATTGCAAGATCACCAACGATCATGAAACCATTGTAACAAAGCCTAAACATTTTTATGAACTAAGCAATATAAAGGGAAATTGATAGTAAGTGCATAATTCTGTATTTTAATAAAAGTTAATATTTTAAAACTATTTCCAAATTACCTGTATAAATCTGCAAGATTATATGAAAAAAGCAGTATTAGATATAAATTATAAAACCATATTGTAAAAATGAAAAATATAAAATTATAACAAGAAAGATAATAACAATAATAGATAACAATTATTATATATAAAATATAACAAGTAAAACGAATATATACAGGGAAATGAGTTTTTGGTATCAATACATTTTGTTATATTTTTAGATATTTTAACCTCAAATATGTAGAAGTGAGATTAAGGAAAACCAATGAAGATACCAAAATAATGTTAATACAAAATGGAAAAAACAAAAAGAATAAATAACCCGTTCGAACAGTTATATTCAGTAGATGTAAATGTTGAAAATAGTAAAGATTAAAAGAAATTAAAAATACACTTTTTACTAAACTGTAAGGATACATTAACTCAAATTGAATATTAAATCTAATTATAATTTTAAAACGTATTCATTTAACAGTTTCATCGGCAATAAATGCGATAGAAAACACATTTTAATCTTTCGACCTGATGATCTACGTTGAGACCCACCCCGTACGTACACAGCTACGCACACGTTATAGAAACTAATGAAACAGCAAGCCAAGAACATTTTCTTTGCAAAAATCGATAAGACAGTATCATTCTAATAGCACTACGATTTATAATGAACTTACATTAATTAATTCAAAAGATATTTCCAAGAATGTGTTAGTCATTCTGAGTATATGCTTATGACTGTATTATGTCGGACAGTCTAGCAGGATAAATCAATATATTTAACTCACCCAAAAAGGGAACCAAAGAATCCTTTAGACGAGGTTAACTTCTTCTCGGCATCTGCCATAAGCTGCTTCGCCTTTACCTCGTGATCAGCCATGATAACGAGCGTTATTTTACACAAAACACGGGTTCACCTCCGCTGTCACTCACTTTATTGACGAAATGCATCCACTTCGTCCACCAGCGAGCCCAACGTCACCGCCAGTCACCGCGTAGTAAGCGCTTGTCGCTTACAGCACCACCACCATCGTCAACGGTACCACATTGCCAGCATGAAACTGCTGTCGATTATCTACAGTCGATAACAGTCCTTCAACCATTTTCGCAATACTCATGATCTACTCTTCATCGATCGGCTTTTCGTAGTTTCGAGTTGAAAAGCATAGGGTCGAGAACTTGAAAATAAATCTTTGGATTTTACCAAAAGTTTCTTTGAGAACTATTCAATAGCCAATCTGTATTGGATAATGTTCATAGACGTTTCTTAAGAGCATAAATAAACATAATTTCGGAAAAAATACGTGAAATGTATATGGTTAAGGTGACTCGAGACTGAAACCGTTCATCTTGAATTTAAAATTACGAAAATTATGACTTACATGGAATTGATGTATTATCTTTATCGAATTCGAGTGCATACAGATTTATGTAAGTTTGACAATTATTGAAATGAAACTTTCGATAATTGCTAAATAAAAGAATGAGATGCATGCAGTTTTTGGACTTAGAAGATGCTCGTGCTAAAATTTCGTACGACAGAATAAAAATTTAGTAAAACAATATACATCCAATAGGATAGAGATGAAATAACCAGTACTACAAGCATATATTCTTTTGTCACACAGATAAACGAAGAAGCAATGATCGTATTTAGTAGAAATAGCGCTAAAGACTATTCGACTAATTACTGGTGTCCACGTACGCGAAGTGATGACGTCAGAAATGAGAGAATGTATTCTTCCTTTATCTTCTGCGTTTTCTATTAATTCGTTCAATAACTGGCACAGCCGCCTTCGTTATGTCACACGGAATATGGCTCTTCTGCGGAATGTATAAAATATTCTAATTTGAAGAAAAATGTAAGAAAAGAAGGCAGGCGTAATGGTCGCGCCCATGTTTTGACAGGTCAAAAATGCATGACTTTTTGCGCACAATTTTCTCGGAATTGAAACATTTTTCGCATCTAAATCTAGAAGAGCTGCCAACCGTTTCGTATAACGAAGCTGATGTACCAAAAATGTTGATAAGTCATTTAAAAATGACCGAGAAAAATGGACCTTCGTTTTTGACGTCACCACTTCATATACATGTGCACCGATGTGCATCCTGGGGTACACAGAACAGTTGAACAATAACCTTAATCGATATAAAATTGATTATATTATTATCAAAATATATATTAACATATTTTTATTTATTATTATTATTAACAAAATATATGAAAAATTATATTAACTAATAATAAGAGTTGATCAATTAATGTGTCAAGCTGGATCTTCCTACGGAGGAATAGCACATAACGGACTTCGGTAAAAGTGACGAATTCTTTCTCAGCACCTATTTTTATATACCGAAACCTTTTTTCGACTAGAATAGAGCGGTAAAGTATTCGAGCGACACTCTTATCAGAACCATTGATTTTTGTATCGCCAGTTTGAATGACCTTAAAACGACGGCGGCCATGTCGACAACTTTTGGACTCTGAGGGTACTGTCCCATGTATAATAGACAGAACGGGAATGTCGGAATCGGAAAAGTAGATTGGTGGGGGTTGACGAATCATCTTCGTTCCGAACATGTCAAACGATGTCCGGGTTCCCCATGTAGAAGAAAAAATGGAAACTCGGAAAGTGTAAAAATCATTTTTCGTTCATTAAAATCAATAATAAAGACACATGTTGTTAGAAAAATCATTAAATATTAATTATCTATAAGATTGTATAGATTGAAATGCGAAGATTTGGAATTCGTAAAATTTATCGAAGTTTTAAGGTTAGAATGTCTGCCCGTTTTCTGAAAAATATGGTACATGGGAAACCGGGGATCGTTTGACATTTTCGGAATGAAGATGATTGGTCAACTCCCATCAAACTACTTTTCCGATTCCGTTATTCCTGTTTTGTCTACTATACATGGGACAGCATTCTAAGACCGTGATCAGTACATTTCAGAACACACTCTATATCATATCTCGAAAAAACGCCCTCTACGGTGACTTTCCGGCAGACCTCTTAACCTCTGCTTTCAAAATTTACAAAATATAACCTATGTTAATAGATGACAAATCTTGAGATTTTTTCTTGTCATTGCCAGTATAACATAAGTTCAGTATTAATTGTGTAATGGCTATGCACGTAGCAACATTAACTACTAGACTCATTAGGCCCACATATCAAAACAAGTGTGTAGTACTTAGATATATGAGTACTACTTGTGATCATGGAAAGAGTTTAGTTTATCAGGAATATGGAGAGCCAATCAAGGTCCTTTCTATGCAACAGATACCATTAAAGAAACCTGAGGATAATCAGGTATTTATACAATTTTGTTATTAAGCAAGTTAATTGTTGCTAACTGTTGTCAAAGAAGTAATGAATGATTTTATAAAATGTGAACTCTCGAGTGTCAGAACATGTACCAAGGTTTTAGTGAAATGGCTGTTGGCACCGGTAAACCCTGCAGATATAAATACTATCCAAGGAAGATATCCAAGTAAACCTGCGTTACCAGCTGTCCCAGGTAATGAAGGTGTGGGAGAGGTAGTAATTGTGGGATCGAAAGTACAGGGTTTAGAAGTAGGAGACCGAGTGGTACCGAATGGTGTGAATATGGGGACATGGAGAACACACGCAGTGTATAATAAGGATGAAGTTTTGAAGGTATTTCTTTAGATTAGAATTATGGTTGTTCTATACACTGATAATTGCTTGGTTTATAGATTCCAAAAAATATAGGGATGGTGGAAGCTAGTATGATAAATGTTAATCCTTGTACAGCTTATAGAATGCTGAAAGATTTTGTGCCTTTAAAACCAGGTGACACAGTTATACAAAATGGTGGAAATTCTGCTGTGGGTCAAATAGTTATACAATTGTGTAAAGCATGGCATTTAAAAAGTGTCAGTATTGTTAGGGACAGACCTGAAATTATAGAACTGAAGGTGAAGTACTCTGTTGTATAATGGATATAACAATCTTTACACAAATGGAAAATTATCAACGTTAAATATTACTCAGGATCATTTGAAAAGTCTGGGAGCTCATGAAGTATTAACTGAATCTGAACTCAGAAAAACAGAAATTTTTAAAAGTAAACAATATTTGCAACCGAAATTGGCATTAAATTGCATCTGTGGTCAGAATGCATTAGAAGTGTTGAGACATTTGGATCATTCTGGTGTAATGGTGACCTATGGTGGAATGTCCAGAGATCCTCTTACTGTACCAACATCCGCGTTAATTTTCAAGGTATTTTTTAAGTTCAACAAGATATGTAATGAAATTCACAATGATGAACTTTCCACTGTTTCATAGAATATAACTATAAAAGGTTTTTGGATGACGGCATGGACAAAAGCGCACATGGAGTCGAAAGAACGTACTGAAATGTATAACGAATTGGAGGAATTAATTAATACAAAAAATTTGCAAGCCCCACCATATAAACTGATTGCATTTGATAAATTTCAAGAGGCTGTACTCAACGCTCTCAGTATCAATGGTAAAGCGGGATTAAAATATATTTTAGATATGACTCAAAAATAAGGTATGAACATTTTATACAATAATACGAATGTCTCACAATCGAAGCATTTAATATTCGAATTTTAATGTGTCTGATTATACAAATATCTACGGCAGAATATTACATTAGTTCAGAATAAAAATGTCGGTTTCCTCTTTGAAAATATTAACAAAGTTAATTTTATAGTTTAGGAAACCGTTTATTAAATATGTGTACTGTTTGTATGATTTGCAAGCACAAAGAATAAATATATAATTTATACTGGACGGAGTTGTATCACGTCTTATTAAATTCTAACATAAAGACAGCTATTCTATTTCATCTAGAAGGTCAAGGAGGTTCATATTGACTTTAGTTTCATTTTGGTCATCCTCAAAAAAGTCAGCATAAATGTTATCGAGTTTTTCTTTATACTCTTTGTTTTGTTTTACTTTTTCATTTGTTGTCAGTTCCATATCTAAATTTGCATTAGGATCATAATTGTCATTGTTTGAATCTAAGTTATCAGTATTTTCAGTGACAAATAAATTTAATGTAAAGGGCCTTTTCAATGCTTCTTCAGTCCCCAATTGAGCAGCAAGCATACCAAGTTCAGCTTTGGTACCACAATCCTTAGCAAATTGTAAATTATGTTTCCCCGATTTTGGCATCATCTCGCACGACGAAGAATATCTGCAAATATTTATTTAAAAACTCGTAATGCATAAAAAAAGATTATTGAACAATTTGATACATACATATTTTTCCCCAATGACGTAACGCGATCACCAAACAGATCAAATGAACCGAGAAATCTGCTGTCACCGTCAAATCTATTTAATTTTAAATCCTTCAAAGTATCTCTGAGCTCCTTATAATCCTCATTGTAATTTCGTTTAATATGATTAAAACTAGTGTCATTATTTTGCAAACCAAGTCTCAGAAGAATAGAGACTCTGACTTTATAAGTATCTAATTCTTCCAGACATTCCTTTCTAGCTTGCCAAACGTCCTCCATTGTCATATTTCCATATAGCTAAAATAAAATTTTGAATAATATCTTCAAATATTCTAAGTCTTATTCACCAACGAAATCCTTACATCAACAACCATTTGATGAACCAAACCAATGCATTCTCTGGCACTCTCATCAGTAACCATGTCTCGTATCGCATCCAAATGATTAAGAGTAAGTAGAATGACTTCCCTAGGTCCAGTAGCAGCAGATAATTGATATTTAACAATCATAATCATCAGATCGAATAATTTATCCATACTATCTTTATCTAGTCTCATTATAGATGATAAGACGACTTGTTCCAAAGTAGTTCGAATACGTGGAATGCCAATTAATGTTGTTTTGTCGAATATCGATGATAAAATTTTTGGATTTAATAAAGCGCCGGTTACATCATCTAAGACTGTAAAGCACAATTTAATGTGGACACATAATCATTGACTGTGACGTGTGACTTATAAAGTGCTGTAGCGTTTACACAGTAAGTGGAATTCATATATTTTCAATATTTTATCGACACTAGCCTTGGATAGTTTTGGTGAATTCTATTCCCTGCGCTTTCAATCTCTGCTGTAACACGTACAACATCTCTCCTCCCATATTTAAGTACAGTAAAGGAGTCGTATATAATGACATTTTTTCTCTTTATGATTCAATATAGTTGTACGACTGTTAGGCGTCAGTATGACTGGGTAAAACACATACTACCCTTCTTTTAGGGGTTAATATATCGGCACATGCGCACTTTCGAAATATGTATACGGAAATGTAAAAGACATCAGGATATTCTCAAGAGGCATGATCCAATTTTACATTTAGATTACATGAAATGTAATACACGTTGCCCATTATGATTTTGCGTATCTGCTACGTTTTGTAATTACCAGCAGATTACATAATAATTAATAATCCAATTACAATCTAAAATATTACTTAAACGGAGGGTTCGTCTTAATTTTTGGGTTACACCACTACAAACACCTTCAACCCGGCTCACATTTTGATGCATGTGCATGTATATTGATGTATATCAATATTAATATCATTAAGACAGCCTGTGATATACCGGTAGGTCAAGCCGGGTTGAACGTGTTAAAATTACTATTCCGCATACTACATTATTATTAAAAATGTAGAGATACAGTTGAGATCAATATTAAGCCTTGTAATTCCATAATTACTTTACACGGCTGTTATGTAAGCCTTGGACCATAAAAATCGGCTGATAATGGCAGTCTCCCTAATCATCTCTGCGTGATTTATTAATACTGATTAATACTAATAGGTTATGTTCAGCAGAAATAGCGCTAAGATAGTGAATTAAAATGAGCCGGTCGAACCCAAAGAATAATGAAGAACTACTAGTGATTCCAAATTAAGGGCTCTTGGCTTTATCTCTAACAGGAGCCACTTCCGTATGAGTGCACTCGTTTTCCACTGTATTTGATCAATTGTCATCTACAATGAATATAATCAAATTCAATATAATATTTAATTGTAATATAAAATGCGTTTCACGTTTTAGCTGTATAGTATGTTAGTAAGTAGGTAAATATGTTGAGTAAGTAGTATATGTATACATAAATCAATTTGTACCATTGTTATATGAAGTATGTTTCAATAACAACGGGTAAGTAGTGAGTGTCAAAAATAAATATGTAATACATGTTACAATTTCCAAATCTTTTAACTCCTCAGCTATTTTCTTCCACATTTTAGGTTTCTTCCTCGGATGAGCCATACCTTCCAATCGCATTTCATGTGCAGCAAGTAGTGCGCATATAGCGTTATAAGTCCATATAGCATCTGTAATACAGTCGAACACATTATAAAAGTAAATAAAGAAACAGTGTATTTTAGAACAAAATGTTAAACAATATTTAAATATACACATGAAGTACTATACATTTCGGTTAGAAAGTACCTGCAGTAAAATCTCGCTTATGTGACCATTGATTAATGGACCTAACTCACAGTGTTCTCTCTCCATCCCGCTGCCGCAGGCACTTACGCGCCAGCCTACCTCTCGCGTGGTCTATTCTTATATGCCTATCTATATTATACATTATTAGGTCTATCTTGATCGTTACCTACCCATTCTGCACTTTTCAAAAGGTGCAAATTCTAATTGGATGATATTTTTAAATAACTAACGAGAATCTGTACTTTTTCAAAAGTGCATAATGTGTTAGGTATGGAACAGACATATTATTATATACCGGTTAATAAAATGTAGAACGTATCCTAGTACGAAACAAGAACGTTTTTGTATGTACCTAGGGTTCCCTAGGGTGCGTTCTGAAACGTGAACTCTAGCAGTTATAAGACTGGTTTGTGCCGGCGCAATAAAAAGCAAGATGGAACGAAATTAGATCTGCCCTGTGGAAAGTTTCAGAACACGCTGCCGAATAGTTTTGTGTGCTCGACGTGGCGAGTGATAATTGAATAAAGTAGTTTAGTGATTAAGAAATTAATTATATGTCTAAATTGTGTATCTGGCATTTCCTAACAGTACATCTTTCACCAGATAACAGTATTAAGGATTATCAAGAAGTTAGCCCTAGTCATGGATGAAATATTAGCTGTTTTAAGCAGAAGAGTAACGAGTGCTAATAAACAGCATGAACTAGGAAGTAAGATGGCTCATATAAAGAATGATGATGAACGAGTCGAATTTATACTTACGCTAATGAAATCATATGGTGTAATGCCTGAGGTTATTTCTGAACCAAAAGATAATCAAAAGGCTAAAGAATTGAGAGAACAGGGCAATAAAATATTTGTTGAAAGTAATCTTGGACCCATGCAGTACATTACGATCCTTGAAAGGTATTCCAAGAGTATTGCATATGCAGAGATCAATTCTAGAGAACTTGCTCTTGCTTATGCTAATAGATCTGCTGTCTTGGTTAGAGTAAAAAAGTATGCTGAATGTGTGAAGGACATTGACAGAGCTTTAAGATTAGACTATCCTGATGATCTTAAGGCTAAATTATATTTACGGAGGGTCGAGTGTCTTACTGCATTACAAAGCCCGGATATGCAAGCATCTTGTGATGAAGCACAAGCTTGGTTGGATAAGTTATCTCTTGATGATCCAATGAAAAAGAAATTAAGTCATAAATTAAATGTATTGTATGGCCTAAGGGATATTCTGGTATCCCCAGAGGAAAAAGAATATCCTCTTCCAATATTAACGTCAAGAAATCCAGAAGTTCCTTGTGCTGCTGATTCAGTAGCTGTTAAATATAATGAAATGTATGGCAGACATGTGGTAGCTACTCGTGATATCAAACCAGGAGAAGTCCTGGCAATAGAAAAACCTTATACTATGGTTTTAGCGCCAGAGAATGCTTTCACGCATTGTGCTAATTGTCTGAAAATATCCTGGGCTAGTATACCTTGTAATTACTGTACCAATGTTATGTACTGCTCTACGGCTTGCAAAAATGATGCTTGGAAAACTTATCATGATGTTGAGTGCCCAATACTTGATAGTTTATTGGCTTTGAGATACAGTTTGATGAGTCTCTGTAGTTTGAAACTTGCGGTCATGGCTGTGAGGCAGGCAAATGGTTTTGATGCTTTGAAAGCTGGATTAAAAAATATTGATGAATGCACAGGTGAATGAAAATATGATAAGTTATTTACAACTATCAGTTTGCAAAAATTAATAGTTAATTTCTTTAGATCCTAGAACAATTGGCTTTTCCAATGATGGGAAATTTTATAGTAACACGTATCAGAGTGTCTATAGTTTGGTAACAAACAGTGACAAAAGATCAGTAGCAGATCTTGTTGGAAGAGGACTGAATGCAGCCTTCCTCACTTTTTACTTGGCAACGAATACCTCTTTCTTTGGTGAAAAGCTTCCACGCGATTTAATAGGGCTTTCAAAAAACAAAAATGTTATATTTATTGGAGGGTTGATTTTAAGACATCAGCAGATGATACCCAGTAATATACACTCTGTAAGTCTTATTTATGTTGTGTAGCATATGGTTGATACATAGATCACAAGTCTTAACCAGTAGCTCAAGAAAAGTTTTCCATTTTCTCAGTTCACTGAGGAACGAGATTTGGAAGCTGTTGAGCGTGGAGCAGCAGTAATGCCATTTTTGAGTTTACTGAATCACTGCTGCGATTCAAAAGTGACGAGAAACTCTACGGCAGAATTTATGGTTCTATATGCTTTACAACCTATCAAGAAGGGCGAGCAGGTAAAGAAAAAGAAACAGCTTGTTCCATAGCACAGAAATCGATCATTAACTTTCTTTCAGATTTTCGATAATTACGGCGTACACTATTCTTTAATGCCACGATTGGCAAGGCAGCGAAAACTTTTCAAACAGTTTTTTTTCATGTGCGATTGTGAAGCGTGCCTTATGGACTGGGAAACGTATATGAATCAGCCAGGATATCATGTAAGTCAATTAAACATCAAACTATGATTTACTTTATTTCTCTGTCTTTTAAATACCTTTCAATTATTTATTATGAACTTAGGAAGTGGTATCGGATAAAAAGAAACGGGCTAAGATACGAAAGGCTTTACAGAATCATTCAAAGTACATCGACCGCGTTACTGATGGGAACATCGACGACAAAAATATGTTACCCGATTTGTTAAAAATGATTGAAGTTTTGGCTGAAAATGTTCCGATGCCTTGTAAGGATATGAGCGAGGTGGTTGAGACTGTGAAACGCGTTTATGCACTAACGGGCAATAAATTTGATGTGCCTAAATAAGATATAATCGTTTAATAGAGCTGTAACTGGATGCATGTACACAACTGATGTATGTATAAGAAAAAAGGAAAAAGTTGCCATGCATCCATCTGGGGGTCGACTTTGTAACTCAAATGTAGGGAAAATCTGAAAAGTGAATAGTTGTAAATCAATCGCTTATTAGGTTCAAAAGAACAAGCACAGCGATTGGCTAACAGCTATTCACTTTTTGAATTTTCACTACATTTTAGTTACACAATCGACCCCCTGTACAAGACACACTCATGACATATTTCATTTCAAATATTTATTTTGACAGTATTTTCTACATTAAACTGATACCATCTTTCTAAACACTGTTGGTAAGATATTTGGTTATATATAAAAAGGTGAAACATTTGATATGTCACTTCATATATATGTATACTTAAAGAATGTTACATGCCTGAATGTTACTACTTTGTAAGTATGTATCAATTACTGTTATTTAAAAACATGTATGATTCTTATCTGTATCAACAATGTGTCAAATACCACATTTTTGTAGTGATGTAAGAGACATATTAGAGCTTTATAGCCATCGAAGCGGTTTTTTTTGTTTGACATTAATTAATCTGCGTTTCATAAGATTCCACATAATTAATTTTGAATGTGTGATATAAAATGACGTTAAAAACGGCTGAAGTGTCGTACCGTCCTCTTGCGCAATACAGTCTAAAAGCGTAATGCTATATTTTTATATGAAACCGTTTATTAAAACTTTACTATTAAAAATGACAGTTCTATTGCCACATTTTCTAGTACCCTAAGGTAGTGTCATACCTAGTACGTGGGTTGTACATACATAAATATATCTATACTGTTTGTAAAATATAAAAATGAGTATTTAAAATCCACTTATAGTAACTGATACACATCCGGAAATTTTATGTCTAGCAGAAATTCACGAGATATGAAGGTAATAAAAGATGAAATTTTCATAATTGTCGTTCCAGTAATCGACGAATCAAATACTAATAAGCCTATAGCGAATACAAAAGAGGTAATATGTCTAGAGCCATCTGTTACATATTTATTGGTATCTTCAGTTTCTGGATTTTAGATTGTAATTCTCCATTCGACATCAGTGTAAACTGGGTTATGTCTCTTCAGATATTCGACTAATATGTCAGATTCGATGACACCTATAAAAAAAAAACTGCATAAGTCAAAGGAATTACTACTGGTGCAATACAGAAGTGGCGATTTTTTATCAGCTAATGTAATTTGATTGTGATGTGGTTCTACATCACATACTCACCAAGATCTTCATACTCCAAACCATTGAATGCTGTATATCCGTCACCACCTAGGTAAAGGAATGCAGGCATGATAACATTGTACGTTGAACTGTCGTCAAGATAATCGTACTGAGGTACAGCACAGGCGGCGCATCTGACTTTGACGGAAACGACTCTGCTATTTTCAGGTTCACTCAGGTCATAGGTCACCTAAGCAAATATATAATGTTATTTAATGACAAAATGGACTGCGTGTGCCTAAATTTTTATCTGATCTTTAATAAAATGCATACCTGGAGTCCAGAAAATTGTAGGAAAGCACCGTCTAGATCACTCGTGGAATTAATTTCAAGAGTTCTTACACTCCATTCTAGCATTGATCGTATAGATGAGCCAGTCATGTTGACCATGAGAACTGAATTTTCAAATGGGAAGACCGAGAGAACGTCCGCCATTGTGATCTAGATTATAACGCAAGAATCTGAAGTAGGCTCGTCGGTACTATGGATAAAAAGTTAACAACAGTATTTCATTTACCTGATTATCATTATCTCTGGTAATGGAGGTTCTGATTCCACCACTGTGTTGAACAGCAATGGCTGCATTCGTCCATCCATCAGTGCCAGCATACTGTCTAGTTGCCTGGAATAAAATAAAGGATCAGAAAAAGATGTTACGCGTATGAGATAAACGATAACTTGACGATCTGTGCTGAGCATGAACCATACATATTCTACGTAGGCATCCGTTATCAGATTTCCCAAATTGCACTCTCGACTTCGGCAGGTCTTGCTGTCCCCATCGAGAAGAACACGAGTAGTACCTACTACTGTGGTTGTCAGATTATCTACTGCTCCTTTCCAAAGTTCCAACTCTGCTAAAACATCTGCAGCCTAAAATATATATATTGTATATTAAATAAACATTGGATGAAAATGTTTACTAATTTTATACCTTTATTAACATTAAACAGCCTCACCTGTTCCACGCTGCCATTCAGCAATATGGGATTTCCTTCAATGAACGTAACTTCACCGTCCGCATCAAATTCAACCGAGAAATTTCCAACATATTTTGTATAAGCATAAGCTTGAACTACATATACCGTTCTGCCACTAGCCTGAGTCACGGCAGTGGGATAATATCCTTCAGGAATCTCAGAATCCGGTTGCTCTCCAGTATACAAGAAAGTGTTAGTATGTCCTCCAATGACTAAATCAATGTCTTCAACTTCAGCAGCAATTTTCTTGTCAGTTGAGTATCCGGAATGTCCAAGAGCAATGAGGATGTTGACTCCTTGAGCTTTAAGTTTAGCGGCTTCCGCAGCAACGGCGGTTACCTCATCCAGGAAAATGACATTTTCGGTCGAGGCGATGCTTTTTGTATCAGGAGTGAGATATCCAATAACACCGATCTGAGTTCCGTTCACAGTTAGTATAGTACTTTTAGCGAGTTTAGTGGCTTCTAGTTCAGGTTCTAAAGTTAGATTCAGGTTGGCAGCCAGAACGGGGAACGTTACATTGTTGATGAAGGGTATGAGACCACTGATGCCATCGTCAAACTCATGATTTCCTAGGGACTGAAAAGATGTTATATAATTTTTACTCAATGCTTGTTGTAATGGTATGAGGCGCAGATTAATCATTAGAACGACATGCAAATTACAACATGTATTCGCTATAATACTTTTATGTAAATAGTATAATTGTGAAAAGTTTTTCTAAGGATTTAGGCTTCATCCTGAAACAACGGAACTGAGCCGAATATGATTTGAGAGTTGCGTATATTAATCTTCATTAATTACGATGTATAGCGTAGACTGTAAGAAGGATCTGTTATTTGATGGTAGAAGATTAATCCTATTCAGACATATCTTAAGCAGCAATAAATAACTATGAAAGATCTAAAAGCTGCTTTAAACGTTCACCTAAAGTTATAAATCACGATGAACATTGCTAAGATATTGCATGGATATCTAATTTACAACACTGAATATATTACGTTACGCGACGGCCGATCAATGTTGCTTACCCGATATCTAAATGGGGATACCTTTAAAATAAATCTTGGAGAAGATCTTATTTTTTATTTGTTTTCTATCATTTTTCATTGATTTAGAACGTGGTATTATGTGAAATTTGAAATTTGTGAAGTAACGAGCAACAGCAAGAAATCTTATATACTGATGTTTAAGTGATCTATACCGTGCAAAACTTTGGTACAGAAAATTTGGCGACATCTTTTCAGGTAGCACAAATTACGAAGACATCAGTAAGACATGCTCAGAAGGTCTCATGTGTCGTTCTTTTTGACGTATCATAGACGTCTTATGTCTAAACGACGTCTTTTTGACATCAGGCGTCTATATGTAGCTTTTTTTTTTAAGTTGCAGATATTCCAGCGAGGTCACAGATTGTTTGAGTTATTTTATACATAGCAGTATGGAATTAATTATCTTTGAACTAGTGTGAAATTATATTGCTGGTGCATATTTTTACTATTATTCTTTTTCTGTCCTAAAATACTTCAGCAGCTTAAATATTTTTCGAAACCATTTTGGTATATGTGAAGTATTTTCATGTGAGTCACTTTCTGAATTTTCGTTGGTATCTTCAGTTACTGTATTTTGGAAATTAATTCTCCATTCCATATCAGCGTAAACTGGGCTATGTCTCTTCAGATATTCGACTACTATGTCTGACTCGATGACACCTATAAAAAAAAAACTGCATAAGTCAAAGGAATTACTACTGGTGCAATACAGAAGTGGCGATTTTTTATCAGCTAATGTAATTTGATTGTGATGTGGTTCTACATCACATACTCACCAAGATCTTCATACTCCAAACCATTGAATGCTGTATATCCGTCACCACCTAGGTAAAGGAATGCAGGCATGATAACATTGTACGTTGAACTGTCGTCAAGATAATCGTACTGAGGTACAGCACAGGCGGCGCATCTGACTTTGACGGAAACGACTCTGCTATTTTCAGGTTGACTCAGGTCATAGGTCACCTAAGCAAATATATAATGTTATTTAATGACAAAATGGACTGCGTGTGCTTAAATGTTTATCTGATCTTTAATAAAATGCATACCTGCAGTCCAGAAAATTGTAGGAAAGCACCGTCTAGATCACTCGTGGAATTAATTTCAAGAGTTCTTACAGCCCATTCTAGCATTGATCGTATAGATGAGCCAGTCATCTTGACCATGAGAACTGAATTTTCAAAGGGGAAGACCGCGAGAACGTCCGCCATTGTGATCTAGATTATAACGCAAGAATCTGAAGTAGGGTCGTCGGTACTATGGATAAAAAGTTAACAACAGTATTTCATTTACCTGATTATCATTATCTCTGGTAATGGAGGTTCTGATTCCACCACTGTGTTGAACAGCAATGGCTGCATTCGTCCATCCATCAGTGCCAGCATATTGTCTAGTTGCCTGGAATAAAATAAAGGATCAGAAAAAGAATTTACGCGTATGAGATAAACGATAACTTGACGATCTGTGCTGAGCATGAACCATACATATTCTACGTAGGCATCCGTTATCAGATTTCCCAAATTGCACTCTCGACTTCGGCAGGTCTTGCTGTCCCCATCGAGAAGAACACGAGTAGTACCTACTACTGTGGTTGTCAGATTATCTACTGCTCCTTTCCAAAGTTCCAACTCTGCTAAAACATCTGCAGCCTAAAATATATATATTGTATATTAAATAAACATTGGATGAAAATGTTTACTAATTTTATACCTTTATTAACATTAAACAGCCTCACCTGTTCCACGCTGCCATTCAGCAATATGGGATTTCCTTCAATGAACGTAACTTCACCGTCCGCATCAAATTCAACCGAGAAATTTCCAACATATTTTGTATAAGCATAAGCTTGAACTACATATACCGTTCTGCCACTAGCCTGAGTCACGGCAGTGGGATAATATCCTTCAGGAATCTCAGAATCCGGTTGCTCTCCAGTATACAAGAAAGTGTTAGTATGTCCTCCAATGACTAAATCAATGTCTTCAACTTCAGCAGCAATTTTCTTGTCAGTTGAGTATCCGGAATGTCCAAGAGCAATGAGGATGTTGACTCCTTCAGCTTTAAGTTTAGCGGCTTCCGCAGCAACGGCGGTTACCTCATCCAGGAAAATGACATTTTCGGTCTTGGAGATGCTTTTTGTATCAGGAGTGAGATATCCAATGACACCGATCTGAGTTCCGTTCACAGTTAGTATAGTACTCTTAGCGAGTTTAGTGGCTTCTAGTTCAGGTTCTAAAGTTAGATTCAGGTTGGCAGTCAGAACGGGGAACGTCACATTGTTGATGAAGGGTATGAGACCACTGATGCCATCGTCAAACTCATGATTTCCTAGGGACTGAAAAGATGTTATATAATTTTTACTCAATGCTTGTTGTAATGTACGTTAATAGAATATATTACATTTTAAAAGATATTGAAAGTTGGAAAAATGTCTGATAAAATGTCCATTAACAATGGATACTCACAACAGCGTCTGGGTTGAGAATGTTCAAGAACCTGGCAACTATCTTCCACTTATGAGCATTGTACCATACGGTACCCTGATAAGTGTCACCTGCGTTTAGGAAAAGTGTTGGTGTACTGGAATTCCGAGCTTCCCTTACGACAGTTGCCACTCTGGCGAAACCACCGTAACAATGTCCAGCTGCAGCATCCGATTTGGAGCAGGTTGAGGACATCTTGGACGTCTGCACAAACCTGAAAAAAACCTGTCAATTTTTAGGAATATCCATTCATCAACCAGTAGAATCCTATTTCATGCGTGAGACTTATAAAATCGCAGCAATATGAAATTAATCTTAATACCAGATTATGATGGGCTATACGTTAAACTGGCTTGTTTTAATAACTTCTTATCTATAAAGCATAATGTATTACCATTACGCTTCTGCTTATCTTAATACAATTTGGATAGCTGCTGGGTAGGTGGATAATGAACGAATATTACATGAAGATGCTTATCGGTACACTGGATGGTATAAATGTCATAGAGTGCAAGTAACATAGCATATCACCTGCAGTTTTCTAATTGAAATAAAAGAAATAAGCTAAATAAATATTACAGTGAAAAAATATTGTATAAATTCAAAAGCATATGAAAAAATATTGATTACGTATAATTCGAGTACTATAATGAAACACTGATGAATCTCACCTCGCGTGCATATCGTTTGTGTGCAAAATGCTAAGAGAGAATCGCCCATCGTCACTCGAAATCGGCGTACCCAAGACATTGCCGATTGACAGGACCAGTAAAATACTTACAGTAAATCGTGCCATTACGCTTCCGCGATCTTGCCTCGCGGACGATCAATAGGACATTGGCACGGGTAAGTTAAAAATTGTTAATATATATATGAGGCGCAGATTAATCATTAGAACGACATGCAAATTACAACATGTGTTCGCTATAATACTTTCACGTAAATATTATAATTGTGAAAATACAGAAATTATTTGAACACCTTTACAATTTGCGATAATTATGGATATTCAGTTTCTTATTTGTCGAACACGTGTGAATGTGGATTGATGATTATTATAAACGTTATCGATTCACCTTGCGATAATACAACTACTTTGAATAACGTACGTGTTTGTCGCGTCTACCATACGAAACATGTTCGCAAAATAAGACAAGGAGCGTATTTGAGTTTTAGGAAGACTAAAACGTTGTTTGAACTTTCGTCTGCAGACTAAGTTTATAAACGATTCTCAAATTATATTCGGATCGGTTCTATTCTGAAGAGTTGAAGCTTGAGTTCGGGAAAAAAGTTTTATAACTCCCTCTTTAATTTTAGCGATGAACTTTGAATTGATTTAATAAATCAAGTTTTTCTAAGGATTTAGGCTTCATCCTGAAACAGCGGAACTGAGCCAAATATGATTTGAGAGTTGCGTATATTAATCTTCATTAATTACGATGTATAGCGTAGACTGTAAGAAGGATCTGTTATTTGATGGTAGAAGATTAATCCTATTCAGACATATCTTAAGCAGCAATAAATAACTATGAAAGATCTAAAAGCTGCTTCAAACGTTCACCTAAAGTTATAAATCACGATGAACATTGCTAAGATATTGCATGGATATCTAATTTACAACACTGAATATATTACGTTACGCGACGGCCGATCAATGTTGCTTACCCGATATCTAAATGGGGATACCTTTAAAATAAATCTTGGAGAAGATCTTATTTTTTATTTTTTTTCTATCATTTTTCATTGTTTTAGAACGTGGTATTATGTGAAATTTGAAATTTGTGAAGTAACGAGCAACAGCAAGAAATCTTATATACTGATGTTTAAGTGATCTATGCCGTGCAAAAATTCGGTAGAGCACACCGTGTGTCAGGAAAGGCCAGATCTTTTCAGATAGTACAAATTACTAAGACGTCTTCAGAAGGTCTCGAAAAGAATGCCGAAGAAGAATTTCCAGATTGCATTTACTTGAGTAGATCTGCTTTTGGATATAACAGGTGTAGCTTTTTTTTTTAAGTTGCAGATATTCCAGCGAAGTCACAGATTTTCTGAGTTACTGTATACATAGCAGTATGGAATTAATTATCTTTGAACTAGTGTGAAATTATATTGCTGGGACATATTTTTACTATTATTTTTTTTCTACACTAAAATACTTCAGCAGCTTAACTATTATTCGAAACAGGTATGCTGTATGTGAAATATTTTCATGTGAGCGACTAACACTAAGTGAAATATGATGAAACTATTAAAAATGTGCTTTTAGATTCCTAATAGACAAATATGAATCTATCGTTTTACGGTATTTCGAGCGTAACCGTTTCTCAGTTTCTCAAAAATATTCGACTTAATATCGTATAATAGAGTCGTACCTGGATACATGCAGATAGGTTAAATGCAGTGAGAAAAAAAAAGACAAAAGTATCATGCATCTATACAAAAAATATTTATGACATCCGTCATGAGTTTATCATATCTTATTTCAAATATTTATTTCTGACAGTATCATTTAATTAAAATTATTTACTAACTTTTTAAATGCTCTTGGTAAGATATTCGGTTACACATAAAGAGACAAAATATTTGATATGTCGCTTCAAATATGACTCTTAAGAACTATAATGTGCCTTAGGCACAGTATGCGCTAATTACAGTTGTTCAAAAAAGTTTATAATTCTCATATATATATATATAAAAGATTCGTCAAATACGACGTTTTTGTCGTTGACATAGAAGACGTGGTATTGTTTTCTACCGATAGTAATTGAAAAATTTCTTCTCGTTTGACATTAATTGATCTGCAATCATCTTAAGTTTCTACACGATTTATTATGATTCTACGCTATCAAAAGTGACGTTTGAAACAGCCGAAGTTGTCGTAACATTCTCTTTCGCAATAATGTTTAATTGTATCCTGAGGTAAAGCTATAACTTGTACGTGATGGTACATAAACGTATCTATACTGTTTGTGAAGTATAAAAATTTGTCATTGAAAGCGACTTATGGTAATTTATGAATCTTTCGCCTCTCGCGTAAATTCACGAGAGATGAAAATAATAAAAAAAATAAAATTCTTATAATTCTCATGTGAGTAATCGATGAATCAATATCAATAAGCCTACAGTGAATACGGAAGAGGTAATATGTACAGAGCCACCTGTTGAATTTTCGTTGGTATCTTCAGTTACTGTATTTTGGAAATTAATTCTCCATTCGACAGCAGGGTAAACTGGACTGCGTTTCTGCAGATATTCCACTAACAAATCCGCGTCGTTGATACCTATGAAGCAATAAAGATTACATAAGTCAATGAAACTACTTTGCATATCCGGTGTAATACAGAAACGATCTAGAAGCCTGAGTGGCGATTTATCGATCAGCTGATGTGATTTGATTGTGATATGCTTACCAAGGTCTGTGTACTTCTTATTACTGAATACTGTATACCCGTCGCCACCTTGGTGCAGGAATGAATTTATCAAAACATTGTATGACGTGCCTTCCTCAAGATCATGGTATTGAGGTATGCGACAGGAGGCACATCTTACTTTCACGGACACGACTCTGCTAAATGCAGGTTGACCCAGATCATAGACAACCTAAGCAGATATACATAATATAATTAAACAGAACAATGGACTATCTGCGCCAAAATATTTATCTGATCATTAATACAGTGCATACCTGGAGTCCAGAAAATTGTAGGAAAGCACCGTTTAGATCACTCGTGGAATTAATTTCAAGAGTTCTTACACTCCATTCTAGCATTGATCGTATAGATGAGCCAGTCATGTTGACCATAAGAGCTGAATCACCAAAGGGAAGGACCGCGAGAACGTCAGCCATTGTGATCTAGATTATAACGCAAGAATCTGAAGTAGGGTCGTCGGTACTATGGATAAAAAGTTAACAACAGTATTTCATTTACCTGATTATCATTATCTCTGGTAATGGAGGTTCTGATTCCACCACTGTGTTGAACAGCAATGGCTGCATTCGTCCATCCATCAGTGCCAGCATATTGTCTAGTCGCCTGGAATAAAATAAAGGATCAGAAAAAGATGTTACGCGTATGAGATAAACGATAACTTGACGATCTGTGCTGAGCATGAACCATACATATTCTACGTAGGCATCCGTTATCAGATTTCCCAAATTGCATTCTCGACTTCGGCAGGTCTTGCCGTCCCCATCAAGAAGAACACGAGTAGTACCTACTACTGTGGTTGTCAGATTATCTACTGCTCCTTTCCAAAGTTCCAACTCTGCTAAAACATCTGCAGCCTAAGAAATATATATAGATTAAATAAACATTAGATGAAAATATTTACTAATTTTGTAACATTATTAACATTAAACAGCCTCACCTGTTCCACGCTGCCATTCAGCAATATGGGATTTCCTTCAATGAACGTAACTTCACCGTCCGCATCAAATTCAACCGAGAAATTTCCAACATATTTTGTATAAGCATAAGCTTGAACTACATATACCGTTCTGCCACTAGCCTGAGTCACGGCAGTGGGATAATATCCTTCAGGAATCTCAGAATCCGGTTGCTCTCCAGTATACAAGAAAGTGTTAGTATGTCCTCCAATGACTAAATCAATGTCTTCAACTTCAGCGGCAATTTTCTTGTCAGTTGAGTATCCGGAATGTCCAAGAGCAATGAGGATGTTGACTCCTTGAGCTTTAAGTTTAGCGGCTTCCGCAGCAACGGCGGTTACCTCATCCAGGAAAATGACATTTTCGGTCGAGGCGATGCTTTTTGTATCAGGAGTGAGATATCCAATAACACCGATCTGAGTTCCGTTCACAGTTAGTATAGTACTTTTAGCGAGTTTAGTGGCTTCTAGTTCAGGTTCTAAAGTTAGATTCAGGTTGGCAGCCAGAACGGGGAACGTTACATTGTTGATGAAGGGTATGAGACCACTGATGCCATCGTCAAACTCATGATTTCCTAGGGACTGAAAAGATGTTATATAATTTTTACTCAATGCTTGTTGTAATGTACGTTAATAGAAATATATATAGATTAAATAAACATTAGATGAAAATATTTACTAATTTTATACCTTTATTAACATTAAACAGCCTCACCTGTTCCACGCTGCCATTCAGCAATATGGGATTTCCTTCAATGAACGTAACTTCACCGTCCGCATCAAATTCAACCGAGAAATTTCCAACATATTTTGTATAAGCATAAGCTTGAACTACATATACCGTTCTGCCACTAGCCTGAGTCACGGCAGTGGGATAATATCCTTCAGGAATCTCAGAATCCGGTTGCTCTCCAGTATACAAGAAAGTGTTAGTATGTCCTCCAATGACTAAATCAATGTCTTCAACTTCAGCAGCAATTTTCTTGTCAGTTGAGTATCCGGAATGTCCAAGAGCAATGAGGATGTTGACTCCTTCAGCTTTAAGTTTAGCGGCTTCCGCAGCAACAGCGGTTACCTCATCCAGGAAAATGACATTTTCGGTCTTGGAGATGCTTTTTGTATCAGGAGTGAGATATCCAATAACACCGATCTGAGTTCCGTTCACAGTTAGTATAGTACTCTTAGCGAGTTTAGTGGCTTCTAGTTCAGGTTCTAAAGTTAGATTCAGGTTGGCAGCCAGAACGGGGAACGTCACATTGTTGATGAAGGGTATGAGACCACTGATGCCATCGTCAAACTCATGATTTCCTAGGGACTGAAAAGATGTTATATAATTTTTACTCAATGCTTGTTGTAATGTACGTTAATAGAATATATTACATTTTAAAAGATATTGAAAGTTGGAAAAATGTCTGATAAAATGTCCATTAACAATGGATACTCACAACAGCGTCTGGGTTGAGAATGTTCAAGAACCTGGCAACTATCTTCCACTTATGAGCATTGTACCATACGGTACCCTGATAAGTGTCACCTGCGTTTAGGAAAAGTGTTGGTGTACTGGAATTCCGAGCTTCCCTTACGACAGTTGCCACTCTGGCGAAACCACCGTAACAATGTCCAGCTGCAGCATCCGATTTGGAGCAGGTTGAGGACATCTTGGACGTCTGCACAAACCTGAAAAAAACCTGTCAATTTTTAGGAATATCCATTCTTCAACCAGTAGAATCCTATTTCATGTGTGAAGCTTATAAAATGAAAACAATTTGAAATTAATCTAAATAACAGACTATTATGGGTTATTTAGTTAAATTTTTTTATTTTAAGAATTTCATACCAATAAAGCATAGCTTACGTGAAACAATGTATTTTTTTTAGAATATGGTTATCGTTTTTTGAACAATGCACAAATATTGAGGTTTCCTTCACAAGGTAGCGTAGTCAACGAGAGGGAACGATCATTGGAGCCTGCTAAAAGAATTCTACCAATGATAATGTCATTGACCCAAGAATGTGGTCAGTGGAGCAAAAAAGAATAAATTATACGAGTCTATTTTTCTTACAATAGAGAAGTTACGTTCCGTAAAATCCTCGTCCTACGTTCGAAGTAGTACAGCTATAATTATTCCAGTCAACGACGTGCGAAGTTCCGTATACAAGTCACACTGATCTAATGTGACTGTCATTATGCTTCTGCCTTTTACAAGATACGATTTAAACAGATTTCTAAGAAGACGGATAACGAGCGTATATTCCAGAAAGTTTCCCATCGATAAACTGGCGTCACACATGGAATTTGCAATGCAAATAATGTAACACCTGCACTACTGCAATTCTAATACGTGAAAAAACAAAGCAAAATAAGCATAACACGTTGTGAAAGAAATTCGATAAATTAAAAAAATAACATTGCAAATTAGAGAACGTCAAATAAAAAATTTATGTATTAATAACCCATAATATATCTTATCACTAACTCATTAATCTCAATGAAATGAAGTATCAATTGCACGCAACTCGAGTACTAATATCGGTCTATTCAAATATCCCGCCACTTTAATAAGTCGTATATAAATATATCTCACCTTGCGTGCATATCATTAGTGTGTAAAATTTGAACAGACAGTCCCCCATCCTTACGTGGAATCACACGAGTCAGGACACTGCCGATCGACAGGATCAGCAAGAGAATCACAGTCGATCCTGCCATTACGTTCTTGCGATCCTGCCTGGTGCACGATCGGTAGGTCACTGGCGGAAGGGGAATTCACAAATGCGAGATAAGGCGTCGCAAGTAATTTCAAGCGAATTAAAAGATAGGGACTTCTTATTATGCGTAATACGCATGCGTTTTAAACGCCGGAGGAACAGGCAAGTTGCGCTATTCATATGTTATCTCATCACATTGGCGATTGTGTATAGAATATTTATTAAGGTAGATTATTTTATCAGTAGATACAACAGGTACTTAAACACCTTTAGAATTTACTTTAACCGAGTTTTCGTTACTTATTTTTTCTTGCACACGTTTAATGCACATCGGTGCCGATTACAAGTCCCATCTATTTATCATACAACTTTTATACTGATCTCACTTCAATAACCACTACGAGTATTGTACGTATTTCTCATGTCCACCATAAGACTTATGTTCGCGGAGTGACACAACGAGGACGTTTCAACTTCGGGAAGGCCAATGCGCGATTGGCCGTTGAAACTTCAGTCCGAACCCCTCTTAAGTTTTCGCAGAGGAGTTTGAATCGGTAAAGTAAGTTGCTCTCGGAAATTACGTTTCTTCTTGGAACAAGGAAATCGATTCATATTTGATTCAAGACTAGTATATATATATATATATATATATATATATATATATATATATAATATGTATATTAATCTTTATTGATTACGATGTATAGCTCAGACTATAAGAAAGATTGATTCGTTGATGATCATAATTAAAATATATGTAAATGGATTATCAGAAATGAAAAAATATTCATGTAATTTTTTTTTATATTACGTTAAATTAATTATCCTCGACTAAGTATAAAACTTCACTGCCGAGTCTAAGTATGATACTCTTTTGTTATTTTTTTCATTGAAATCAAATTGTTAGTAGGTAAATCGGTATTGGAAACAGCTGTACTGTACGAGTGATATTCTCAAGCGAGTAGCTAAGTGAATTTTGGTAAATTGGATTGAAAATGTATTTTTGAGTTTTTAATAGATCAATGTTGGTCCACCGTCTTAAATTGATATGACTGCTAGTAAAATGTGCCATGGTCGTGTACTCCGATATAGAATTGTTCAGTTGGCAGGTTCACCAACGTCACATGCGGTCGTTGGTGTTATTCATTTCCTGTCGGTTTTTGGCGTTTGACTCGCGATTAAAATTGCTTTTATCATCACTAAAAAAATGGCACAATAGCATTTTATTCCAGATTTTTATTTATGCGCAACAGAAACAGTGATGGAGAAATAAATATCGAATTGAAATGATAATTATTCCCTGTTTTTTATTATTTGTCAATAATTTATTATTTCATACCGTGCATAAGAAATAGCAATCTTTCAATTTAATAATTTAATGAAAATTCGTCTATATTTAATAACGATGTTAAAAAGATTAGATTTAATTACACTAACGATGCGATACAGCTTAGCGACGTTATTTAATCATCTGAGTGTAACTGTGGAATTTATATAGATAAGGAAAATTTTTTAAGATTCTTGTTACAAATTTCGTTACTATCCTCGATAACAGACGTAGAATTATGTGAATTCGAAAGTTCAGTCTTTCGGAATTGTAAGTCAAATAATAATAGGACGAATAAATCAGCGTCTCTTGTTTTAATAATAATAATCATTTAGCATGAACCATACATAGATATACTTTTACAGTGTCAACCTTCTCAGCAATTTTATACTGCTTAGACAGCAAATGTATACGCGCTCTCTATACAATAAAAAAAATAATATAAGAAAAGCGGAATTTGTCATTGCCGTTAAAATTAAAATCCACGAATAAATTACCTATCAATTCACAGACGAATTTATCTCAAAGTATTCTTAAGTAAATATTTCAAAGAGAATACGATGGTTAAGTTTTCAAGTATCGTCCGCAAGCATGAACTTTGCACTTCTTACCAATGATTTATTTATCCGAATAATAAAAAGTGCTTCTCTATTGTCTCATAACCGGTGTCTTGTAAATAGGGCGTAACTAATGCAACATAACGAATGAACCTAAAAAGTCGTACGCCTAATTATTCGCAGAGCTATGTTTTCATGAGTTCCGAAATTAATTTCATTCTCTCCCAAGGCGACTCGGCCTTAAATTTGCTTTCACCTTGACTTCTCCATAGTCGGCGACTGAGGTCTGATGATTGCGTAACGCGAGAAGAGTTCAGAATACACGAACGTAATTTTGACCGAAGATGACGAGTGGATTATTTTCGAAGGAAAGAATATTTCCGACAATTCTATTGTCTCGTAATAGTATTTTATGCATTCACATAATATTTCACCTTCCTCGCGCACGTAGCCTTGTGTCTAGAAATAATTTCGACACTTACATCCTTGACATTGGGAATCCCAACATTTTCTGCGAACAGACAATCTTGTCTTCGTGAGAAAACTCACAACACTGTTGTGACATGTTATGAAGATTAAATCGCATGATGACGAGTACATAGCTGTCTTCTCTTTTGCTTCTTTTTGCATCTTTTTGCATCTTTTTTCTTTTAATTTTTTTTCCTAGACTATACTATATTTTTGAAGTAAAACCTTCAAAGACTGTTTATTATTGACGATGCAATACACGTTATAAAATCTTGCTGTACTGGACTTTTATCTATCCTTGTGCCTAAGCCTAACGATCAGACTTGTTTAAACTCCTTTTCCACACTTCAATGACTTTTATGTTAGGGAAATCACTGATTCTAAACACCTGCTTCATTTTATAAGGCCTACGTGTATACCTTTACCGTCGCCGCTATTGTCAGCATTGATTATATGGTTAGATCGAGTGTAGTCAAAGTGAAATCGGAATTGATCATATTCAAATTTTTTTTTTTTCTTCACTATTTTTGAATAATACAAGACAGTGGTGAGATAATATGATATTTTTATGGTATGTGACTCTCAGAAATTAAAGTGTGGTTGGTAGTACTTTTTAAGTTTTAGTACCACTATTATTATCGGCTTCTTTTGTGCCACTTTGAAATTATATGTACTTAAGAAAGCTGTCACTTAAAAATAATACATTTTCTTGCTGGTTGTTTCCCTTGTCGCTTTGTTTTATTGGTGTAATTATCTTTCCTCATTTTCGTGCTCCCAATTAATTCACGTGATATCGAGCAATTACGTAACTCAGCATTCTCTCGTCAATTGATCTAATATAAGTAAATTGCTCATCTGCCAGATCATTGCAAGAAAACAAAGTCCAAATAACGAATCATATTAATTATTAAATTTTTATAAACATACGCGTTGGATGCTGAATTTATTAAATATATATATATATATATATATATATATATATATACATAGGTAACAATATAAATCTGAGTATTAAAAAGTTTGATAATTCTTCTAACCTCTGTTTATCGTATAATCGAATCTGTTCAAATCTGCCATTTGAATAATCTAGGATCAGCCCTAATGGGGGTACGTAATTTTGAAATAGCAATTAAACTCTACAGAGAAGTTATTTCACACGTACATGCATCTGAAGATACTATACAATGTTAAACATTCTTTCATTATTTTTATATATTAGAGTGGGATAAATTTCTAAATAAAATTATGTAATTTGATTTATACCGATAAATTTGCTTGTTTCTTAGTTCATTAAGGATCGCAAGATGATTGCAAGCATTCGGAATATTAATTCTCGGAATTTTTATCCTTATCATTTATTACGTACAATATCTGCTTTCGTGCCTATCTAATATACTCAATTTTGTATCAGTCATATAGGTTAGTAAGTGTCACTTGCTCAAAAGACGAACTGCGAGGAAATGAAAGTTCAAGTCTCTTTTACGATGGTTATCACCCGGATTAACCTACAGCGATTATTTTCAGCTAGTCTATTTTACTTTAAGTGAGATTCAAAACAAGTTTCAAACGCCTTAGATGTCTGGTTGAATCTGGAGGGACCGGTTTTTATCACGGGCGATACATCACTCTAATGAAAAAGTTGTCAAATATGAAACAGTTCAAAAGTGATTTATGATTATCATATAATTTAATTAGTTGAATGATAAAAAATTTCATTGAATTTTCTTTTTTATAGGAGCATAAGATTTTTTCAATTTTTAATGACATATCTCGTTTCGATTATTGGCTGAGACAAAAATGCTACTTTTTAAGGTTCTTAGTGTGTCAATCCGGTAATTGACACGTGTGTGTCAATTAATTAAACATATGTTAATTGATTCTCCATATGAAAATATATCGTTGATTCAAGATTGTCGTTACTAAAGGAAAAACACATTGAGCGACGATTATATTTTTTGTGCAAGACAACTAAACTGTTATTTTGCTATTGCTATTGATATTCTTGTTGTACTATCACAAGGTAGTGATTATTGCTAGATTTTTGGAAATACGTAGAATTGGCGTATTATTAAGTATTTGCTATACGTCTCTCGTAGACACTTTGAAAGTTACTTCTACGAGTATAGGCATTAGACGAGTATTTCGTCAGATGGTACATACAATTACTTAATATATTCCTGTTAACTCCTTAGTATGTCTGTGTTAAATAAAATGCAAATTGTTTACCATACTAAGTTAACATTAATGTATTTTAATAAGGAAGTGTCACCTGGAGTAACCTCGTCACACATCACAACTCGTTTGATTAATCAACCTCACCTTGTTACGTGTAACAACCTTGTGTTACTATATCATTTAATCACGAATACAACAAAAAATCTGAAGATTTTATAAAATATCGAAATATCATAATTCCAGTACAACAAACATTGGAAGTAAATGATTTATGGTAAAAGCGTAAAATTAAAAAAAAGATATCACGTGTTGCATTTTATATATGTATATAATATAGTGAAAAAAGTTAGGTTATAAATTTCTAGGTGTTTGCAAAAACACCATAATTAACGAAGCAAGTCAATACCAAAAAAAAAAAACATACTATACTAGTAGTAGTAGTAGTTCTTTATTTTCAATGTATACTACCCTTTAGGGCTTCTAAAAGTTCCCCTTCCCATACAGTAGTCCCCCTTATCACTGTAAACTTTTAACTTATTACTCCCCCTCTGTTTAACTTTTATCCTAAATATTCCATTTCTTCCTCATTTCCCTCAATCTTTTCTGCCATTCTCTCAAATCCATTATGCATTTACAAAGGACGATTACAGGTTTTCCTATGCGTAACGCCTTACTTGTCATCCATTCCCCATCACAGCCTTCGCCTGTCAACCACTCCTGCATTCTCTCTACCAGCTCCCTGCTTATCACCTTCTGCGCCTCTTTACATTGGCACATACGAATTAAGGTCTCCTCCATTCTACATAGTCGACACTTGTTGTTCTTGAAAAGCCTTGTTCGACTCTCTCCCTAACATACTATACTAATTTTGTGATACTTTCAACTAATTCGACATTATTTGATATATTTTACTTGTATTATTAAACTTCCGAAATATAACATAGCAAGATATAATAAGTTTATAATTATTATTTAACACGTGACCAGGTGGGTATCGTGAAGCATTCTTGAACAGAATCTTGTCAGACAAAGTATATCTGCAATTAAATGTACTTTAATCTTTATAATTTTGATAGCTGTTGATTTATCACTTCATGCATAGACATAAGATAAATACAGATCACGTTGATACTTTGACACATGATATACTTACAATGATAAGGAAAGCTGATAAAACTATACACGTATTTGAATTGCAATAGATTCATGTGTAATCAAACGCTTAGGATTTTAAAATTCCCGTGTTAAATTTTAAATTCCCGTGTACAATTTTATCATAAGGACAAACTCTTTCTCTTGGACTTTGAAACAAAAATGATTAGAGTGATTTGAATTCGCGTGTTAATAGGAAAATACGTCATGGTTATGTATTTTTTTTCGATGCAGAATTATTTATTTTAAATATTCACCGATTCCCGTTAATATGTATGCAATTCGTATCATCTGTTTCCCATCAGTTTTTAACATTCGAAAGTAGTAGTACATTATTTGCTGGCGATAAAATTTAATTTTTATTCACATTAGACTTACCTGTCAGATTATAAGAGAGATTAGATAAACAAAGTAAATACGTAATTTTTAAGAGTTAACTTAACCACCACCGTTAGAATGATATATTTAGCATAATTAAATATTTTACTTTAGATTATAATATGTTATAATTATATAATATATTCTACTTGTATTATTCGTCTTGTAGAAATTTTAAAATTGTGGGCAATCATACAATTACTAATAATCATCATCTTTGTCTTACGAGAAATAAAAATGCATTAATGGATTGACTGACAGTTGTAGATATAGAGTGACACATGAATTTCGAAAATCCATGTATAACTTAGCAAAAAAAAGTGCATTAGTACAAGGCCACTATAAACCAAATAGGCGAGAGTATATCTAAAATCATTAAAAGAAAAAACATAAGCGTTTACTTTTTCTATGTGACTATCATAAGGATTACAAAATATATGTATACATCAAATAAACAACTTGTCTTATTTTAATCTTCGTTGATACCCATGATAGCAAAAGTATATCATTTGTAGATAAAGATTCGAAAATAATCTCTGGAAGGGGAAACATTGTTAATGGAGCTGGCAACTCAGTCCCGTCTGTGATATTAACGAAATATAACACTGACAGGTAAGTCTACATCTTGTCAATCAAATTTTATTAGATTTAACCATTTGCATTGACTTAAAAAATGTATAAACAAATTTAATACCCGGTGTTAATCTAAAAACTTTCTACTTCATAATACTCAGTGCATATAGTAAGTGGACATTTGGATTATGTATGATCAAAGAGTCACTGTATAAAATATGTCATTGAGATGAAATTTCCTGAACGGTTATTCTCCTAAAATGTCGATGTGTCGCAAATATAGTACTCTGTTATATTGTTGAATATCTCAATTGAGCAGTCGGTAGCCGAATTTATTGTACCGATAATTCATATAAATAGAATTAAAGATACTGAAAACCTGACAACGAGAATACTACGGGAATTATTTAACGATAAATTCAAAATGAGTAGTACATACCTTGAGAAAAATTGGGAAGCTCTGATGTATCAAAGTCAAACTTTTAATGATTAGTTGGATGATCCGCGGAAAGAAGGAAAACATTGAAGATAATAGAGGAAAGGTGCTTCAAAGTTGGAAATAGAATTTGTAAATTGGGCCCCTCCCGGCCCATTTCCGTGCGGTCGTACCTCTCCACGAAGGAGCTACGACCCCTCTGATGTCCGCCAGAGAACCGTGTTTTAGGGATTGAGGAAAAAAAGCCCGAGTCCTGAAACTAGCACGTCTAAGACTCGGAGGAAAAGCTTCAGGAACGAAAGAAAGCTAGGCCGGCGGCAAAAAAGACGCAGAAGATAAGTTAAGCGCGAAAGTCTTTCGTATCTGACAGAGACTTTGATTAAAAGAACCGATACTACTTCAAGTGAAGCTAAGCCAGGAACACGAGCACAGCCAGCTACTTTGTCCAGACCACCCCCCCCCCCG